ATATCAGAACGGCTGGTTGTCGACGTTCCTCAAAGTGTACATTCGGGCTCTTCAACAAGCGAGCGATCTCGACGACACCGTAGAGGAAAAACTGCTAATCGGGGATCGCCCAAAACAGACAGCTGATTTCGATAAGAAACTGTCACTAAGAGAGCGCCTTTCACAGGATAACCCGAAGGACCTGGAAGAGGTGTGTATATCTTTTCAGCCACCATCTCAAGCATCGAACTTAAAACTCCTTGAAGCTCACTCCAGATGAAGTCAAATTTGTGGAATTTGCCAAAGCCCTCGCTGATTGGCTGGAGCCATACCACAATTATGCCCGACCTCCACCTGCTGTTGTACTCGCTGAGGCAGCGAAGCAAACCGAACTGAAGACCGGACATCCGCTGAAGGGCGTTGAAATCCCCCCACTACCGTTAAATGGTAATGGTCATCATAAAAAGGATGAAGAGCCCCCTGCAGCCCAGGAGCCTCCTCGAGCTGTGGTTAAATACTTCGAAGGTGGTGAAACTAGATTCTACTCTACTCTCTTCTCATCCCTTTTAAGGTTTGACGACACGGCTGGAAGAAGCCAGGACACACTCCTTGCCAGTTGAACTTCTACATGTGTCCACTCTTGCCCAAGAAGTGAGTTATGCCTTTTGGTGGCGAATGCTGTTTCTTACCAAGGGATAGGCCTTCCTTCTGCTCGTGACGGAAACCTTACGCTTCAAGTCTTCTTCCGTGGTGAAGGCCAACAAGCTCGGTGCTGTGAGTACTCTATATTCCTCCTTCATCCTCCTTTCTCTCAATTTCTGCAGTTGGTTACCAGCTTCAAGGAACTGAAGACGGGAGCTGTCTCCGTTCTGACGGACATTTCTGCGAGTTTGATCCGGCGAGGTGAACTTGAGGGCTCTGTGGAGAGCTGGAAAGCACCCGTTGAAGCCTGCACCGGTGCGCTTGTACCTCTGGTGAGTTTTTCCTTTGATGTTCTAAGTAGCTCCTCATTCCCAACCAGCTCGACCATGATTTCCTTGTCTTGCACTCTAAAAAAATTGCCGAGGCTCGTCGCAAGGTCTTGGACGGTGTTGCAAAAGGGATCAGACGTCTCTGTACGCAGTACCCGTAAAGGTTGTCCTGTTGATCGGGACATTCGACTTCATTCGTCTCCCTACAAGCTTCAGCCCATCGGACTTGCTCTGTAACCCCCACTCCACAGTACTAGTTCTCGAAGGCAGATTATATATAAATTCGCGGTAATCGATATTGCAGGCCTAATATATACATGAGCCTGAAAGCATATTTTCTCTTGCCCATTTACATCCTTTCTGAGTTCTTGTTCCTCGCCCTGACCCTTCCATCTTTTGAATGTTCTCGTGCGGTCCAGACACCGGATTCCGGTAGATTGCACGTCTATTCCACTGCATGCGACACATATTTAGGCGTTTTGGCAGGTCGCTGTGTTCAGGAAGAAAAAAAAAGGACAGCTATTTACTGGACTGTACACACATAGATCGTTTGCATAGATGGCTTGAGATGTGAGAATTGACGGTACGTAGCGTCATGGGCGTCTAGGTCACTATGGGAATATGCTCCTGACGCGAGACGCATCAAACGCGTTGCCGTAACGCGTCTGTGACAGACCGTTGAATCTCAATTCCTGCACTCACGACGCGTCAACATGAGCCAATGCAAGTACAGCTTATTCGCCCCTTTTACCTCCTTCTTACCATCATGAAATACAGACGAATCCAACTTCTATGGTGGAGGAGGAGGATATCTACAAGGAGGCTCTCCATTCAGCCAGAGTGGGAGTCCAGGTGGAGTCAGGGTAATAGGATCGTCCTTCATGACATTCCATGCATAACTGTATACACAGAGAACGGAAATATCGAACTCTCTGAGGCCGTTCACCATCGCTCAACTCAATAAGGCGACACAAGCGCATACAGACGCCGAGTGGAGGGTGGATGATGTGGAGGTTGGCCAGGTGCGTTGGCTGTTTACGCACGCGTCTACATTCGCATCTAACTTATCGCAGGTGACGGTGGTTGCGCAAGTTGTCACTATCAACAGGCAAGCGACCAACTGTGTCTATCTAATCGACGACGGGACTGGTCAGATCGAAGCGCGGCACTGGGTGGACTCGAATGAAGATGAGGGTTCAAAATGGGGTGGAATTCAGTGCGAATCCATTTTAACCTGTCTTTATTCTCGTGTTTTGATGTCTGAATTAGAGAACAACGCTACGTCCGAGTCACTGGAGGACTGAAAGCTTTCGGCAAGAAAAGGTACATCAACACCATCCACATTCGCGACGTGAAGGATCCCCATGAAATCTACTTTCATACCCTCGAAACAATCACCGTCAGCCTGATTCATGAACGCGGCCCTGTGAGGTCTCTTGCGCTATACCATGAAACATCATTGACATCGCGTTTAGCCCAACCAAAATGCCCAACAAAAGGCTGATGGTTCCGGGAGCAGCATGAATGCGTACTCAGCACAAGCTGCGTCTGGTGGTCTAAGCGATCAATTTGCCCACCTTCCACCCTTACAGCGGGCCATCTTGAAGTTTATTATCGACCAGCCACCGCGGGACGAAGGTATTCATGTTGCTCTCATTGCCAAAGCCATCGGTGCAAGTCCCGAGGACGCAAACAAAATCGGGTACGTTGCTCTTTGTTCATTCAGACCGTTGTAGGTCTTACAGTCGGTTTAGTGCTGCATTGGATAAGCTGATGGACGAAGGCCATGTGTATACCACGATCGATGATTCTCACTTCAATGTGTCACTTTAATCGACAGGTTTTTTGCATTTTGTAACGATACAGTGTAATATATCTAATCAAGTGGAGTGGTTTGGTGTTTGGATGGCTCGCTCATTGGCTCGGTCAATGGCTCGAGCAACAGGGTATCAAGATGTGGAACTAGATGGTATTTCAGCGAGGAAGGTAGCCACACTCTGGGCAATATGGTCATGGACTTTGCTTCTGGGGTGGAGATGGTCCATCCAAACGCTTCCTGCACGACGCTTGCCATCTTGGACATTGAAGCCAAAAATCTCAAGGTTCTCAAAGAGCACTTCGAAAGCCCTGAAAGACGAGAAGATGAAGACGCTGGCATCTGAATGGCTCTCCGAGAATTTCTTGACTTCGGTCTGCAGATGTGCATTCCAACCCTCGAATTTTACCAGAGTTTGCTGTTCCCTAGACACAGGGACTGTGGAACAGAGTGCATATTAACCGACAACACGCAGAGAAGAGCCACAGATCATTCACAGGAGACAGCTTACCTGCGGGACTGAGGTGGATAGTCGGCACATCGAAGAACAGGAAATTCCTTGCACCTGCAGTGTAGAGCATTTCTTGGTATTCAAACAACTTAGCGAGAACCCCAGGCTGTAATGTAAAACTGCTCAGCAGTTAGTACATATGCAAATATGCTTGAGTCTATAGGTTACACTCACGCGAGATCATTAATGCCAACCCATGTCACTGTTCCGTTCAGTAAAGGCGACTTCAACGGCGTCTCTGCAGTTTGAGGACTCACCGAACAGTGTTTCTTGGGGTGCCCAACTCGTCCAACTTGGCTTCGCCGCTCTCTCTTGCAAAAATCCTTTCTCGATCTGGTGGCAGACGCGAGGGACAGTTGAGCCCCCTTCAGCGTAGTCATACACTAGCAGTGGAGATCTATTCCAGGCCTCAGTTTGCTGTGCAGCAGTTGGGATGTACCGAGGCTCAGGGCAATATTTTGTGATGAGGTGCCCGACCCAGTTAGGTTGCCCAACTTCGTTGTAGGTAAATCCAGGAAATGGAACACCGAGAGGCTGGGATGCGGATGGTTCGCCATCGTTTCCGAGCATACGTTCTACTGAACTATAAGAGTCGCCACTATGATAAGGGGTATCAGTGAAGGGGCGAATTAGATGAGACTATGGGTACAAACAAGATCACAAGTCGACGGATGGATTGGAACCCTTTCCAGGTGGGCCCGATATTGTAGACAGTCGACATGGTGGTGTTCTTAGTTACAACGCGTTTATAGTTACTAAGGTGTCATTGCAGTGCCACTCGGCGTCTATGATTTGATCTGATCATGATAATCTTATCGCAATCTCTTTCCCCCTGACACTCGCAATGCCTCGTAAGTAGGAATCGCGTTAGATACACGCTCTGGCTCCTCCGAGAAGCGATGTAGAACCGCGAAAGGCCATTCACGTTGCAGGCGCATCTTCGTTGAAACTGTAACTCGGAAAATGCGTCCATTGTGACTACTCATGTAGAAGCGTAATGATAGTCGTCAATCGTAGTTGTAATGATGCCCTGATTTATCAGGGACTCGACGGCACTTCTGTGCAAAGATATTTGTCATCAGTGAAGTTGGAAGAGGCTTGCCATGAGGGACAAAGGGACTGACGAAAACTCTTTCGCCTCGATGTCAGGATACAGCGCCTTTATCTCCTCGATGATGGCGCCAATTTCAGCCCCATCATCGGAGCTTTCGTCGTCTTCGCTGGCGGCTGTCAATCGCGATATGCATGAAGCGATGTCCCGTTCAAGACGCGACACTGCAGGGGGCGGGTTGTTCTTTGAATTGTTCTGTGTTCTGGATGAAGACAACTCTCCTCTCCCGCCGGAAATCGCTAGATCTCCAACTGCCTCGGTGATCTTCTCTACCTGATCCGCTTCTTGGGAATGACTTGCAGAGATTGGTGAAGCCATCGAGCCTCGAGGCTGCAAGTATAGTTTAGAAACAGTACAGGAGCAATAAACTGGCCGAGCTCACTGGGGGACCTCTTTCAACTGAAAGTGTGTCTACAATGGCATGGATGATATGATAGTACACTTCATGCGGGTCGTAAATCGGTCGGATGTGGAAGATCTTGATGGCTTTGCGACCGTCATCGAACCTGTCCAACTCCCCGACTACACATGCATAGTCGAAAGGGCTTCAAATAACGATCGCGTCAAGCTGGGCGAGACGGTGGAACAACAAAGGGCGACTCACTCAAAATCGGGGTCACAGATCCCTTCCCACTTGAAACCGTCGATCCTGCCTGACCCATCGTCAAAGCTGTAAGTTATTCGCCTCGGTATTTCTTCGCCAACATCAGTGCTGTAGACATTGGCTACGAGCAAGACCTGGATCTTTATAGAGAGCTCCGAGCAGAGGGACAACGAGCTCACCTTTCCTATCCCATGTCCACTCACCGTGAATCTTGGCAGTCCGTAACGCGACTCCACTGCTTGAAGTAGCTGCTTTATTGTGACTTTCCTAACACCGCATTCGGGGTTTGATAGCGTGTTCTAGGAACGGAAACTTAAAGATGGCGCGCAACAAGAGGCTCCGTGCTGACCTGAGCCGCTTGGGACGAAGAAGGTGCGTTAATCTGGCTTGAGAATGAATTGGACGGCGGTTTCATGAGCTTCAGGACAAGCTATTCCCGAAATATCAATGAGAAAGGCGTTCAAAGGCGATAGCGAGATGGGAGTCTGAGGCAAAGAAAGGATGCGGTTGAGCATGCAGACAAGGATCGATTGTAAAGGTTACGTGTCCCTGCGCCTCCATGAGTGATGCATAACTGGGCGCTGTAAGTCATTAACACTGGACAGACTTCGCCTCGGACATGCGGCCCGCACCAAAGGTTAAGATATCACGTGGCGTGATAGCGGCGTCATTGGCAAGTTACGCGAGGCTGCTTTATTGGACGTACTCACCCTGTGCACGGATCCTCCAACAAGCTCAGCTGTCAGCTACAATCACAGCCTGCAATGCACGCTGCTTCGTAGCAATTGACGCATCTCTAACCCGTTGACGGCCAGCAATATGCCCTGGTACACATCCTGGATTCCAGGTCTCCCCACCATCAACTTCCCTGTGCCGACCGCAATCCAAGGCCGGTTCATCTCATTCGTTCTGAAGAAGACACTCGGACATCTACTCAAGCCCGGGCAACTTGACCACAACCAGATTGACTCGCAAATCGGTTCAGGATATGTGCAAATCAACGACCTCGAGCTGCATCCCGAGGTACGTCTTTTCTCGCCACCTCTGTTTGACATCAGCTGAATTGCATTCACGTTGCGCAGGCCATCAATACCTATCTAGAAGGCCTCCCTTTATCACTGCAGGAAGGAACCATATCTTCTGTCAAAGCTCGGATTCCATGGCCTAATCCTTTAGCTTCGACACTCGGTTTCTCAGTGACATCCTTGCACCTCGTGATTCAAGTATTCCAGCGTCGGAACTCCCTCGAAAACCTGAAGTTGATATCGCAGATTCTGTTGCTTCTGTCGCGGAGTCTTTCATCCACGAAGAACTGTCCCCAAAGGAAGAGGCCATCCTGTGGCAGTCAATCCATCGAGAGGATTCATCGCCTGCGGATATTCACGATAATCGAGCCATCCCAGGTGGCCTGGAAGCATCCTCGATGGGTGGTTATGAAACCCACACGCTTGATTCGGACCCGGCTGGTGTGTCTGTTTTTGCAGGTTTAATCGAACATCTTCTTGCAAGATTCGAATTCGATGTGCAAGACATCAAGGTTACTTTGATCCATCCTGACAATATGTGCCTAACCTTGTCGTTGGACGAAATTCGATACCACACTACCTCAAATAGCACACCCTCTGCTAATTCATCGTCGGAGAGCACCAACGGAGAAAGCCGTGTCATATCGCTCAATACTTTGTCGGTTTCTGGCAAGAACCTGTTCTCAAGCGCAGTTGGTTCCTTCGCAACGGGCTCTCCGGCTCACTGTGGATCCTTCAGCACGATGACCTCGAGACCACTATCTCGGGCATCGTCCCATTCATCCCTAGATGAAGATGCTCAATTCGCTATGTCCCAGTCCTTAGCAAACCTACCATCTCGACCAGACTCGCCACTCAGTTCAGTCTCCGAGAGCATGTATGAAAGCGCAATTTCTACCGCACCTCCCCCTCAGGCAATGGATTCTTTCTCAAGCACGCCGGTCCTAGATACCCCCTCCATCCAGCCATGTCGCCCTTTAGAGCCAAGTGCAGGTATGAATGAGCAGCCTGTGAATGCCGAGGAGAACTTACTCTCGTTTGGTCCTCATCCAATAACAATAACACTCGCCACACCGTCTCCAGGATCATACACGGATGACAACCCTTTCGTAAACCCAGGTAGCCATTCTTCCGTCTCCATGACAGACGAATTGCAGATTGCATTGTCCACCAACGTAATTGCTGCCGCCTTCCAGCCGTGGCATATACAAGGGTTGTTACGCTTGGTGAAAGCGATGACGCCCGGCCATGCTCCAACACCCGAGCCCTCAAGGCCTTCGAGAGCCAATTATTTTCCACCTTTCAGGGCCACTGCACAACTTCGTGGCATCGTCCTCCAGCTCCTCTCCGGTGCACCTGAAATCTCAGACGATGTTCATGCAGCTCTCAGTAGCTTCTTCCAACACCCTCTCGTACCGCCTAATCTTCATCCTGGTTACACTAGAATCCATCTAGACTCATTATATGCATCCTTGTCCTCGTCGCGCCAAGCACCGGACAAGTCTCATAAATCGACCTCGAGAAACCGCAAGAGTGGGCCATCACATACCTCGCTTGATTTCAGGATATCCGATCTTTCAATAATTTCTTTCATTCGAGATCCCAAGGCTACTGAGTCCCCCGAACTACTCGCCTTTCCTATTCTTGCGTCGGATCCGTATCTGGTTTCTCAGTACTCAGATCGTCATGTCCAACCACGAAGCGGCGCGACTTACCCAACCTTTCCTTCGTTCCCTGTTACAGATTGGACAGAACGGAAGGACTGCCATCTGTGGACCCGACTATCATATTGGCGATGCAAGCCACCTCGACCTGGTGCTGAGCTTCCCTCGAATCCATTCCTACGCATTTCTGGCAATCGTTTGGTGACGCCCAAGAAAGACAAGAAGGGAAATACCTCGACTTCTGATAGTCTAGAGGTTCACGTCAGCCCGCTTCAGCTTCGAGCTGACTTCGAACTTATGCTGCAGCCTGGTGGCCCTCTATCATTCCTAGAAGAACTGATGCACCTTGAGCCATATTTCAGCGATAAGGACTCAGTCGTCTCTGATGTAACAGTAGATGAATACTCCTCCTCAAGTAGAAAAGGAAAACGTCCAATACGAGAAGAGGAGTATGATGACTCACCGTTTGGCGATCCTTCCTCATTCGACACGCCGACCAAATTGCCCGAGGGGCAATGTAAAGTGTGTATTTTCAATGGTATTCTGATGTCTCTTATTCATGCTATTCATTTATTCTCCAGACCGAGGAGCAGGAAGACCATTCATCCAGAATTATTGTCAAGTCACCTATTGTTAGACTATATATGAGCTGTCCTCCTCCTTCACAATACGACCGCAGATCTGGAATCATCGTCGTGGGTCTCCATGATATCAACGTAGACCTTGGGCCGCCACTCGCTCCGACAAATCCTCCCGTGAGGTTCTCTACTGAGGAGCCTTCCCAGGTGCCCGACATCGACATTTCCGATGAATCAGTGGTGCTGAAAGTGGGATTCCGCCGGGCGGTTGTCGGATGTTCCATGGTTGGGTCAACTATGGCGAAGATATTCGCTTCGGTAGGGCCTCTGGTGGATGAAGACTTCGCTGAAAAGCATACCTCTTTCGACCAGTCTCCTCCACCACTACGTCCGTGTATCCGCGTCATAAATCCGCCTGCAAGAGGACCAAATGCACCTTCCATCACGGTATTGAGCGTTGATATCCCCTCTATGCATGTCGACATCTCGAAAGCTCAGTTCGATGCTTTACAGTACTGGGTGGATGACGTCACGCAATTGTTGGATCGCCTCTCAGGCAAAGTGTCCGAGGAAACAGAGCCGGTCGACAGCAGAGACACCAGCCTTATCGGCAGCCGCTTCTTTGCGAAGTCACGGTCTGGCAGTGGCCTAAGTAATAGCACGAAAGAGGGCGCTGAATCAGTCGTGAAATTGGCTGTAACAGAGAGTGGGTTATTCTCATTCAGGAACAATCGAGTTGAAGCTCATCCGAATGTCAACTCAGGTTTCATTAATGTAGCAGTTCCTCGGTCAGACGGCGTCGGAGGCGAAGTACGACCGTTCCAGATACAAGCCTCCGATTTAGACGTCTTGCTTGAACTCAACCCCGACAACAAGGTATGTTGGCATTTCGTATTCTTCGTTTGACCGAGAAAGTATCAACGCGTAGAGCAGCAACAGACGATCGTCACTCTTGGTGTTATGCATATATCTGTCAAGAACACGCCACATGAAGGTCTTCCACAGACGTTCCTCGATCTTACATCCGCTCCATCATTAGTAAGTACTCACTACATCCCAACACCTGCTCTCATCCCCAAATAAGTCTACTGCGCCGAAGTCCATCCTCAAGCTTCGTTTCTCCTCCTCGATTATCCCGGAGACGAACACGAAAGAAACCCGAATCAAGCTAACTCTATGTGGATTCACGTACCGGTTCTTCCCGGACACAACTTGGATATCCGACCTTGCCTCGTTTGCCAAAAATCCACCGGGCGTATGTTCATTATTTGGAAAACCAACTGTTGATTTAACAAGCCCTTATGTAACAGACATTTGAATCGGTTATTCCCAGCGATCGTACGCGGGTATCTGTGAAGGCCATCGATGGTTCCATTTGCGTCTTTGCCCCCAGGCATCCCGGAGCATTGGTATTATACCTGCGAGAGCTGGAATTCTCGACAGATGTTGTGGGTGGCGCACGCGGATCTTCCTTTCAGGTCAATGCCCCAGGGTTTTCGCTCCTCGCGTTGGATGATGTTGGTCAACAGGAAAGCGCTACAGACTCTAGTCGATCTCTGCGTGGTATCACGGCTTGGACTGTAAATATTTCTTGATCTTTACCTGGATCCCTCCTGATTTCTTTCATTTAGTCAACCGGTTATGCCCTGATCTCCGACGTTTCAAGTCTTGACTTGATCGTCACGCACCAACTCGACTCAACGCCCTCTTGGAAGGCCAATAATTTTCATCAAGTGTGTATGCTTCTCCTGACTCGCTTTACAGGTCGACATCAACACTATTGAGCTCCACCTACATCTTTGCGCAGACACGATGGCCAGCGTGTCAGCGTTTATTCAGGACCTAGGGTCTTTGAATGAGAGTACAGATGAAACGTAAGTTCGCCTCTTAAGCCATAGTTTATTCACTCTCATTTGAGGTGTCGCAGGCCTAAGGCTTCAACGAAGGCGCCTGCAGTCGTCAATCCACCTCCGAGGGAAGGAAGAACAATTATGTGTACGTGGTTCCACCTTTGCCTTTTGACTCAGTGATTAATTTATTTTCAGCGTCAGTTGAAGACCTCAGGTTCACGAGACCTCCTGAGATCGGGCACGCTCCAGACATGATATACGATGACCTGCCGACCAACCCTGATTATCTTGACGAATCCTTTGGAGCAGCAGCAGGCCTTCGAGAGATTCTGGACGAAGATCTGGATGATTTTGACGATCAAGATATCAGGTATCCAACAGGTGTCAGCGATCCGAGTACCATTTCCAATATTGGAGGAGAAACTGTCAAGGTTTTCGATGCTCAAGGTCTGAAAGTTATTGAAGACTATTTCTTAACCATCCCGCCAGATACATCAACTCGACCCTCTGAGTAAGCCGCTCCTCCTCGAGGCGTTGTCTTCGTCTAACAAACGATACAGCCTGGGTGAATCAAGAACTAGCGTTCGAATCCTCGACGGAAACTTCAATCTCTTCCTGTATGATGGCTACGACTGGGCCAAGACCAGAAAGACCATCGAGGAAGAGGTGAAAGAGATGCGCAAGCGGCTTGCCAAAATCAGGCAGTTGGTCGCTAATGGACATATGCAAGACCCTTCTTTCGAGGACACAAACGCTGTTCTCTTTAATTCCATTCATATCGGACTTGAAGAGGACGAGGATGCCTTGGGAGAGCCAGCCACTCTGATCGCAGCTATCGATAGGGAGTTGAAGGACGACACCGAAACCGCATCCTGGCAATCATTCCCGGCCTTCAGTGCTGGCAAACCGCGTGCTCCTTCAGTGAAAGTTCACGGGAAGCGCCTAAGTCGAGCGAAGTCGTCGAGTATGGAGTTCTGCCTTTCTGGAATCTGTGCAGAATTCGATCAGTATCAGCCAAATGATCCTCTGGTTTCTCGTACATTTGTGACGATACGGGACCTAGAAATCTTGGACCATATCAAGACCTCGACATGGAAGAAATTCTTGACTGAGTTGAGGTCAGATTCTCGCGGCAATATACGAGAAACGGATTCCAACATGGTGCGCATCGAACTTCGCGGTGTTCGACCCGTCCCAGGACACTCTTCCGAAGAGGCCAGGCTCAAGGTAATACTATACTTCAGTATCTTTCCCCGCCTTCTGACTCCTGCAGGCCAAGATTCTTCCCTTAAGGTTGTATGTAGACCAAGATGCTGTAGACTTCCTAAAGAAGTTTTTCAGTTTCAAGGACCCCCACGTTGCTCCGGGTCCAGAGCCGCAGTCTGATGAAGGAGAGGCGTATATTCGTAAGTCTTTTTGCGTCGTTTTATAGAAAGCTCTCAACTGTTGATTATAGAACTTGCGGAGATCTTCCCAATCGATTTGAAACTGGATTACAAGCCTCGTCGGGTCGATTACCGGGCCTTGAAGGAAGGGCGGACAATTGAACTCATGAATTTCTTCCACTTCGATGGAGCCGAGATGACACTGCGCCACATCACATTAGCCGGTGTTACTGGATGGGGCAAAATGTTCGAAATGCTCAACGATCTTTGGACGCCAGATGTCAAAGCAACACAACTCGTCGAAGTTATTTCTGGCGTCGCTCCTATTCGCTCAATGGTCAATGTCGGTTCTGGAGTAGCTGATCTCGTCCTATTGCCGATTGCACAGTACAAGAAGGACGGAAGGATAGTCCGTGGGGTACAGAAAGGCGCTACCGCTTTCGTCAAATCCACCGCGATCGAAGCGGTTAAGATGGGTGCGAAATTGGCGACGGGGACACAAGTCATCTTGGAGCAAGCAGAAGGTGTACTCGGCGGACAGTTCACGGCTCCAATCACAACTGAGACGGTTCAAGTGTTATCTGGAGACGATCTCACATTCGAGAACGAGGAAGAAGACGAAGGAGCAGACTTGATATCCAGATACGCTCAACAGCCCGTCGATATCAGAGAGGGAATGCAGTCTGCGTACAGGAGCCTGCAAAGAAACCTCAGCTCCGCTGCTCAGACGATCCTTGCTGTGCCCATGGAAGTATACGAACGATCAGGGAATGAGGCGAGTTCGGCATATTTGGCTTCTTCTGTTCTTTACTAACAGGTGCTATAGGGCGCTGTTCGTTCCGTTATTCGGGCTGTGCCGATCGCCGTCTTGAAGCCCATGATAGGCGCAAGTGAAGCTGCCAGCAAGGCCCTTCAAGGTCTTCACAATACGCTGGACCCGAACGTCCGATACGAGAACGAGGCCAAGTATAAACTTCGATAACGACATTATTGCATCTTGGATCTGGAATGGCATCTTTAGGATTTCGGAATGGCTGTACTATATTAATGTCATGCACGCATCTGTACACATTATCGCACTTCAAACATTACAACTAATTGCAGAGAGATGAAAATACCGAAAAATCAAGAATACAGATGCATCTAGTCTATCTCCATCCCCATAGAACGGCCGTCTCCTTGAATGAGAGCACTTTTTGATTTGACGGCGACCGTGATCCTCTCTCTGGACGACTCTGTCGATAGAGGCTCGTGCAATTTGACAGAAGATTTGGCAGCTTCCAGCGCCTTCTTGCGGTGCGCCTTGTGCTTTTCCCGACTCGCAGCCATTCTAATGGAGGGTTAAAGCCAATCCAGAGGCTCAAGAGAAACTAACACACCTGTGTTTGAAGAATGCTCGTTCCCTGCGTGCCTTTATTTCTCCCACTCTCTTCATAGCTTTGACCGTCGTCTGGATGAGTTCTCTGTCGTATCTGACTGGAACGTTTCTGCGTTTCTCGAAGTCGATGGTGGAATCCTAAAGGTCGTCATTGAGTACAATCTACAGACAATCACAGTAGGACTCACAATCGTCATCTCCTTCCCAGCAGCCTTCCTGAACGCCTTCGTCCAGCGTACTTTTCGAGGATTGCGCTTCATTCTAGATTCTGCTCAGGACAAGTAAGCCAATACATCGACAAAAAGACTTACTTGAAGTTTTTATGACATCTCGACAAGATTTTCGTCAAACCAGTTTATCCAGTTTAAAAGGAATAAGAGCATACTTTGATGTGCAGAACCGGAATACTTTAGCATCGTTTCTCACAAATGCAGTTCCTGGAGAAAGATGAAGCTAGATTGAGCCAAGAAGTTTGAGGAATGCTGACCATGGCCTGGATAAACGTTTGTCGAGCAAAAGTAACACTTTTCGATCCTCATTGAAGGAGACCAGCGAGATAAGTAACCTGGAAGACTTGGAAGAGACTGCCTGTTGCGCGCTGCTGAAATTGCTTGATGTTACATAATCAATATAGCACAGCCACCGGTCGGCAGAATCTGACGCAAGGCCATCGGCGCATCCGCACTGCTCATATTTGGAGCAACCGATAAAGGGGGCCGCATCCTTTCCCCCAGACCACCACCACCACACAAATCTAGCCACAACTCCGGGTTCACACCACACGCACTTAATCGCCCTCTAGCCACCCCAAGATGATGCTTTACGCATCTCAGGGGGTGCGGAGTGCTGCCCGTAAGGCCTCCAACGTTGCTACCCATCATGGTGGGCACAACGGACATGGGGGCAGCACAACCGCCAACGCAACTTCGAGATCTTTACACATCGGCGCCAACCTGCAAAACGCAGCTCGCGCAATCCACTCACCCATACCGACCCTCGAGTCAATCCGCCCCCGCAATCCGTCTCACAAGCTCTTTTCCGCCTCCAAGAACTTCCTGCAGAGGTTTTTCACCTACTTAACTACTCCAGGCTTCAGAGCCCCGGCCCACTTCGCCGATGTCGTTGGCCCTCGATCCCTTCATAGCGCTGCCTTCCGCGGATCAACCATACGCGACGGACTTTCCCTCCCGGTTCGACAGGCGCTCAAGAACAACGCAATTAGGCGCCAGGCCAACACCTTCCTTCCTCGTGCTCCGGCTCCGGCTCCCCCTCGGTGTGGAGGTATTGCCCAAGTCGGTCTAGGAACTGCCCGAAACTTCAGCACAGGTCGTCCGATATTCCAGCACCTAGCCGAAAACGTCCCGATCGCGGGCAGAGCATTGTACGAGGTCAATTGGGACCTGGAGATGAGGAAGGAGAACAAGCGCATGCGCACACTGGCTCAGAACAAAGTCAAGAAGGTGTCGAAGACCCAGGAAATGATTAAGCCTGTTCAGAAGAAAATCGAGCAACAGGCCATCGAGAACAAGGAGGTCACTGATGTCTCTGCCCAGGATGACTTTGCGCACTTCTTCCACGCCATGTCAAACCCCGCCGTCACTACCTACCTCCTTATACCTCTTGCTCCAACTCCAACCACGCGAGTTCCTCTACGTCCAGATCCAGGGCGTTCAGATGCGCTACTTCCGCCGCTGTCGTATCTTGGAACGCTACACGGCTCATACTCCACTCACACTTTGCGAGTATCGTCCCTCTTCACTCGCCTTGATCAAGCCAACGTATGGGCACGCGGCGTGCATTGCTCTGCCTACTCGCAGGGCCAACAATATCAATGCCTGGGTATAAATGACGGTGATGTCGGCGAAGGGGTGTGCACTATCCTCAAAGTTGAATTCCGAGGCTGGGCCAAGGCCGAGGTGCGAAGTGTGATTGGCGAAAGTGGCACGGGCTGGTGTGTTCTGGAGGAGGTCGTTCATGAAGAGACAACGGCGGAAGAAGATCTTTCCGACATGGATTCCTTGTGCTCTGGGGTTTATGATGACCAACACGCGTTTGTAGAAAGCGGGGACCCGTTCGGTGTGAGGAAGGCAATCGATCCCGCACAGTCGTTCGTATTACCGACTCTTGATCTCTCTGCGACTCCCTCGTCTCCGCCTTCTCCGTCGCCCTCCTTTTTCTCCTCCATCCCGCCGCAGATGGAGGACGATCCTTGGGCAGATGATGATGATTCCGACGGCCTCGTGTCATCGCTTGAGTCCGACCTGTCCAGTTTGATTATCGACCCTCCGTCTGTCAACGGATATTTCGGCCTTAGCTCTCGCTACGAGCATGTTCGGGACATGTCCGAGCCCAGAGAAACTATGTTTTACTGAATCTTACGCCTGTCTCTTCCGTCCTGATGTCACGAAGTAAAGTCAAAAGTCAAAGAAACTCTTAGCTTTCGCAGAAGTACACACACTCATTTTCTTGCTTTCGATTATGTACATGAATGCCATTTTTTATGACTGATACTATTTTTAAAAGAGCAGAACATTACGTAGAGTGATTGGCGCTCCCTGGGCGCTTGGAAACCACAAGTCACATGGTGAAGATGAAGCGTCTAGTAATCGTGATGATAAATATCGTGAACAACCTCTCCCGCTCGAACACCAAGGACGCTCAGCAGGCTGTCGCTCAGACCGTGCGTGTTCTCCTCTACTCCTTGCAAGTAAACCCTGGGAGCAAAGACTGGCGACCCCTTCCGATCGCTCGTGAAACCAAGAGGAAGGAGGCGATAATTGCGTGAGATGTAGAGCTCTTGATGCTTTGGGCGCTCCAGGACTCCCGACGAGAACATGCCCAGCTCTGGCGATGTCGGCGGGCTACTCTCTGCACTGCTCGGTGGGGTCGATGCTCCGGACTGTATATGGGTCACGGCTGACCCGGGGTGGAACCCGTCGTGCGACGGCAACAACCGAATGTTTGACCTGGCCGTCAATGGATCAAGACCGAACTGGCTACCAATACCAGAGTTCTTGAGGATGTCTATCCACGAAGAGCGCTCGTAACCTGTGGCGTAGATGACGGCGTCGTACTTCTCCTCAGAGGTGGCGCTGCTGATCAGATTTTGCGACGTGATAGACAAAGCTGGTCGGCTGCTGTCGACTACGATGGGACGTTCTGGGGTAAGAAGAAGGTCCTCTTGAGCCTTCGAGTCGTCGACACCCTCGAGGTTGATCGATGTGATGAAAGTATACGGCTTGATCTCGATGAGAGGCTCGTCCCGGTGTTGAGGCGCTCCCGAACGGTGAGTGATCCCTTCGTCGAGTCGTTGGTCGTAAATGATTTCGTAGAGCTGGGGAAGTGTTCCTGATAAGCAAAAGCGACAAAACGACCGAGACGACAAGTACTTACGTTCTCCAGAGTGCGAGGGTTCACGACGCCGTAATTCGTGAGCTTGTACTCGGCGAGCTTCATGTCGCGCAAGTGCTTCGACGACAACGAGAACCAAGCGTCTGTTGCTGAATAACAAAGGGTTAGAATGGCTACCTGTTGAGAGGAAGCATTCTCTTACAAGCTGGATCGAAGATCTCGTTAGCAAAAGGCGAGTCATCGCTCGGCTTCAAGCAGCCTTTGCGGATGAGCATATTGATCTGGTGGCGCGAGGCGCTCCGGATATCACTCAGACGCTGGCGCAGATCCATCGTGACCTCGGCAGCAGACTGGCCGCATCCAACGACAGCAATTCGAAGAGGTCGCGAGGCGATGGAAAGCGTTTCCAAGATCCTTGGGATGAAGATGGCATACTGTGAGCTGTGCAGGACGTGCGGATGCTTCAGCACGGGCGAAACCACCGGCGGCACTTTGGGAGAACCTCCAGGAGAAATTATAATGTTACCTGAACCTTGGGTGAGCCGTACAGTCGTAGACGCTCAGCATACGACTTACGAGTCTTAACGATTGTCTCCTCACCGGTGAGGAGGTCGCGATAGCGAACAGATATAACGTCGCCTGGAACGCTGTCGATGCCGACGATTTCGTGACCGAAGAGAACCTTAACGCCGTCCTCTTGCACACGTTTGGCAGCCCAGCCGAGGTAATCGGAATACTCCTTGCGTGTTGGAATTGTGGAGCCACGGTTGATGAACGAGATCAAGCGTCCCTGGCTATGAAGGTAGGATAGGAAGGTGTAGGGCGACTGAGGGTTCCGGAGCGTAGCAAGGTCCTTCATGAAGCTTCATGCTGTTCGTAAGTAATTTTGTCGGGCGTGAAAGTAAGGACTAGTCACCTAATTTGCATCCTAGCGTCCGGGAGGAGCATCCCAGGGTGCCAGCGGAACGTTGTATATTTTTCGATGAACAGGACGTTCCCCTTCGACGATGTCGGAGTTTTCTTGGGCGATGGTCAGCGAATTTTCCGAACGGCGACAAGAACGACAGCATACTGATTCATCTTGCCAGGATTCGACGAGAGCACCGGCGATGGCGATGTTGGCGGGGCCAAACCCAAGGCCAACGAGGTCGAGAATATTCTCAGACTGTGGAGACATTTTGTGGCGATGAAGGAATAATAGTCCGGAGGGAAATTGGGACTGGTGCCGTAAAGCGCGGGAGTACCTTCTTTCTTATAGCTTGTCCTACTCCAAATTCACCTCGCGGAGAAAGGGATCTAGGCTACGCTCTCCAGAAAAATTCGAGCTCTGGGCCACATGGACCCGGATGTTCTATGAAAGCGTATGTGGCGAGAATGCCGTGATATTCTCTGACCATGACTCTGTGGCAAGGAGCAGTGTGGAAGAGCCCCAAGGACTATGGGGCGATATTACCGAATCTAATCAGATTAGACCGAGAGAAGGGTACGTTATCTGATATCATCTGATGCTTCTCGCCAAGGCTCCATCAGTCCAATCGCGGGCATTCACGGGTTGTATCTGATAAGATTGCATGTGAGTCCTCTCTCTGCCAAGCCCCCGACCATTCGAAAATATGAGCAGGCTGCTTCCAAAGGATACACGTTTGGGCACCCAATTGACAGTCCATCTGGCTTCGGCGTCGCCTTGTACCGGCCTTTTCAATGCTGTCGGTCCTATTATCCGACGGCTATGAGCCGCTGACCTTAAGCTTGAATGTGTTTTTCCATTCGAACATCCCGAGACTGCTCCAGTCGTCGTTCGCCCCGTTTCCGCAGTGCTATCCGCGTTTTTCGTCTACTCCCGTTAGGGATTAGTTTTGCGTGGTCTCTGGCCTTCCTCAGTGCTTCATGGATCCCTCCGCTTTCCCTATGCCAAAAATCCTCGACGGCTACAGCTATACAGAATGGCCCGACCTTACCGCCGACCGTTCACCTCTTGATTGTATTCACGTTGCGTCAGAAGATATTGCGGCGCACGGAATGTCTGAAGAAACCATCCACGCAGTTATTCTTTCTGCCCTAGCGCGGATACTGGGGGCGTATTGCGGCGCCTCCGACATCCTCCTCGCCGTTCAAGTGGGACAGAATGAAGATGCCGCGTTTGTTAGGATTCTGTGGGACGAAACGAAGCTTTGGGAAGAGCTTCTCGCCGAATCCAAAACAGCATTGCTCGACGCGGTCAACCAGCCTGTGGCCGATGAACTCATTCGCGAAGCTCTCTCTCTATCGAACAGTCAGTATCCCTGCATGGCACTCCTCAATCTCGACGCGCCGGTTTCGCGGGTCAGCGATCGATATCCAGCGATGCTATCCTACCATACCTCCAGCTCTCAATTAAAGTTGTTAGCCCGCACTACAGTCCTTCATCCGACCATCTCAAATCAGATTGTTGCCCAGATCTCAACACTTATCGGACATATCCTTTCACATCCCCGCGCAAAAGTTGCGCAGACGCCCCCTTTTCCGCCGGAACTGATGTCGATCTGCGAACGAGGCACCGAGGAAGAAGTCGCTTCGGCGTACCCGCATCTTCCGGCGGTCGACTTCGCTCCGGACTATCTTTCCATGAGAGCCACGGACATGCCTTCCGTAGAGGCCGTTCGTTGGTATTCAGAATTGTCTTTGGAGTCCCCTCAGCTCGAGTTCGAGTCCGTCTCGTATACCAATTTCCACAAGAAGGCCAATCAAGTGGCACGTTGGCTGCTACACCTGGGCTTGAAGGAGGAAGATCGCGTTGCCGTATGCTTGGATCGTAACTTGCATTTTCATACAGCTATGATGGGAATAATGAGGGCTGGTGCCTGCTATGTGCCTGTGAGTGACGTTGCGCAGTCAATTAAGGTTGTAAGCTAACTGGGTTGTGCGCAGATCGACCCCGAGCTCCCTTTGGAGCGCAAACTCTACATTGCCAAGGACGCGGCCGCGACTTTCGTCTTGACGTCGACTAGCATCGCCAGTCCCGAGGTATTTGGAAAGCGCACATTGTACATAGAAGAAGAGAGTTCTCAGAATGAAATCAGTCGCGAACTAGATGACGATGTCAACTGCATGAAGCTGGATAATCTAGCGTATCTTCTGTATACGTCGGGTGCGTATTTTGCTAAAAATTCCCTCGAAGAAAATCTCATACAGTCGCTAGGAACGACTGGCAATCCGAAAGGATGTCTATTGACGCATAGAGGCCTTTCTCAGGCTATTTTGGCCCTTAGCAGTACTGCAGCGGATGTTCGTATGGACAGTACACACCACGGTCGTTATTTGGCTGTTGCATGTAAGCTCTTGAAGTCACTAGCTGTGTTGTGACTGACCACATCTACTGCAGCAATCGCATTTGACGTCCATTTGGCCGAGACGATTGTTCCCATCGCACTCGGGATGCCGTTATTCAGTGCACGACGATCTCAACTCCTGGAGAACCTTCCAATATACGTCAAAGAGCTGCAGATAACCCACCTCGGGATCGTTCCAAGTTTAATCGAAGCAACACTGAATGCCGCGCAAGGTGGGGTGGAGGGAAGTGACATCGCGCTGAGGTACATCGCCAGTGGAGGAGAGAAAATGAGCGACTCGGTATGTTATAATTCCCAATAACCTCAACTTTAATGAATGCAATATTCTGTTCAGATCCTCGACAAGTGGGCCAATCACTCTCAAGTTCGTCTGGCCAATTTTTACGGACCCAGTGAAGTGACCATTGGCTGCTGTGCTCGGTACATGACACCCTCCACTCCAAGAGCTAACATCGGCCGTTCCTTTGCGAATGTATCCTCATATGTGTGTTTTTCTTTTGTACTTTCGGCATTCCTTTCCGACATTTCCTGTCAGGTCGTTGATGCGGACCTCAATATTCTCTGCCGGGGAAGTGTTGGTGAACTCGTTGTAGAAGGACCACTAGTGGGTCGCGGGTATCACGGACGACCTGACCTGACTGCCAAGGTATTTCTCGAATGGCCTCGTCCTGGGTGTTGGGCGTATAGGACAGGCGATCTCGTTCGTGAGTGTCGCAATTCCTTCCCGATGGTACAATTGTTCATTAACATACTCCAGGGATGATGCCAGACTCCACGATTGAGATAGTCGGCCGAATTGACACTCAAATCAAGTTGAGAGGTGTACGTATCGAATCTGAAGGCATTTCTGCCATCGTCCGGAAGGCCGCTCCCCCGACCAACAATTTCGTCCTTGACGTCACCACGATCCTCGCCAAACATCCGGCGATCGGTGCCGATCAGCTTGTGTCTTTGTTTTCGTGGGAAAAAAATCCTATATCTATCCGGAAGTCCAAACGGCCAGAGGTTGCTATTCCTCCTCCAGGGTTACTGAAGCAGATCAAATCAAAATGCGAACTAGAGCTCCCCGCGTACATGCGACCGAGCCATTTCATTCCCCTTGGCTGGCTTCCACTTAGCTCTAACGGGAAGACAGACGTGAAAATACTCCTCGATATCTTCCAGAAGTTGGACGTTAGTGTCCTCGCCAAACTATCGACCATTCCGGATAGCTCAGCTTCGAGGCCATGCACGGAAGCGGAGAAGAAAGTGTTTGAGGTGCTCTGCAGACACGTCGCATTACCGTTCGACGATCCCCAGCCTGATATCAACGTCTTTGAATGTGGCCTCGATTCCATGGGTGTTATTCGGTTTGTCACGGAGCTTCGAGGGATCTTCAACGCGAAACTCTCAGCTTCAGACGTCATGAAATCACCTCGTCTTTCGGACATTGCCTCACAACTCCGACCATCAATTCCCCAGTCTGGAGTTAGCCAACCATCCAAATCCATAGCTGCTATTGAAGGCTCTCTTGAAGAAATCAGTTCGGTTTATGGGTCGAACAACATTGATCAGATTCTCTCCCCATTCACTGTTCAAGAAGGCGTTTTGGCACGGTCCGCAGACTCAGACACCCTCTACGTTCAGCATATTCTTCTCCTCTTGAAACAGGACGCGTCTCTGCCAAAGCTCCGTCAGGCGTGGAACGCTGTTTCTTCGAGACACTCCGTTTTGCGGCAAGTTCCCACTTACTTTTCTCGTTGCCGGGTGCCCATTAAGCGATTCATAATAGAACTGTTTTCTTCTTCGGCAGGACACTGGCCCAGGTTGTGCTTAAGGGCGGAATCTGTAAGCTCCAGTGGAAGAAGCAAGCCTTTCATGAGGGAGAGTCTTCATTCAGAGACTTCTTCCTCGGTCGGGAGGCATTAGCCATCACCCGTGACATCAACCAAAACATCTCCACCATACCACCCTACCGGCTCCGTGTATATTCCTCAGCGGGGGCAACACATCTCGCGTTGTCCATTCATCATGCCCTGTTCGATGGAATTGCTCTTCCGGTCCTTTTTCAACAGGTGGAACGGGAGTACTTCGGTCTACACCCACGCACTATGGCTCAACCTTTGGACATCCTCGACAGGATAGCATCCATAAACCTCGACGATGCACAGACGCTTTGGAAGACACATTTTTCAGGATTTAAATGGGCGCCCTCGACCCTTGTTGCCAGCGACCCTCTGTCAACCCAGCGCCTGATAGTACCCTTCAAGGCCCCATTGTCGTCTGTGAAGCAACTTGCAACTGCTCAGCAGGTGACGCTGCAGGCCCTCTTCACCTGCGCCTTTGCAGATGTCGCAGCCAGGAGGATCTATCGACGACGGGATATAGCCTTTGGGGTGCGTAAATGTGACACTATACCACGGAGATGAATCACCCACCTACCATGAAATAAATAGGTCCTCCGGTCGGGCAGGCTTCTCCCAATCGAAAACATTGATGGCGCTCTCGTTCCACTTGTATCTGTGGTTCCCATTAGGGTGGATTTGCGACACACAGAGGGCTCTCTGCGAAAGATCCAACAGTCCGTCTCATCGACGATTGATTATGAACACGTCCCACTAGGAAAAGTCCAGAGTTGGGTTAGACCTGGCCACCCGTTGTTTGAGCTCTTGTTCTCTGTCTCTGTCGATGCTTCTTCACCAAGCAGCATCTGGGAAGTCATTGAGAGCGAACCTCCCGAATCAGATGTAAGTTCCGTCCTGTAGATCGTTCGGTGTCGTCATCTAACCCCATAATTCAGTACCCGCTGGCTGTAGAGGTTGTTTTGAACCCCAAGAATGATTCTCTGCTTGTGCAAGCCGCGTGGGTAGACGGAGAGCATTCTAGCCTGATTCGTGACTGTCTTCAAGAATTCGAGCGTATCGTCCATGATCTTGGGCAGAACCCAACCCTGTATCTCGGGCAATCCTTACGTCATCTTCCTCTCGACTCTCTGGATCTTGACGACCCTCTGGATGTTAAGGAACCGATTCCTGCTATCGACCACGATTCTATCGACCTTGCCTTGTTGAACGACTTGCGCGACATGATTTCTAATTTCTTGGGGATCAACCCAATCGTCCTTACACCCTCGATGTCTTTCGTGTCCATGGGTCTCGATTCCATCAAATCTGTTGGCCTTGCCAAAGCATTAGCCAAAATCGGTTTCTCTGTGACGTCCACTGATTTATTGCGAAATTCCACTCTCGCAGGTCTAGGTGCCCACCTTACGTCCAAGAAATCCAAGACAACTTTATGCCTGCCGGAAGAACTCCTTGACCCAGATATCAGGTCAGAGTTGGATAAGGAGCAGCTGACTCTGTCAGAGGACGATATAGTCCGACCCTTCCCGACCACAGCTCTCCAAACTGGCATGTTATCACAAGTAAGCCTTCCTGTAAACGTAAACCCTTCTTTTTTGACGGTTGCTAACTTTTGTCAAAAAGACTATCAATTCACAAGGAAAGTTATATGTCCACATGTTCCCCTTGCGCCTGTCTCCAGAAATCGAAGCCAATCGCCTTCAAGAGGCTTGGAAGACTGCCATCGGAACTTTTGCCATCCTGAGAACCACCTTCCACTTCTTAACCGATGCGGGGAGATGGGTTCAAGTGGTGCACACGACACAAGATTTGAAGTGGTCAGTGGCATGTCTGAGTGGTGACGATGACTACGCGACCGCCCTCGAAGACTTTTCCTCAGATATCAGACTTTATGAGGAGACCAGCTTCAGGCGACCACCATTTTGGATCCGACTCTTCCAAACTCACACTGACGAAGGCAAGGAAAGCCCCACATCCCTTGTTTTCGCAATGCACCACGCTCTCTACGACGGACTCTCCATTGGCAAATTGCTAGAAGCCGTGGAGACCTTTTATCGCGGGCAACCTTTCGAATGCACGAAGCAATTCCATGAGCTTCTGCCTCACTTCGCGATGCAAGAAAAAGAGGGAACACCGTTCTGGTTAAACAAGCTCCGCTTATACCACCCTGGCCGTCTTCAGCGCAGCTCTTCGGAGTCAACGTCGGTTATTTCGGTCACCAGCGAGAAGTATGTCCCATTCAAGGACGGAGAAGTGAAGGCACTCCTAACCCGCGCAGCTGTCACTGCTCAGTGCATTGGGCAAGCCGCGTGGGCCAAGCTTATCTCCAAGTATACTGGCGCGTTGGACGTCGTCTTTGGCCATACGGTTTCTGGACGTAGCATACCTGGGGCAGAAGACGTTATTGGGCCAGTGTTGGTGAGTTGGTTAAGATCGTACCGCTCCACATGCTCTAAGGCTGACCTGATTGTAGAACACGGTCCTATGTTGTCTTCGCCTGCGCAAAGACATGCGCAACATAGATTTTCTACGGTTGATACACGAGTTCAACCTTGAAGCTCTTCCTTGGCAGCAGGCGTCCTTGCGCGAGATTCAGAAAGCACTAGGTGTCGATAAAATCTATGATTCTCTATTCCTCTTCCAGATGGGGAAAGCTGAGCAGAATGAAGCACGGCTATGGGCGTTCGATGAAAACGTAACAGACCGGGATGTCCAAATACAGGTCAGTATTCGTGACAATTCTTCTTCCTCCTCTACTTACCGCTCTGATAGTATCCCTTAAATGTCGAAATGTTTTATGACGATTCTGGGTTTACTCTCAAGTGCGCTTCTTTGTTGAATTACTTCGACCAGATCGCCCTAGAGGAGCTTGTCAACAACCTTCAGCGAATTCTTGAGGAGTTTATTGAAGATCCCAACGACCTCATCTGTGATGGCCTTCCCAAACTTTCCAACGGTGACGCTTATGTCAATGATTTTGCACGTGGAGAAGCTATGGAGAGTGCTGTTGTACTCTCAGAAGCGCACCCAATGGTCGATCCTTCAGTCTACCTGCCGATCCTCGCGTCGTTAACCAAGGCGCCAGTTGCGCTAATACAGCCCTCCACATCCCTCGTTGCTCTGGGTATCGACTCCATTACAGCTATCCAAGTCATCGGAAAGTTTAGGCAAGCCGGATTGAAGATCTCTGCTAGCGACGTCATTAGCAGTCAAACCATTGGCGAAATGCTTCAGAAGATGGTTCCCATACAGAATATCGACCCTCTTCACGAACTCGAAGTCAGCGAAGAGGTCTCCGATGATGAGAGGGTCGCTATTTGTGGGCGAATTGGGTACCCGCCCAATGAAGTAGAGGCAGTCTCGATAGCATCTTCCGGCATGAAGTGGTTGATCGGTGCCTGGCAAAAGAGCTGCGGCACCCGTTTCCAACATGTTTTCCCCTTCGAGCTTCCGTACGATATTGACATCGCGAAACTGAGGTCAGCGTGGTACGACCTAGTCCGACGGCACCCAATTTTGCGGTCGACTTTTGCTTGCGCTCCAGGCAAACAAGAGCCAAGAGTGGTCACTTTCAAGCCCTTTCCGCAATCGTCGTGGTCAGAGGAATTTGTGAGAGAAGATGTCTTTTTCAGGTCAATCCTGCAAAGGATGAAGACCATGGTTTCAAACCCTCCGTCGACGTCTGCGCCCTTCACTCAAGCGCTTCTCTTCGGATCTAATCGCCATTCTTATCTGATCCTCCATTTACATCACTTCCAATACGACGCTTGGAGCCTTCAGCTTCTCGTGCACGAGTTATCGTCTGTATACAAAGGTCTGACTACCAACGTTTCTCCCGACATGCATTCTTTCCTCCGGTATTCTGTGCCAAACAAAAAGCACCTTGCCGCACAGGAGAAATATTGGAAGGGCCATTTCCCTACTCGTTTCGAACCTATCCTCTTCCCTGTCTTGAATTGTGACGCTGGCAACATCCCTCCCATACGACGACTTATTCGAACCAATAAAGCTTGCATTCGAAACGTCTCCCAATACGAAACACGAGCTCGTCTTCTCGGAGTCTCTCTACATTCAATCATGTTGGCAACATGGGCTCGTGTTCAAGGCGACATCTCCTTCAGTTCTTCCTCTACCTTCGGTCTTTGGCATTCGGGACGAACAGGTGGGTTGGAAGACATTGGCGATCTCGCCGTTCCCTGCATGAACGTGCTGCCAATGCATGTTTCTGCCATTGACAGGAATCTCCTGGAGGTGGCCAGGTCTATCCAGCAGGATCTCCAGCGGCGCACGTCTATCGTCGAACAAAGCGACTTGGTTCAAGTGGGTGAATGGGTTAATAAAGCTCGCAAGCCGTTATGCAACGTATTCGTCAACATCATCAAGGTGGCACCGGATGTCAGCGCTCGAGACACGATCATGAAACCTGCAGCAGTGAGTTCTCTTTGTCCAAGACAGGATCTAGACTGACCTGGTGACAGGCGCCATACTTCGTCCCGGACAGTGTTGTACATCACACCGATGACACTGTAGGCAACCTTCCTGTGACGCAACTTATCAAGGACGACATTTTCGTCGACATCGCGGTGATAGACAAGACGGATGGCGTGCTGATGTCGATCGATGCTGCGGCCTACATGCTAGATGAAAAGCAAGCCGATATGCTGATCTCGAGATGGGTGCAGGAGGTCGAGAAAATCTTAAAATCATAGAGAATTTACATATGAACGCAGATGCTCACTACAATAATAGATACAACGACTTTTCGTTGAATTATAGAATTTTTTTCTCATGTCCTCGACGAGCAACTGAAAGGCACTCTTCTTGTAGCCCATCTATCCATATTACCTTAATTCCCGCCTTTTTCAGTTTCACTGCACCTTCGCAGTTAACAAAGTCGTCCGGTTCCCCGACTCCGATGAAACATCGCTTGACTTTAGCAGCGATGAGGGCATCCGCACAAGGGGATAACCCCGACGTCCGGATAGAACAGGGTTCCATCGTTGTGTAGACATCGGTGTGAGCCAAGAGCTGTTCCACTGACATCGAGGTGCTGGTGGGAAAAAGGGAGGAGAGCTGTTGTTCGGAAAGCTCCCGTGTCTTTGCGAGCGCGTTGGCTTCAGCATGAGTGTTTCCAGGAAGTTCTCTGGAAAAACCGGCGGCCAGGATTGTTGGTGCCATTTCGTTATCAGGCAGGCGGGTGACAAGAACACAACCAACACAAAAAGCTGCCTTGGTGGGGACACATTTTTCTGCTTCGGAGAGAGCAATGCGAATATATCGGATGTGAGATTCCAAAGAGTCCTGGAGAGAGATATAAGACGTGTCTGGGATGTGAAGATGGTACGCACTGGATGGCTGGCCATGATATTGGGTGAGTCCTTACATAAGCCTGGTCCTCAAACTTGACCGATCAACTGGCCAAGCCAAGTTCGGCCAACCAAACTCTTCACTTCGCCACCATGACCTCCACCGGTCCTGACGAACCGTCACAAAATTCTCGCGTAAACGACATGGATGACCCTATGGATGGTCTAGGAGAGGAAGAAGAGGAAGGTGATGTGGTAATGCCCGGTGTCAGCGACGACAGTTCGGAAGAAGGGGAGGACGATGAAGAAGAGGCCCGTGAGATTAGAGATGGGTTCATTGTCGACGAAGAGGAAGAGGAGGAAGAGGAGGAAGAGGCGCCCCGCCGACGGCGCAAACGAAGAAAGAGGCATCACCGAAGTAAGTCGTAGTACTCTTCATTTAACGGCAGTTTTATTCAGCTAACGGTATCTCTGCACGCATAGAGGAAGAAATACTTGAAGAGGATGATCTAGAACTCCTCGAAGAAAACACCGGAGGGACCTTCAAGCGCAAAAGCCGTCTTACCCGTCTTCGTCACCACCACGATTCCGAATCCCCTCCCGCAGCCTCGTCCTCGAAACGCCGAGCCGTGGTCGAGTCATCGGAAGACGACTTGGACAACGAGGAGGATTTGCGTGAGGCATCGGACATCCGGAAAATATGGGACGATGATCGTCGGGGAGACGACGACGACGAGGATATGGATGACTTTATTGACTATAGTGACGAAGACGAGGCAGGTGCCATGAATGAAGAAGCACGTGAAGCGCGCAGGGAGGAGAAAAGACGAGAGCAATTACGCCGCCGGAAGGCGCGTGTTCGTCCTGAACTGGCAGGAATTGACGCAAAGTAAGTCTGCAACTCTTTTTTTGGCATGATTGGCTCATTGCCTGTTAAGCGCCTGGGATGAGATACACGATGTGTTCGGTGATGGCCACGAATACGACTGGGCACTTGTAGATGACGACGAGTTCGAGGAGGAGCACTATAAGCAAGACACCAAATACCAAGAAGTGAGTAAAGTCCCTTGAGATCTTCTTTTGGTCCTGACCAGTTTCCAGGTCTTCGAACCTTCTGAAATCCGGAAGCGAATGCTAACAGAAGATGACGACCTTATTAGAGCTCGGGATATCCCCGAGCGCATGCAACTGTCGTCGTCATCTCTGTCGCTCTCCTCTCCATTCCCAGATCAAACGCAGTTAACGGAAGATGACCTCGGAGGCGCAGCAATGTGGGTTACGCAACGCATATCTACGACAAAAATGCAAGAATATTTTAATCCTGATGGCAAGCGCCAACATCTCAAAGGCGCTCTCGTTATGGCGGTGACATTCGTCTTGCGGCAAATCTTTGTGGAACAATATGAAGTGCCCTATATTTGGGCCCACAAAAGAGATTATATCACTCGTTTCGACGTCAATGACATTCAATCCCGTGACGACCTCTTGACCCTCCCAGAATTGTGGCGTATCAGCACTCTTGGCCAGAGATACAAATCGCTCATGGAACGCCGGAGAACTCTATCTGCTGCTTATCGACGACTTCAAGTCAAGGATGAATACTACGAAGATGAGATCGAACCTCAGGTTGACAGCGTCGAGGTCATAGCGGATGCCACAGAGTGGCTGTCCATGAAATACAAGGACAAGAAGCAAGACTCGACACTTGACTTCCGTTTCCACGATGACGAGGAACCAGACACAGAGAAGAAGAGAAAGATGCCGAGTCGAATTTCTGCTTATGAAGTGGCGAAGAAAAGTGTTGTCTTTAAATTAGCGGAGGTGAGCCTAACTTCTTCCCCGGTTGGCACTGTTAAACTTGAATAACAACAGAAATTCGGGATCCAACCACATCAAGTCGTCCTAAATTTCTTGGCCTCGCACCATGTCCACTTCATTGATGATGTGGATTTAAATCCCCTTGTCTTCGCCGAGCAGTATTCCGATTCCGATCCCGCAAAAGCTCAAAGTCCAGAGGAGCTTCTGAGACGAGCGCGATTGATCCTTTCAACAGAACTTGGCAAGGACCCTCTGTTGCGCAGCCAGATTCGCAAATTATTCAAGGAAGAAGCGCGAATAAGTGTTGAACCGACAGAGCGAGGCATCAATAAGATTGATGAAAACCATCCTTACTTCGTATGTCGAACCATTCGAGATTGTACAAACACTAACAGTTATTTGCAGAGTTTCAAGTACTTGTTCCAGAAACCCATCGACGAAATGCTGAGAAGTCCTCAGTTCCTACATATTCTTGCCGCAGAATCTGAACATCTGGTCACTATCTCCGTTTCTATTCCTGCTGACGCCAAGGCTGCCTTTGAACGGAGGTTCCTCGATGCTTTCTCTTCCGACAACTTCACCGATTCTGCGAAAGCATGGAATGCCGAACGATCACGAGTTGTTCAAGAGGTGATTGAACAACACTTAATTCCGGCCGGTGTTAAATGGACACGAGAGTACATCCGAGATGAAGTCGAAGATGTGCTTGCTTCAAAATGTAGAGATCAATTGGAGAAGGTAAAGTGTGCCTGACTTTCTGTGGATTAGAAAGCTCATGATTATTAGCGCATTGACACGGCCCCGTATATCACGCGGGAGCTCAGATATGGAGAGTTTTCATCGTCAGTCCTTGCTATCTCATGGGGCAAAGGTGACCCGCACAAAGACGCCATTGCATTGGTCTACTTGGACGAGGCGGGTCGCCTTCGCGAACATACCAAGATCGACAACCTTCACGATCCCGACAATAACGACGAATTCCTAGATTTGGTGAAACGCCGCAAACCTGATGTCGTTGTAGTGGGAGGCTTCAGCATCGCCACCGTCAAGTTGATGCATCGTGTCAAGGAAGTGCTCAGTGGAAGGTCCGCAAATCAAGTCGAAAATGGATGGGGGACCTCAAACGGACAAGAATTTGATATTCCAGCGATATACGTGCATGACGATGTCGCGCGGATTTATCAGCATAGCAAGCGTGCTGCTGACGAATTCAGTGCACTATCTTCCACTGCTAAATACTGCGTAGGATTGGCTCGCTATTCCCAAAGTCCTTTGAACGAATTCGCAGCCCTTGGCAGCGACATCACAGCGATATCTTTCGATGAAGAAAACCAACACCTTGTATGTGCCATCTGCAATTTCAGGACAACTGTCAGGCTGATTGTATTGATAGATCCCGAAGGAGAAACTTCTTGCTGCGTTCGAGCAAGTTCTCGTGGATGTGACGAATAAAGTCGGTGTGGACATTAACCGCGCGGTCACGGATCCTTACTATCAACACTTGCTCCCTTTCGTCTGTGGCATGGGCCCCAGAAAGTCTCAAGTATTGATCAAGAAGATCGCTTCCCAGGTTGGTGTGACGTCTATTTCCTTCGACAGGCAGTTAACCACCTTTCTAGGGGGGCACACTTGTCAATCGAGACCAATTCATCAAGGCGGGCTTGCTCACCACAAAAATCTTCTTGAACGCTGCTGGTTTCTTGCGGGTTGTTCAAGATCGTGAAGCCAAGCAAGTGAAATACCGGGCGGAAGATGAAAATGCTCCTGATCCTCTGGATGATACGCGCATCCACCCAGAAGATTACGAACTTGCTCGCAAGATGGCAACCGATGCCTTAGAACTGGACGAAGAAGACATTCATGATGAACATCCCTCCCATGTCGTCGGTCTGATCATGAATGATCCAGACAAGGAAAGAAAGCTCGTGGAACTCAATCTCGATGAATTTGCAATTAGTTTGTACGAGGCCAATCACGATCAGAAGAGACACACCTTGAACGTCATCCGTGAAGAGCTGGTCAGGCCCTTCTCTGAGAAGCGGGAGAGATTTCTCATGGCGTCAGACACAGAGATTTTGACGATGCTCAGCGGCGAAACACCAAAGACTCTTGCCGTTGGTCTTGTCGTGTCAGCCATGGTCTCGCGGATCTCCAAGGATCTCGTCACAGTACGCCTTGACTCAGGTATCGAAGCCCACCTTCCTGCAGGAAACCTGATTGAACCGGGTTCGGCGATGCGCGTAGGCGACGTCGTGAAAAAGGGCCAGACCATTACGGCAATTGTGTCAGACATGAAAGTTGAGCTGGGCCATGACGAGCTATATATCGAGCTGGCCGCTCGATCAAAGGATCTCGATCAAGGAGACAGCGTGTTCAGACGCTATGAGCCAGATGTTTATTGGGACGAAGGCCATTACTCCAAGGATCAGGAGATGCTAGCCAGGAAAAGGCGCGCAGAGACTGATCGGACCCGTCGCGTCATCAAGCATCCGAATTTCCACAACTTTAACACGGCCCAAGCCGAGGCGTATCTCGAGAAACAGCAAAGAGGGGATGTTGTCATTCGACCATCGTCAAAAGGTGTCAACCACCTCGCGGTAACCTGGAAGGTTGACGATAGGCTGTATCAGCATATTGGTGCGTACAAATTTCGCTGAAATTGGTGTTGTCTTAATCGCTTCTATAGATGTTACGGAACTCAATGCTGACCCAACGGGGCAAACGGTTGGGGGACAACTTGTCGTCGACCCTCAGCATACATATTCAGATCTCGATGAACTCATCGTCAACCATGTTCAAGCTATGACCCGACGAGTTGAAGAACTCATGGCTCATGAGAAATTCAAACATGGTTCAGAAGATGACCTCCGTGAGCACTATCGTCTGACTCGAAACGACTTGACTCAATGCTTCCTAAATAGATCTCTTCCTGAAGAACTACCTCGCTGCTAACCCGGCGAAAAGTATGTATGGTTTTACTCTGAACAGGAAACGCCCAGGCCATTTCAACCTCTGCTTCTTGGCGAACAAGAATTCCACTGTCCAGACCTGGGTAAGCTCCCGCTATCTTGCTGCGAGGTATCTTGCTGATCTCCACAACTTCATTGCTGCAGCCTGTACGTGTTGCTCCTGAAGCATATTATCTCTTCGATGCAGCAGCCGTTGGGGTTCCAGAATTGTGCGACGCATTCAAAGTCAGGCATCTTCACGAGTCGCAGAACCTCGCCGTTGCTGCTGCCGGTGGAAAAACACCATATGGTGCTGGCATGCGCACACCTGCCAGGCCACCAGGCGGTGCAACTCCTGGTCATATGTCAGTACGCCAGGTTCCTGGACGAACGCCGAATCCGTACAGTGGGGGACAGACTCCCTTCGTCCCCAATCCCACCAACTTTGTCCCACCTCCTCAGCAACACGCGTATGGCTATCAGACACCCTCACATCGCCCACCTATGTTTCCTGGGCAGCCTCCGCCTATTCCCCAAAACATGAACCATCCTCCTCCACAGCGGCCTCCTCAGAGTCATGGAGTCTGGGGACAATCATGGCCTTGATTTATGTGTGCACCAGTATCTGGATATGCATATCCCACGTCGATGCATGCCTCACTCAGTAAATTATAATTTCTCTTTGCATGAATAATTATGTAAGTTACATTGCTCGTAAACAACAAAACAAAAATGAGTCAATTAGTTAGAGCAGGTATTTAATGTCATGAACGAATACAGTTCGGGTTGAGTCGCCATGCCAGCCTCGGTTGCTGCTCGCGCTAACGAGGAATCGAGCACCTGCATCAATGACTGGGTTGCAAAGGTCAATTGTCGATAAGTTGGACATAGAAGACCACCTACGCATTTGGGAGATGTAACCTCCATGGTGTCCTGGAATAATCTTGAACTGAACACCACTTCTCGATCTTCCAAATACATCTTCCCCAGCATCTGCCACGTTCCATAGGCGAATGTTATCGACAGAAGCGCTAGTGAGGAGCATTGAGAAAGCAATGACAGTAGAATATCTGGTCTTACCAAGCTATGTGACGACAATCGGGAAGCGCCACCACGCACGAAACAACACCTGAGCTAGTGGGATTACGAAGGGATTTGAAGACCCTAGGTGTATTCGTAGGTCCGGACGTCCCAAGGACCCGTACATCCCAAGCATCAACGGTGCCATTCCGTCTTCCTGCGTAAATGTATGCTCCATCAGCAGACCAACAAGCCTGGATTTTGAGAGTCAGCTCCACTGTATAGTTGTTGGGACGAGTAGTAGAAGACGCACAGATAAGCACCATGGTGGAGTCTTTTCGCTCATCCATAATCGACCTACGCCCTTGCCGGCAGTTTGGACCCTCCTGTCCCATAGAACAACTTGGCCATCAATGTATGAAGTCATGAGCAGTTCAGACGAATATGTTGCATATTCTACGGGATCGAAAAGGGGAGGCGCGCCTTTTGGTGGGGGTATTGTCGACTGTGGTGGAGGTCCAGCTGGCTGTCGGACCTGTGAGGTGCCAGGCATTGCGAGTTTCGCTTCAACGGCTGGTTTTGCAGGTTCATCTGGAACGTCATCAAAAAGAGGGTCAAAAGATGCATCCGAACGGGCATCAGAATCCATGGGTATCGCTTGTGACAGGTCAGGTAGCTGTCCTCCGTTTGATGCATTATTCGTGCCCGGCTTCGAGTCTACATCGATGTCCATGCTATCATTGGTCAATGGCTTCTGCTCTGTTGTTTCTGCTCCTTGATCTGTCCGTATATAAACTGGAGCACTTGTAGGAGCGTAGCCAGATGACAGTGGCCGAATGGCAATACTTGTGAGGTGAGTGTTATGCGCGGTATAGTTACGGACGCCTTGACCTGTGTTTAGATCCCATTGCTAAGAGCACTGTTAAGGACCAAGTCGCAGGAAAGCTGCTGGTTACTTACGATGGCTTCGCCATCCCAACCAGCGCTGAAAAACCCCTTTTCATCGTAGTCCAATGCAAGGGCAGAAATGGGACCTCTGTGTCCGTTCATGATATGAATGAGCCTCCCAGGATCGTGACGGACAGTAAACAAGTTGATGTTGCCGGCCTACAAGATAATAATTAGTCAAAATATACATGATATGATTTTTCAAAAAAGCGCACATCCGTCCCAGCCAGCGTCCAGAGAGCATCGGACTGCATAGCCAGACTATAAATAGGCGCCAAACGAGGTTCGTCATCTGCAGCCAAAACCCCAGCAGGCCTAGGTTCCTGTACTGGTACTGGGTTTTCCCACCAAAACCGTAGTTGTCCGGACTTCATAAGACCTTCAACTACACCCGCATGTTGTCGTTGAGGAGCCGTCAAAAAATTCTTGCTGTTGACTGCAGCAAAGATATCATAATTCCTGATATATCCGTCGTCTGAACCAGTCAAAAGGTGGGTCATGCATGCTGATGAAGCAAGTGCGTGTGTTGGGGCTGGGTGAGGGATCGCGCATATTGCTTCTATCACAAAAGAACGCGGAGCCTTATCCAGGGTGAAAGTGAGAGCCTTTCGGCGAAGTTGAGCAGGAGTTAGTTCGCGTATTCGAGGAGGTGAAGGAGGAGCTGTTATTGCAGATGCTGTGAGCAATGAGACAGGGAGACCATGGGAGAACGCGGACCTGGAGGAGGCACAGAAGGTGACCTTGCATCTGTTTTCGCAGCCTTCAGATGTTCATTGGCAGGTGGTTGTGGTGGCGGTTGGTCTAGTTCATCAATTAAACCCAAGTCCAGCGGCTCTTCGTCTTCTTCTTCCTCGTCCTCGTCTTCATCAGATTCAGAGTCATCTGAACCAGAGTCCTATATAAAAACAGGAAATCACTGTTGAATTGAACGAGCCGCAAGCCGAGACCGGAGGGTGTACACACACATCATCGCCGTCCTCCGTCGCGTCGTCCGCGCCTGGCGTCATGCCTGGCAGCGCATCTCCAGGCTCATCGTACATCTCAGCCTCAGCATCTGCGTCGTCTTCTCCTTCGTAAAGATCTTCGAGCGTTTCTTCTTCGGAGTCGTATTGTTCTTCTATCATGGTATACGGACGAAAAAGGGAATAAGCAATAAACGGGCGGCTTCTCTTGGCAACTGACGTCGACCATGGTTTTGGCCGATCTCGGAAGAAAGCTCAATGCTGCTCTCTCTGCTCTCAACAGAGCACCAGTTGTCGATGAGAAAGCACGTAAACCATTTGTGTGTTTCTTCTGCAAGGTACTAACCGCATAGCTCACGGAACAGGTACTAGATGCGACCCTCAAGGAAATCACAGCTGCTCTCCTCGAATCCGATGTTAACGTCAAACTTGTAGCTTCTCTCCGACAAAAGGTTAAAGCGAAAGTAAAGGCGACTTTTGAAGGAAATGCAGACAAATCGAAAGAGGCCAATAGAAAGAATGTGATTCAAAAGGTGAGTGATGAGCAGTCGAGTCTAACTTCGCTCTAATCCAGTATTTTGTTTCATTTATATTAGGCCGTATTCGATGAACTGGTCGCGTTGGTGGATCCTGGAGTTGAGCCTTATAAGCCTAAGAAAGGCCAATCAAATGTTATCATGGCGGTTGGCCTGCAGGTGCGTGCCTCCCCATGTCCCCACCTCTCTGGAGCACACTTCAGATAATAGTTTCCTCTAGGGCAACGGTAAAACGACGACATGTACGAAGCTCGCAGTGCACTACCAGAAACGCGGCTTCAAGTCCGCCATCGTGTGCGCGGACACGTTCCGTGCCGGTGCATTCGACCAGACACGTCAGTCCGCGACGAAGGCCAAAGTGGCCTATTTCGGTTCGTACACAGAGACGGATCCGGTATCCATCGCAGCACAGGGTGTGGCCAAGTTCAAGAAGGAGAGATTCGATGTTATCATCGTGGACACATCTGGACGGCACAAGCAGGAGTCGGAGCTCTTCGAAGAGATGGTGCAGATTGGGGAGGCTGTCAGGCCAAATATGACTGTGCTGATTTTGGACGCGAGTATCGGTGAGCATTTGTCAAATGTCGGCTTCGCGAGCTGTTCCTTAATTTCTGCTTCGTAGGCCAGGCGGCTGAGGCACAAAGTCGAGCCTTCAAGGACTCCGCCGATTTCGGTGCCATTATCGTTACGAAGATGGACGGCCATGCGAAGGGAGGAGGCGCTATTTCTGCGTGAGTTTCGTAGCTTATCATCGACAAAGATGTCCCTGTAATTTATTCTACAGTGTGGCGGCAACGAAAACCCCGATTATCTTCTTGGGTGTTGGAGAACATCTACATGACCTCGATAGGTTCTCTCCAGAACCATTTATCTCGAAGTTGCTTGGACTCGGAGATGTGCAAGGACTCATGGAGCATATGCAAGATCTTGCAACGCAAAATCCTGACAAGCAGAAGGAGATGGCCAAGAAGTTGGAAGAGGGAAAGTTGAGCATAAGGGACTGGCGAGAACAAATATCGAATGTCATGAACATGTAAGTGGTCAATGATGTAGCCATGTCAAATTTAGCTGAACCTTTCTTTGCAGGGGCCCAATTAGCAAAATTGCCTCGATGATACCTGGTTTACCTCAAGACCTGCTTCAGGGTTCGGACGAAGAGGGCTCGTTGCGGATGAAACGGATGATCTACATCACAGATAGCATGACCGCCAGTGAGCTTGATTCTGACGGCTCGCCGTTTATGGAGCTAGAAAAGGACGGCAAGCCCGTTGGTTTGACATGGAGAGTGACAAGAGTTGCTCGGGGCAGCGGCACTAGCGTGCGGGAGGTGGAAGAGCTGCTATGTCAGTATCGGATGATGGCGAATATGGCCAAGCAGGCTGGAGGCAAGAACGGATGGCTACAAGCGATGCAGAAGATGCAGGCCGCTGCTGGTGGCAAAGGTCGTGGCGCTGGCGGCATGCCCACACCCGCTCAAATCCAGGCAATGCAGGTTCGTCTTTTCGAAATTATGGACATTTTGAGCCAATTTTGACGGCGGACAGCGCTCAATGCCACCTGGAATGTTGCAGCAAATGCAGAAGCAGCTTCGAAACGGTGGTGGTATGCAGGAGATGATGAAGGCGATGATGCAAAGCCAAGGTGGAGATCAACTAGACATGGAGGAAATGCAAAGTGAGTTTATCTGTCTAGGATCAATTGCGGCCTGACAGCAGTTTCACAGGAATGATGCAGCAAATGGGAGGTGGACTGGGAGGGTTAGGCGGCCTAGGTGGGTTGGGGGGTCTAGGAGGCCTCGGAGGAGGGATGGCAGACATGCTCAAAATGATGGGAATGGGTGGGGCTGGCGGCGGACGCTAACTGTAATTATGTACATTAGGACAGGATCTATTCTACTCTCCCTTTCTCCTTATCTTCTTTTGAGACGAGGCAGCAGCTTTGTTGCCGAAGATGAACGCAGAGGTGTGTTTATCAGCTCCTGTTGTTTTCGAAATAGCACCGGAGTTGGCGAAGACGATCTAGTTGAAAGCTAATTTGTGATTCGAACAACGTCGACGACACAAGCACGCACCGCCCACAAGCCCCATATCCCGATGACGAAATCGACAACGAAGACTACCGAGGCGAGCGCACCGACGTTCTTGTCGTTCCAAGCGAGGAAAGCCGAGACATTAGCCACAATAGTCAGGGGCACCAGTAGCGGTTGAGTCGGTTTGGAATCCTCGGACATGGGCAGTGGAGCCTTGGGCGACGGTACCTGGGAGGATATGAGCCACGTCCTGCACGGCGAGGGAGGAGAAAGTTCACATTAAGCAGCAAAGCGAGGGCAAGTGCTGCGAGAAAAAGGCCAAAGTGGAGGGCGAGAAAGGCCTCAAGGTGCGTGAGGGAGGTGCGTGGCTCGGTTGCATCGTCGGAGAGGAGGAGGAGGAGGCGGGGGAAAAGGGTGAGGGGGACGGCGAGTGCAGCGAGGAGGGCTGCGGCGAGGGCGGACCAGATTGCGAGCGAGTTGTCGTTGATAGAGGTGGGAGTCATCATTCACGGTGTCAAACCCGGTTTGGCCATGGACGACGTGGATGGCTTCCAAGTCGTCGGCGACAACGACGGCGAATACTTCCGCACCCTCCACGGCCGCATCCTCAACACCCTCAACAAAACATATCTCCTCCCCGTCGACAACGACGAAGTCAAGGTGCGCATACAGCCTGTCTCCCGCGTCCTCCCCGCTTTATGCCTCGTTTTAGCGCTCAGACATCCACCACCGTCTCGTCCAATTCGTCTTTGGAGGCAGGAACTACATTGGGCCCTTCAAAGAAGCCCTCCAGTTCGGCCAGCAGCGCAGAGGCATGTCCGTCGTCGCCTTTCTCGCTTCCCCACCTTTTCATCTTACTCTCCATGGCTTCTAGTGCTGGACCTCGGCACAGGCGCCGGTAACTGGTCAGACGACACAGCACTCTGCTCTCTTCACCCCTCTCATATTTCTGCTAGGGCAATCGACATCGCAGACGAGTTCCCCAGAGTCGAGGTCATTGCCGTCGACCTCGCACCCATCCAGCCCCGGTGCGTCGCGCTCCCGAATACCACGGCTCACGCGTTTCCGCAGATCTAACCCTTTCAGCAGGAAAGTACCCCCAAACTGCACGTAGGACACGTTTCTCCTCGCGTTATTTCCCCGTCTTCATCTGTCCATTTCGCTTAGATTCGAGCTGTGCGACATTGATCAATGGCCCATTCCCTACCCTGATGCCCATTTCGACGTCATACACGCACGCTCAATACACATCGGCGTCCGTGCTTCTCCTCTGATATCACAGCTTCTCTTAGGCGCTCACGTTTGCATAGATCCGCAATTATCCTCGGTTTCTGCGCGAAGTCGCGCGGCTCCTACGGCCGGGTGGCCTTGTCCTCTTGGTGGAGCCGACTCTCAATCCATGCCCCCCGCCAGCCCCTCAAACACCGATGCCCGGCTGGGCAGCCCTCTGGGAAACTTACCGTGCATGCCTGACAAGACAACATATCGACGTCACTGTTCCAGAACGTCTATCTAGCTTGTTGGCAGCGACAGCTGCCTTTGAGAACATCATCGTCCGAGATGGGAACGTCCCTGTCGGCTTCTGGCCTCAAGGTCTCGTTTATTTTTATCATGACCAGCTCTCACCACTTAAATCATAGTCCCACTTGCAGATCCATATCTTCTCTCAGTTGGGCAGCTACAGTGGATGGACTACGAGCTGTTTCTTCCAGCCCTGAGACCATTCTTCCTTCATAGCGGTCTCCCACCCTCGACGGTGGACCGTCTTATTAAAGATGCACAGAATGACCTCTACTACCCTTCATATTCTCCCTCGACTCTCTTGCACATTGCTCATGCTTCCAAGACACTTTGACATGTACTATAACTATACTCGTTCATACACCTTCCTCTGCTCATTCACGACTGCATTTCCCTGTACCATATATACTTGTTTCTGGTGTACATTCAAGTTCTTAGTTGGGCTTTCTTGTATATGTCCTGCAACCTCACACTACTAGTCCTCACGCTCATTCATCACACGCAGATATACAGCAGTTGAACGATCTTTTGTTCCGTCATCAAAGTACATACATGAGGAACAACCCGAACCCAAACCCAGCCCGACCCTTATCACTAAAGTTAACAAAATACGACGATGGAAGGATAAGAAAATCGAGTGGGGACGATGAGCGATAAGAGCAGCACGAGCCATGGAGGGGATCCACAACCACACCAAGCCGACATAAACGAGCAAGCATATCGTACAAACATACGGCATAATGAGTGGACGGGTCCATGTGCACATAAACCCTAGACAAGACTTCCTATTCATACACGTGCGCGCCGCGGGAGACCATGCTTAAGCCGTGGGCTCTTCCTTGCCGGTGTACTCGTGGAGGACAGCAAGTGCCTCGTTCACCTTGTTGGCCATCGCATCGGGAGAATCCAGAAGGTGGAGAAGCTCGTTGTTGTCCATCTCCAACAGCATGCCCGTAATCTTGCCAGCCAGTTCAGGCTCAGTGCTAAGGTGGACCGTCAGCGCCAATTCGTGACCAAAAATAATAAGTACAAGACATACCCAGCGATCCTCATATAGATGACCTCACCCAACATCTGCTTCTGCTCCATGGGGTTGGCAGCGGCCAACTGAGCAGCAGTGATGGTGGGTTCAGCAGGCCCTGGTGCAATAGGTCCTGTCGCAGAGGGAGGAGCGGCAGACCTAGGTTGAGGAGGGACAGACCCTTGCTTATATCCAGCCGAGGCGGTAGGCTGGGGTTGAGCGCGACCAGCAGAGGGAGGAGCAGCTCCACGATTGGGAACAGGAGCTCCTTGAGGGCCGGGGGCACGAGGAGCACCGTTGGCGGGAGGCGGGCCGTTGGCGCGGGGGATGGGGACAGTGCCCTGGGTGGGAGAGCCGCTGGGGCCGCGAGCAACGGGGGGACGAGGAGGGCCGCGAGCAGGATAGCCACCTGGAGGCATAGGGTAGCCTTGAGGAGGCGCCTGACCATAAGGTGCGGGGACAGGGATGCCGGCAACTTGTCCGTTGGGGCCGTACCGGGGGCGAGGGGGCATCATGCCGGGCTGGCCATAGCCCATCATGGCACGACCTTGAGGAGGGAAGCCTGGGCCAGGAGGATAGTACATCGGTCCATTGATATAACCGCCTGGAAGGCCTGCAGCCGCGGCCTGTTGCATCCTGATTTGATTGCGCTGAGCGATCTGGCTCTCGAGCTGTTGCCTGCGAACTTCACGGCGCTGAGCAAGGGAGACATAGAGGGGTTTGGAGCCGATCATCTTGTTGTTCATCTCCGCAACAGCCTTGGTGGCCTCGTCAGGAGTGGAGAAGCAGACAAAGCCGAAACCCTTGGAGGTACCCTTATCATCGCGCATGACCTTGCAGCTGGTGACAGTGCCGAAGACCTCGAACTCAGCGCGAAGCTTGTCATCATCGACGTCGTCCTCCAAGTTCTTGATGTACAGGTTGACACCTTGATACTTGCTCATCTTCTCCATCTTGGCCTGCTCGTACGAGCGACGAAGCTCCTCCTCACGTTCGGCCTTCTTCTGGGCACGAGAAACGAAGAGCTTGCGACCGTTGATCTCGCTGTCGTGGAGGGCGTCGACAGCGGCCTGGGCCTCCTCGTGCCTCTCGTAGTTGACGAAACCGAAACCCTTGCTCTTGCCTTCCTCGTCGAGCGAGAGCAGGGCAGAGGTCACCGTCCCGTGCCTAGCGAAGAGCTTCTCAAAATCCTCTTGGGACATCTCGGGGTCCAAGTTCTTGACATAGAGGTTGGTGAATTGGGCCTTCATCTCGTCGAGCTTGGATTGACGCTCCTTGCGAGAGATGTGGTGGCCGACGTAGACCTTCTTGTCGTTCAGGAGCATGCCATTGACGGCCTTGATGGCATTCTCAGCAGCCTCAGCGGTCTCATAGTGGACGAAACCATAGCCCTTGGAACGCCCGTGCTCATCGGTAGCGACCTTGCAAGAGAGGACGTTGCCGAAGGCAGCGAAGGTGTCATGGAGAGCCTTGTTGTCGATAAGCTCATCCAAGTTCTTGATGAAAATGTTGCCTTGGCCAGTCTTGCGAAGGGCTGGGTCACGTTGAGACCACATGATGCGGCTAAGATGGGTAGGGGATGAGCAGGCTGGCTTTGCATTAACCAAGAATCTCTTCACCATGCACGGTTTTTGATCAAAGAGTAATTGAGCTGCTCAAGGGCACGCTCGCCTAAAACGTTTGGTCAGATATATGCGCTTGTCACACGTAAAAAAAAAAAAAAAAGAAAATGCAAACGCACCATCGCTGGTGTTGAGGTAGTTGACGTAGGCATATCCCAAAGAACGACGGGTGACGGCATCACGGCATACACGAATGCTAATGACTCGGTCAGAAACACACTGGGTGCCCGGAATGACGGAAATACGACGCACCTGGCGACTGGGCCGATCATGTTGAAAATTTCGAAGAGCATGGCCTCGGTGACGGTAGGGTCAAGCTCTCCGACATAGAGGGAGGCAGACGGAGCAGACGCGACGGAAGTCTGCGGGGCAGGTGGGTTGTACGGAGCAGGGGCAGGGGCAATGGCGGCCTCGGGGGCAGCAACAGGAGCAGCCTCAGGCTGGACAACGGCAGGGGAAGACATGGTCGTAGATTTTTTAAATTGGGGTTTGGGGGGTCGTTACTGCTTTGTAGACTTTTCTGTACTGGATGTCGAGCAATGATAAGCTGGCAGACGGTGAACGAGGCACGAAAAGCAACGCACACAAATGAAATAACGCAACCGCGATGTATATAAGGGTTTTTTAGATGTTTTTTAAACGGCTTTTTTGAACTGTGGAGAGCGTCAGCGACGGCGACGACCAGGATGGGAAGGACATACGAACCTTTAGTGACGGGTGGTTGAAAGAGACAAGAACTTGTCATCGCGCATTTTTGATCAAACACTTTCAAACTCCGCTTGCGCACTGTTCACCTCGCACAGCCACAGTGGCACACAATTGTCCTACGTGGACCAGGCGCTTGGAAAGCAGAAAGATATCGCATTGTCTCCTCGTACAATAGAGAGTACATATAAAGCATAAGCGGCCCCTTATCATCCTCTCGTGAAATACGCCTTGGCGCCGTGGCTCGCGAGCTCCGTTTTGGCCTGATAGATGTAACGCAGAGTCAGTACGAAAGTTGTGGAGGAACACTCTAAGCCCGACCTTCTCCATGGTGTGGCCCGCGGCTGTGTGGTGGTTGTATATCTGCATTCCAAACGGTCAATCTCATAGCCTCAAACAGCCAGCCAAGCCGACGAGTACGAACTTCTCGGTAATAGTATGCGTTCCCGACTCCTTGCACACTCCATCCTACCGTCGCGATCACACCAAAGACGGCGGCAACCCAGTGGCGGTTCGAGAAAAATCGGATCGTCAGGAAGAGACCAGCTGAGCCGGTACTGGAGGTGGTTGAAGGGTGGGCAAATGGGACTTCTGCCTCGGGTTTTAAGATCGGGCACATACCTTGGAATTCCGATAATCCTGTCCGGCGAAGAGTGAGGACCCGTCAGGAGGAGAACCGGTGATGACGTGCTCACATGTAGATACTATAGAGAAGGTGGAATCCGCAAAAGAAGAAGTACAGGTCTGTGGTAGGCACACGTTGTTCAGATAGAGATGCGGGGCAAATCCGGCCTTCTCACAAAAGTATAATGCTTGCTCCTGTTGAATGCATCAGCTCGGAAGTCTATAATTGCGGTCAATTTATATCACCTTCATGTAGCCGTTGTATATGGGCCTGTAGAGAGAATGGGGATGAGGAATGAAAGCAGGAAAGCGCAGGAGCTATTGCTCACCGGTACCACAGGAGGAAGGCGAGGACCGGAATGAATATCAGGTATCTATATGAACGTCAGATTGGGTTGAGCAACTTCATTGGAGACAAATTGACCCAATGCTGCCACCCAGGTCTGCTCCACCGGTCGAGGATCCGGATATAAGGGCAATGATACAGGCAACTAGGTTTACGACGGTTGTTGCTGCAAGCACGAGCCAGAGCTGGAAGAGGCGTGTAATGAGCGGACGAGATGCTTCTGGGATCTCGTCCGGAATGGAATGGAAAATCAAAGGGAAGACTGGAAGGAGCGCGCTCGGTAAGAATGGTCGCGTTTGAAGGAAGAGGCACTTACAAGGCGGAAAGTTGTTACGCCCGTGACGGCGGATATGTTCGGCTTTGTTGTTTAGTTCCGCCTCGCGTCGTGCGAGGTCTTGTTCCCGACGACGAATCTCCTCGAGTCGTGCATCTGCAGCGGGAGAAGAGCGCTGTGGTGGGTCGTCAAACGGGTTCGTGTCGAGAGAATGCGTTGAAGCAAATGGGTTTTGCGTGTAGTCAGCTACAAATGTGCGTCAGAACGGTCGGAGAGCACGAGGGCGACGAGCATACTCATAAGTGGTGGTGTCGTTAGCAGAGGTGTTTAGCACGACGCTCGTAGAGAGACACAGCCGCAGCATCCGGCAGTTGCCGGTATTGACTGTGGTGGATGGAGCCAAATAAAGACTATATTTGGACAGGTCCTCGGATTGAAGTGGCCGCGGAGAGACGGCGCAGGTGCATCCGACAGCGGATCTATTTTTGGCGCATATATAAATGGCCGGTGTTGGATAGAGTTGGCCCGTTCCTTTTCTCTTTTCCCTTCTTCCTCGTGTTCGCGATTTCCTCGTCCCTTCTTTCATATCTTACAAGAAGCCTTCTTCCACAGCTCCCACTCTCCCTTAAATACCCCTCTCTTTCATCCTTCACCACAACTCCCTCCCCTCATGTACACTCTCAACGCTCTCGCCGCTCTCGCTCTCGCCCTCTCGGCCTCTGCTATCGTTGTTCCCCGTGATACTCCTCCCAAGGGCTGGGCCACAGATATGCTCGAGGTATGTAGCCCAGCGTGTAATCCATGGCTTTGTTCTCACTAGTTGTAGCCATACGACGCATACCACACTCGCTATCTCGCCCTCTCATGCAACACCAAGCATGATACACAATTCTTCGATCAATGCTGCCATCCCCTCCTTGTTCGTTTTATTCATCAGTTTATTGTCCCATCACAAAATTTATCCCTATTTTTAGGCTACTGAGAGCCTAGAGACTGCGCGTCCAGCCCAGTGCAACCCGGCTGACGACAATGTCGATGATAGCGACCCTCCCTTCTGTGACGATGATGACGATGACGACGCCTCATCCACCTCATCCGCCACCGCCATCCCCACCTCATCAGCGGCGCCCATCCCCTCGCCCGCAACGGCTCATTCAGCCCCTGTCACGACACACAGCACATCTCAAGCGAAGGCTTCTCCAAAGCCCCAAGCTGCTATACAAGCTCAACCTGCGGCGGCACCGGCGCCTGCTCCCGCTTCTGCTGCTGCCAATACAGGTGGATTGTGCGTTACCCATCTTACCCATCTTCCTTGCTTCGCGGCACTCACTCCAACCTAAAGTGCAACTTACTTCTACCAGGAGGGCAACGCGGGAGCTTGCGGCACTGTCCATAAAGACACTGACATGATTGCTGCCATTGGTAAGATCATTTCTATTTGTGGTCTCATTACGGGTTGATCTGACTCCACCGCAGATGGTGACCGCTATGGCGACCTTGGCAAGCGTTCTTCCCTCTGTGGGAAGAGAGTCAAGATTACGAACACAAAGAACCAAAAGGTCTGCAACGATTATTTCTATCTGCACAGCATTCTAATCATGCCTATTCTTCCTTAGACCGTCACCGTCACCATTGCTGATGCGTGCCCAACTTGCAGGAACAGCAATTCAATTGATCTGTCAGAAGGTGCCTTCAAGGTCATCGCCACTCTGGACGAAGGCATTGTGCCCAGTGCGTGTCATTCAAACACCCGCTAAACCATAAGCTTACCGGCCTTTTGTTTACAGTCAGCTGGGTGTTCGTCTAATGAATTCCGCCACTCCGCTTAGCGACACGTAACGTCAAACAAAGCCAGTCATCTCTGCGATTTATTGCTCCAACTCCTTCTCACAACGGCATTGATATGCCTGGTGGGCTAGACCCACCGAAGACCTGGACGGCACGAAAGTTTATGAAGCTACGAGACTCACGACCCCGGCTGGCGAAGACTACTCCTATTCTTCTTAACCTTTAACTTGGCCCGTTCTGACTGCTCTTTATCTAGTCGCCGAGCTGACTATCGACTTATCCTTAACTTGATGTTTTTATTTCTCTTATTGGCTTTATTGGCTTTCTTCAGGCTTTTCTTATCCACCGATCGACTCGACTTGGCATTTTCTTTATCCATCATCACACATATACCAGCATATCGCATTTCAAGCAAGTAAAGTTGAAATTTGAATCCTTGTACAATATATAGAGTTTCGAAAGAAATAGAACCATTCGGCTAGCCCGAGGTGTACTTATGTTCTTGGCGGTGTCCCACAAAGCACAACAATTGATCGCAAGTTCAACCGAGCCAAACAACGCGCTCAATCGGAATCCCCAAGCAACTGATCAGCGAACATGAATTCCACAGTGCGCAAGATACTTGTCGTTGGTGGAAATGGGTTCATCGGTCAGTGTCTCGTCTACTCACCGTAACCCATGCGCTGAATTACCAGCCAGGTTCCGCTGTGTGCAGAGCTGCACTCGCACGCGGAATCCAGGTGACATGCGTCAGGTATCTATCTGCCCTACCCCTTCTACGCACCACGGCTCTCATGCACGCGCCCCAGCTCCTCCGGAAACCCATATAGAACTGCGAAAGGGCACTCCCCCGCGTGGACGTCCAATGTGTTGCCTCTCCCGAACTACGCCGCACGCGCATTGTCGCTCACATACCTTTTCATCTTCGACAGGTAGATTGGCAGAAGGGCGACGCGCTCGCGCCGCAGAGCTTTGCGCACCTGTTCCCGGACGTAGATGGGATGGTGCATACCCTGGGGATACTCCTGGAGGACACGTCGTACAAGCAGGCGTTGAGGGAGGGAAACGTCCCCCGGCTGCTGGGAAGTCTCTTTGGGGCACTGACGGGGGATAATGGGAATCCATTGAAGAGAGGTGTGGATGAGAGTGGTGGAAAGAGTATGAGTTATGAGACGATGAACCGAGATTCCGGTGAGGATTTGCTTTTTCTTTCTTTTCGAAACACGTCCTTGTTGGCTCATTTCTTTGCTGATCACCTGTTATGAACTCTCGTGTCTAGCGTTACGCGTGTGCGAGGCATTCATTAACTCACCCACGGGGGTTGACCCCAGCTCTGACGCCAACAACCCACGACCATTCGTGTACGTCTCTGCGGAGGACATCTTCCGACCGATCATCCCTGCACGATACATCGAGACGAAACGGGAGGCAGAGCGCGGTATAGAGGAGATGATGACCGGCAAACCCAACTATCGCGGAGTTTACATGCGACCCAGTGCGTGTCTCGCGTTTCCTTGCTGGTATTCTCGACTTACGCCTACCATCTTCCCCTCCCACCTTCCTGCTCCTTCTCCTGGTTCTAGGCCTGGTCTATCACGCTCACCACCGCCCACTGACGACACCCGCTGCGGCTTTACTCGACCTCTCGGCTACGCTGCATCGACAGGTGCCCCAGGGCCTCCCTACTCCGTCAGGCGTCCTCCGATCACTCGGGTCCACTGTGCAACCGTCAACTTCGCGTTCGCCGTCCTCGTCTTCGAACACGTCCAGCTCTGGTCTGGGTACGTCTCCGCTAGAGTCGATAGCGAACGCCCTCACTGTTCCGCCGATCCATGTTGACCATGTTGGGGAAGCTATTTGTGCCGCGCTAGATTCGAGGAATGGTGTGAGAGGTGTGGTGGATGTTGGACGGATGCGTGAGCTTATCGGTTGGTCAGCAGATGGGTGCGGCCGAAGCGAGCGTCATACCTTTGCGGAAACACGCAAGGAGAGCGCTGTGTAATAGGGATTCCTAATACTGTGATTATTTATTAGTCTTAGTACTAAGTACTTACTTGCTATAGGCGTCTTCAAATTTCACGAGGTGTGCTATTCCAGTGTGATTGCTATTTCTAATGTGATTTTGTTCTTCGCAGCAGGCATCGGGCATCCGTGCGGCGCGTTGGAGAAAGGGTATGTAGTACAATCCCCGCAACAGGGGTTCTTCAAAGACCCACCATTTTTCCATTCTAGACCTTTCTCCTTGCATTTATCTTTAGTACCTCGCTCCCATCGACGACATTGCGCTGTTTCCCCATTTTTTGTGCAACCGAGTCAGCAAGTCGTCTCACCCTATCAGTATGTGAGTATTATTTTGTTTTTCTTGGGCGTTCGGATATAAGCCGAAGGGACACTTGCCCCAACCGAATGATCCAAAACCCCCTTTCCTTCAGTGTCTTTCTGCTGTTTCTTATCCTTTTCTCCTTCTCGGTTGGACCCGAACAGCAGCAGCAGCGACAGGACAGGACCGTTATGCAAAGCAACTTTCGTAGTGGGATCCGGAACATACAGAAACATGCCCTGCGCCGCACTTCTCCCGCGCCGTCCCTCACCATCGGACGCACGCAGAATGCGTGCACGTCTTGCGGCAATACGAACGCCCAACGCTCAATAGCGCAATCTGCGTCCGCGCGCAGGGCCCTGCCGTTCTCACTCAACTCCATGGGCAGTGCGGCGCACGACGAGCGCGACGAGCGGGTCGTGCGGATGCTCATGTTCGGGAAGCCAGGTGCAGGCAAGGGGACGCTTACGGCGCGCCTGGCGCAGAAGTACGACATCCTCACGCTGTCAACGGGGGATCTTCTGCGTCAGCACATTGCGGAGCAGACGGAGGTGGGGAAGGAGGCTGAGGAGATCATTGCTCGTGGGGAATTGGTGCCCGACGAGGTCGTCCTGCGGGTAGTTACTTCCAAGCTCGATGCGCTGCACAACAAGGTACGTCTGTTCGCTTGGAATTTCTGAGGAGTGCTCCTTTCTAACACGACCCCTGCTCTGGCTTGCTCTCACGTCGCGTGTTTCATTAGCACTGGATTCTGGATGGTTTCCCCCGCACACTCAGACAAGGAGAACTTCTGGACGCGCACCTCAAGTATGTCCCCCTCGACTATTCTTCCGGAATCGCATGAATGTTCTGCTCACACGCGTCTAGGAAACGGAATACGCCCCTGACTCTCGTGGTCAATCTCGAAGTACCAGACGAAGTCATCCTGAGTCGCATCTCAGACCGCTGGGTGCACCTCCCCTCTGGCCGTGTGTACAACATGTCATACAACCGCCCGCAGGCGGAAGGGTTCGACGATCAGACCGGAGAACCCCTCACCAAGCGCCCAGACGATAACCCGGTAAATGCATTTTCTTACTCAGGTTTCATCTTTGTGCCTCAACTAGCGCAACTCGGTGCTCCCCCAGGAAATTTTTGCGCGCCGCCTAGCTGCGTTTTACTCCTCGACGTCTCCGCTGCTATCATTTTACACTAAATCGGCAGCTACTTCTTCCGCCACCTCACGTCCAAATCCCCACTTGCACCCTCACCAACTGTCGTTCCACCGCCCATCTGGTTTGAAGGTCAAGACAGTCTCAGGATCGACTTCGGACGAAATTTGGCCACAGCTCGATCGTCTCATACAAAATAGATTCCCTGGTCTGAGGGAAAGGCTGGAGACACAAGCTACAAGAACCAGACGTCTTGTGGGTGGGACCATTGCCGCCGAACTCGGTGCAGGCACCATTGCTTAGACGGAGATTTACATTGCTTTCACGTCCTTGATGCCGCATCTGATTCCCTACGAGTTCTTCGTTGTTTTCATCTGGACTTCTTATTTGTATGTCTAGCTGTACAACCCAGCATGCGCTCGTCGAGGCTGTTGTGTAGAGTAGACGACCTTGACGTTCAACATTACGCAGCTGAGACCGCGTGCCCCTTCAATATTCTGATCGCAACGCGTACCTATATTGTATACTCGTTGAACGCTTAAGTACTTTTCGTAGATAGAATCATAAACATACATTTTCACAACATATAATCCTTCAGGCAGACCTTCCTGGACTTGTTCACGTACCAGCCGTAACTCTGCTTGCTCGAAGAACGCTTTCCACGCGAGGTCCGATCTAAAGCAGGTAGCTCGAATCTGTTGCCTAGACAAGGTACCACTGGGACGCACCTAGTGAGGCTAGAATCCTGCTCATCAAATATCTCGGTTGGAGTATTCCCTGGACCGTTGGGGCAGAGGTTTTCTTTGACCACGATCAGGCTTCTTGGGTTCCTGCTGAGGGACTTGCAACAGCGTCGTAGAAACGCGATGAGGTCAACGTTGGTGAGATGGCCTAAACACCATTGGCACCATATGACGTCGAATCCGAGCCCAATCTCCTTTACAGGGTTTGGTGATTGATATCCGACGCGATCTAGAAAGCGGGCATGATGTGGCCTCAAAGGATGAAAATCTTGCAGGGTGCCTTGCAAGATGGTGACGCTCTTCGACTGATCTGCGAGGCCTGGCCAGGCGCCCTTGGATGGGTTCGAGGCGCTATTCCGCGCGCGCAGCAGTGCTTCCTGGACGAAGGCATCGACTGGCTCGAGGATGACGACATCTGAGACGAGAGGAAGGAGCACATCGCTCGTTACGCGCCCGATCCCTGCCCCCACATCGAGAGCACGGGCTCTGGGCTGGTCTGCTGGTGCATTGAGGCGACGGAAAGCCGAGGGGACAATACAGAGCTCGGGGAAGAGGTTGAGGAGGAAGAGGCGTGAGCCGAGGGCATCGACGCGGGGGAGGGACTGGAGGAGAGTAGATAAGCGTGCGAGAGACGGAGAAGGGGAGAGACGAGTACCCCTGTGCCGAACCCGCCGAGAACACCGTCGTAGGTCGCAGGCTGTGTGTTCCAGTAATCAATGCCCTGCTCAACGTTGGGCTGCTCGTTGCTCATCTCAAAGGTCGGCCATCACGTGCCCAAAAGGCTCATTAAACGCGTGTCGACCAAACACGCGTCAATAACACGCTCTCATGGACGACATCTGGGACCAGCCCGTCGCGCAAGATTCCTCCAAGCGCACAGAGATCGACGACGACGATGACGCGCCGCAACGTCCAGCGAAGCGCTCCAGGCAGGCGCTCTTCCTCGCCGACTCGGATGACGACATGGATCCGGGACCCTCCAACCGCACTGTTCACAAAGCCCCTCCAGCACAGGACGTGGACATCGAGGCGCTTTTTCATGGACTGGATGACGACGACCCAGCGTTCAAACCTCTTCCAGCAAGCGTCAATGTTGAGGAGCTGACGCGTCAGGCCGAGGCGAACTACAGCAAGATGCCCCCTCTCACCCCATACCAGGTCATGCCTAGCAGCTCTCCCTCACGCGATACCGCGGACAAGGACGGTAGTAAAGGTTCGAAGGCCAAAGGAAAGGATGGAGGCGAGAAGAAGGCACGTCGGAGGATCGTGAAGTTGGACGAAAACCGCCTCCTCGGCGAGAATGGCTTTCCACAACTGATCAAAATGACGAAGGATTTCAAAATAAAAGGGAAGGGGCATGAGGTGAGTGTTTCGTGCAACAGGCAATGGTATCAAACCGACGCGTCCTGTAGGCGACAGACCTGAATCGATTACTCCAAGTGTATCAATATTGGACCCATCAAATGTACCCTAAAACCCAATTCCAGGATACGGTGGAACGCGTCGAGAAGCTCTGTCATTCGCGCCGGATGACCGTAAGCTCCACTTAGTGACACTTTTTCCCCCCTGCCTCACCCATCCCTTTTCCCAGGTCGCGCTATCCGTCTGGAGAGATGAAGCACACGGAAAGTTCAGAGCACCAGTCGATGAGGAGGAAGAAGAAGAAGAGGAAGACAACAATCAAGAAGAGAACAAACCAATGCAGACCGATAACGAAGGTTCCGGCCTACCACCGTCATCTCCTCCGCGGTCTTCATCTCCGCCAGTCAACGTTCGCCCAACACAACGCAGTAGTCCTCCAGCGCAGCGCGACGAAGATGACGATGCAGCATTTTGGGCAGGCCTCGAGGGGAACAACGCTGGCTCATCGTCGGACGCCCCACCAGCTCCGTCGACGACTGGAAACTCATCAGTGGACGAAGATGAGGACATGTGGGACATCGTCAATGAGATCGAGCAGGAATCTACCTCGAAACATCCAGCACCACCTGCACCTCCAGCAGCAGGAGCCCCCAACGGTATTGCGCAAGGCGCTTCAGCACCACCGCCAAATCCTCCAGTACCAGACGACGATGACTGGGACGATATGTATGTATGATCACCGGCCATCATTATTATACCCATCTCAAAACCTATGCAATATACTCATACGATTGTAAATAATACACGATATCCAGTGCATAAATAACACGATAACATGACGAGGGGATCGATTAAGATTTAGTATGCACCTAGGGTGATTCTGGTGCCCAGAGAACACATCTGCCGGAGGCGTTGCCACTCGCTGCTCGTTCCACAATGTTTGGGTGTGAGCAGGTCACTGCTTGCACTGCGCTAACCCTAAGAGCAGTAAAACATCAGGAATGGATATCTGGATAGAAACACCGGACTCTCACATTGTTGGATCGGATAGTTGAGTGATTAGGTCACCCTGCAGTGCATATATAGATTAGTTCGTCTAGTGGTTTGGGAGAGGGTGAGTGCAAGTACCTTGCCAGAGTAAATGTCAAGAGAGTGGCGCATATTGCCAACCTGGATCCTATTAAGCATCTCTATTTCTGCAGTATAGGTGGAAACGTACTGTGAAATGCGGATAGACGTCAGGATTTGGGCTCCATTGCGCCCGCAGAATTGTGACCCATCGTCCCTGTGGACGAGGCAATATTGAGTCGTCGAAGGGCACCTCTGAGGGCGCACTCACTGTCTGGCAGTTATGGTTAACATGGGAGAAAGGCTTCAGTTGCGGGAAGGCGGTCTTGGTCCCAAATAACTTCGAGTCGATGTCCCAAACTGCCACACATTTTTAGCTCATGCACGTAGATGCTATCGACGAAAAAGAAACGCACGTCGCAAAGTGTCATCGTAGCTCGTACTTATGATTTGACGACCTCTTGGATCCCAGTAGGCCGAACTCGCAGATTTATCGTGCTTCCATTCGCCCCGGAAACCACCTTTACCGTCCTTAGAGTCGAGATACTTGTTGACTATTTCTGCATCAAATTCAAGCGTGCTACGAGTGGAATCGTCGGCCGAGGATTCTTGAGCAGCTTGGTCGAGCAAGTTGACTGGCATCCCGTTCAGCTTTCTTGCGTCCCAGACCCTGTCAACAATACATTAGACCACAACATTGGAGAATAAGGGTTAGGTCAGACTCACTTCAGGAAACGACTATTACTTGCCGTCAGCAGGAAATTCGGCCGCGAAGGGTTCACGCTGATGCATCCGATTTTCTGGTCCGACAGCTCGTATCGTCTCGCCTTGGATTTATCCTCGCGCAGGTCGAGATGTGTAGCGCCACCAGCAACATCTGAGACCCACATCTCGTGCCCATTTGGCGGAAGGTCAATGCACGAGATGAGGACACCGTCCGTCGCGTAGATCTCCTTGGAGGTCCCGGAGACGAAGGAGAGGCTGCGTATTGTGCAGTCGTACGAGCTCGTGTAGAGCTGAGATTTTGATTAGAAAGAAGAGTTAAGAAGACGCGACAGGGCCTACGTTGTGCGTGTCGATGGGATCCAACTTGATGCTCGAGATAGATGACTTGGAAGTTGCTGGCCAGTGAAGTTGTAGGCGCCAGTATTTCCCGCCCTCTCTGTTCTCAGGTGCGATGTCTCCATCGTCGTCTTCTTCGTCAGGAGGCGCCCTGGCATCCCATATGCCTAGTGTCCCGTGTTTGTCTGTCCATCGAGTCAGAGAGGAGCCAATGCCCATCATACAAACTGCTCACCACCGAAGAATATGATATCCTTGCTAACCTCCGGATGATACACGACGCAATAGATTCGCTCTGTAACGACCTTCGCACGCGACACTACCTTCAAGTTCTGCACCTTCTCCCTGATCTCCTGCACCGCCCTCTCATCCTTCTTGTCGTCCTTGAACACGAAAGCCTCAGGGTCCCCGACGCGTCGATGCGCGGTCTGAGGAATGGTCTCCATCGTGATTGACAAACTGGACAGTTCCTGGGGCTGGTCTGTCTCGGCGAGAGTCTTGAAGTTGAGCGTGTCGTGGCGCGGGCGCTTCGCCATTCTTGCCTTCTCCTGAGCCTCTGCTCGCCGTTCTTCTTCCTTCGCTTCCTCCTCCTTCTCGGGAGTCAGATCAAGTCTATATATAACGCCAGATGCCAAAACCATACCTCACGCAGCTTTCGCTCTTCCGATGTCTCCTCTACGTCGCTGTTCAGCTTGGAGAGCAGTCGCCTCGACTGACGCCTTGGCAGCACCTCCTCTACCCTTTCACGCTTAACACGTTTTGGCTGCACTGGCTTTGCTGAGGACTTCGCAGATTTTGACACACCCAGCGATTGCACGGCTTGCTTGAGGCCGAGGTTCTCAAACAGCGCGCGGTTTTTGGCGATGTTGGCCTCTCTTTCAAGTTCGCTATACCCATGGTCAAGGGGAGAAATACAGAGAGAGAATGCATCACTTGCTATTGGGATTTACTGGCCATTTTGCTGGAGGCGAATCGACGTGAGGGTAAGGGTAAAGCTTGAAACTTACACACGGGTTCGTTATTGTCACCAAGCGCAATTCGTAACGAGCACGTGATCTGTGACAGACACAGCAGAAGTCTGACGTCATGACAAGTGGTGTTGAATTCGTAGTAAAGAAACAGTAAAGAAACAGTAAAGAAACAGTACTACTACAATGTGCAATACAGTGGGGTCAGAACAGAACTACAAAGCGAGTATAGAGGAGCAGGGGTAAAACAGTGGCTAGAATACGAGTAATGGTAAAGACCGATGAAAGGTAAATTCGATACAGCAGAGTCGCAGATGGCATCCCAAATGGAAAAAGAACGGTCCAAGAAAAGGGTAAAGGGATTTAAAAGACTTCCAGGACCGATGTCTCGAGGACCCGGAACAGTTCTGGATCCTTCGAGTGCTCTGACCATCCGACGACTTCTCTCCAGTTGTGCTGATTTGCCTCTTTCTCTCCTGCACCTGCGAACACGCCCATCTCATCGTCGGTTAGACCGCGGAAGATGAGGAAAATTCGTGTGAAGCTGCAGGGCTCCGCCGAGATCGAGATATCAATGGCTGCTGCTACCTTGCTAGGACCAAGGAACCTGTACGCAATATTCTTGTGAACAGCGAACGAGGCCATGTTGTTGCTAACAAGTAATCAGAGTGAGATAAAGGAATAGAGATGCAAGCCACTTACTTAATGAATGCAGTCTTGGCATGGAGAGACATCCCTAATTGATCCAATACGTTCATTAAATGGGGGATGAAATCCTCGAAAGACATCGCGAAGCCGTTGCGGGGAGCAATAAAACTGGTGGGGTCCACCATCGAGGCATCGGGGCTACTGTCGGTCAGTATTGGTCCGGATAGATAGAGAAGAATGTTACACACATTGCCTCATAATACAGAGCAGTGGTAACCATCTCACTCTCGAAGTGTTCTAGCGCACCTCCAGGATGCACACGTAAGAAATACTTGACCTTCTGTTCCTCCAGACGCTCCGGCGGTGGCCATGCCATTCCAACTTTCCAGTAAGGTGAGAACGTGAGAACAACATCACAGTATTGGACGGCCGGTGAAAGAATCGTCAGGTTGCACTTCGCTGTTGCGGGTTTGGCGACGGTAGCCAGCTTCGATAAGACACGCGGGTCGAGAACTGCCTCCGGGTTGATATCTTCACCAGCAGTAAATCGAGAGCCGTTGAATTCCAAACTGTGCGTGTCTCCCGAATGGATTATCTCCAATTTCCCCCAAAACAACCCGTCCACCAGTGTTCCATCCTCCATCCTCGCCATATCCATTTCATCCGAGCTCACTGTCACATCCAAAGCAACATGTTGACCGGGCGTAAGTTCCAGATTGAAGGTGCCGGGCATTTCGAGAACAGGCGGCGGCCTATTTGAAATATGAGCAGTGACAACGACAGCGTACGACAGCACTTACGGTGGCGCCCTACAGAATTACAGGTGTCAGTGCGATAAGATATACTGTGAACTTAAAGCGGACATACGGAGGCTCATCAGGCGGCGGTGGTGCATCGCTGACAATCTCAACGCGTATACCGTTAACACCCATTATCGCGATCTGGTATGAATCCTCCCCTGTAAGCTGCGGATGGAATCAGCAATTGCAAGTGAGTCCGAGTATCCGTTGGCGGCGTACGTAGATGTAGGGTCCTGCCACCAGCCGCTAGAACCAAATGAATCAGGTAACTTAAAGAGCTTTGATTAATTGCACATACAGCGGCATGTATTGATGCATATTCCACTGGGACTCGTAGGTTGAACTCTGCACCAGGAGGTGGTTTCGCCCAGTCATGGGCAGCGGCGCTGAGCTCCTAGAAGCAAATGAATAAATACTCTCGGCTGGGAGGATGCAGCATACGTTGAAACTGTTGGGAAGCTGCGGATACGATACCGTCAACTGTGGATGAGAGCAATGGATTAGGCGCGTCATACCATCCGCAGAGTCTCCATCTCGCCGAAGGCGAGAGTCAGCAATCGTGGGCGTGCAACGGCCATCGGTCCTTGTTTGGGATCTGGTTCTTTGCCCTTAGGCTTGAATTTGTTCCAGAAATTGGGCTGAGGAGGTGGCAGACTCGCACTTAAGGATCTATTAAGAAAAGCGAGCATAGGGAAAGATGAGACGTACGCAACAAGGAGAGGAAGAGGACAGGGCCTACGTCGGTGAAAGCATGTATAGAAAGGAAAGAGGGAACCTGTACAGCTGTGGGTGTTATCAAGACCTTAATGTGAAGGATCTGAGACGGATTTGGTGGAGTGTTGCGTTCCAACGAGAGGCCACGATGAGAACACGAGGCAGAGAGGTAAAGGGCTTTTTATCGATCTTGCTATGTCCTTGTTGTTATGGTCCGTATCCACTGATCTTCGCGATAGAAATCCCGGAGAGGACGGTGAGTCCGTCTTTGAGAGTGTCTTTTGCGCACTGTCTGGAAGGACGGGGAAGAGGGAGGAAGGAGTGATGTAAGGGGCATGGGCTCGGATCAGCCTGAGGCCTGAAGTTCCATCGGACATCCCCGGTCCGCGATCCGCGCACTAGGTCCAGTCTAACGTACTGTCTACGAAAGGTGGTAAGTATATTCTACGTAGTTACATGCAAAGTTCAAGCTGACAGTTGAGTGCGTCCAACTTGTGGGTAACAGCTAGACTGATGACAGTGTGAACACTATCACCTCTCTAACAAGGTTAGTTGTTTTATCGATACGGCCGATCCCCCACCTGGGATGAGGGTTGCGCGGACTCCTGGAATTTCTGCATTGATGTGGGGATCTTTGAGGGGAGATACAGCACTGCCTTCTCCAACGTGTCTTCCTGCCGCGCTGGACAGGCCCTGAGCCCATCTTCTCTTTCAACGCAACATGGTAAATTGGCGCCCGCCGAAGCCTGTATCTATGCGATCCATGCACAGCCGAGACTTTCAAGAATCGGATTCGTAAAGCCGTTGTTCGACGATGTACTCGGCCACTTCTTTTGTGACGAAATTTCGCCAGGCAGGATTGCCGCCCGTCTGGCCCAAACCAAATGTGCCAATGGCGCTACGAACGGCACTTGAGCTGTAGGTGCTCAAGTGCTCCCCGATCTCCACCACTGCAGCGCGGCCGGAATCTATGAATTCTTTTGTGTAATCTGAGGTGTTTGCTCCTTCGAGCTCTTCGGACACTTGCAGGGCCGTGGATGGTGCAAAAGTTCGGTTTACACAGACGAGGCGTGAGTTGTCTCCTTCAGGTCCAGGAGAAAGGAATTTGCGCAACGACGAGACCATGGCCGCTTCTGAATGGTAGTAGCGAGGGGAGAACAAGCGTTCAAGAGTGTCCAAGCCGACCAAGAATGTGAGCTCGACGTCGCTACTAGCAGTGACGTTGGCTCGGGATAAGCCAACAAATCTTTGCTTGAGAAACTTCAGCAGTGCGTCAGATTTTCCAACAAACGTAGGCTCGTCGATGATTGCGATCGCTATGTTAACATTTTCTGGGGTAGCAGGGTCGTCCGAAGAGGTCCCAGTCCGTATGTGCTGTGATAGCAAATACATCATCTCGAGTCGCTGTAAGTACGATGCATCACCCGGTTTCAACGTCTTATCCGCATTTTTCACAGATAGGAGCAATAGTTTGGCGTCGTAATGTGTCTGAGTCGGAGGTGGATGCGAGTTGGCTAAAGCAAGATGTGCCACTGTCGGAGGGTTGAAGGATGAATCAAGCACTGAGATGCTCAGAAGCCGATCTGGGTTCTGTTGAGGCGACCAGGGCTGAGGAAACGGCCATTGTGAGTGAGATGCGTAGATAAGCTCGACTGGAGGGCTTGAAAGGCCGTGCTGTAGTCGCTGCAGTAGGGCAGGTGCGGACTTGCGAATGGTCATCATCAGTGAGAAGAGCGGACGTCGCGGGCCGGCAGCCCTTCACAAATCGGAGCAGAGCCTGCTTAGGTAATCCTCCTCTTCTCAATGCTTGTCCACCGCCTTCCCCGCCTGCCGCCGTCTGCTGGCAGGCGTCTCGCCTCCACAGCGACGCGCACCCGTGCAACGAAGAGCAAGTCCTCTGGCGAGCCTAAGGCTGAGGCAAGGTCCCGTGTTGTTGCAACGTATGTCACAAATGTCGACGCGTCCATGACCGGCATCATCTTATATTCAAATCAATTCTAGGAAAGTGGAAACATCGACATTGGCTGCTGCTGCAGCGGAGAAAGTTTTGACTGGCCCAATCCTCAAAAGCCGGACAACTGGAGCCCGACGTGCATCAACAGCGTCGACACCGACTCCACCGCCTCCGGCCCCCGCATCCGAACCTGTAAAACCAGCATCCACCTCCCTTCCTTTCGACTCTTCATTCTTCGATGTTCATATTCCTGAACCGCGCCCTGAGGTCGATTCGCTCCCACCCATTCAAATTGTGCGTTGCTTACTTCCTCGTTCTTCTCTCGTCTGTCTGATTCGTATTCCTCCAGCCCTTCGTTCCGGACTTTTGGGATTCCTCGACCGTCTTCTCCACCCCAGAGCTGGATGAACCCCACCCGAAAATTGTTGTCGTCGCAGGAGCAGAAACTCACATTGGCGGTGGTCCATCGCATAATCTCTTTGATACTTTGGAAGAAAGCACTGAGGGTGTAGCGCCTGCAGAACCCGCCCAAAAGTTTGAACGCTCGGACAGCCTCTTGGATGACATCACGGAGGATTTCGGGCTTCCTCCTGCAAAAGAGATCAAGGCCTCCATCTGGAAGATCTTTTTCATAAGTTCCCGATCTTGAGTCGGATTAATGTGTCTAGCTTCTGGTACATATGCATTTCTCTCTCTTCCCAAGTACATATCATCGTAACACTACGTACCGCGCCAAGTACTACTAAGTATGTAGTACTAGTACGCCAATATTATGGATATTTCAAAATCCGTGAGAGTCCTGCTTTCAAATTCTGCACTGTTACGGTGCGTTATATTAATAATAGGTCGGTCACTCAAACACCTGAACGAATCACAAGTCTGGCGTGCTCACCTTTTTGGCGCCGGGCTCATTTGCCTCCATTCTTCCTTTCGCGCTGCAGAAGCGGAATGGCCACTGTTTCCCCTCCGAACATCGAAATCCCTGATGGGTTCCGTCTTCACACCGAAAATACGTCTCATATTCTTCTCTCGACGGACGAAGCATTCCTGAACCCGGTACAAGAATTCAATCGAGATACGAGCATCGCATGCATTCGCGTTTGGAGCGAGGAGCTGCATAGGACGAAGGAGGAGCGCTGGAGAAAGACGCAGCTGAGGAAGAGCCAGAAGAAGCAAAAGCCGGGCAAGGCAAAAGGTGTGTCTAGTCTCCGTTCGCAAAGAAATTTCACAATTCTGGATGAAGTAGCTGTAGAAGAAATACCGGCGTCAACCAGTAGCAATGCCATGCCTGTGGATCCCTCAGAAAGGCACGAACCTGTCAGTGACTCCGTTGCAGAAGGGCCATCTACGTCCTCCATGACGGCCCCTGTAGTGCGTCCTTCGTCCAAACTCCAAGGAAATCAGATCTGACGAGGATCCTCAGTATAAACCGTACAAATTTACTATTCTTGAAGCACTATCTGCCACTGGGCTGCGTTCAATACGCTATGCGAAGGAGATACCATTGGTGAAGTGAGTCGATGCCACACTTTACTTGAATACACACCGATAACAAAAAAAAATCAGATATATCATTGCAAACGATCTATCTCCTGCCGCGGTGGAAGTCATGAAAAGAAACATCCGATTAAATGGTCTTTTCGAGGACTCCAGCACAGCTGAACAGTCGACTTCAAAGGCACCTCAGGGAATGATTCAAGTGAACGAGGGTGACGCTTGGTGAGTCAGTCTCCATCGTGTTGTTCTCGGTATTCAACCATGTTACAGCACCTTGATGTATAATCATCGAGAAGAGAAAAAACGCGTCGATGTCGTCGATTTGGATCCATACGGAACTGCCGCCCCCTTCATTGACGCTGCTGTACAAGCTGTGACCGATGGAGGTGCGAGAGAGGTCCTCTTGCAACAAATCTGGTTCTGAACTTTATTTTGCAAGGTTTACTCTGTGTTACATGTACGGATCTCTCGGTTCTTGCAACAACCAACTTTCCCGAAAAATGGTGAGCAGTGGGAGTCTCGTTCTAGCGAGCCTGTATTGAGGGTTCAAGTTTCTCGAATTATGGAGGTGTCCCGGTCAAGGCTGAATACTGTCACGAAGCGGTAAGCTTTCTGTCTCTCTTTCACGCCGCCCGTTCTCAAAGCAGTGTAGGCCCTGCGCCTGGTCCTACACGCAATATCGACCTCAGCAGGGCGATATGGTAGATACATTGAACCCCTGCTCTCCTTGTCGATCGACTTCTACGTTCGGCTGTTCATTCGCGTGTATTCATCTCCAATGGAAGTCAAAAAGGCTCTGGTGTAAGTGTTCATGATAGACTGACGCAACCATCTGGTGGATGCTCATCAACTCCTAGCAAGAATTCCACATTCTACATCTGTACCACCTGCCAATCTCACTACGAACAGCCGTTCGGGAAAATGCATTCGAAGACGCATGAAACGTCTGGCCATACAAATCTCATTTTCAAAACTCGTGCGGGTCCACCGGTGACTGTCAAATGCCCAGAATGCGAGTCAAACCTTCATGTGGGTTGTTATCCTTCGTGCCGTGAAGGTGAGCTAATGGTTTAACCAGGTTGGTGGTCCAATGTGGTCGGGGCCATTACATGATCGTGACTTTGTGGGAAAAGTCCTGGCGCATACAGAGGAATCTAAAAGCCACTACGGCACCGCAGCAAGGATGAAAGGCATGCTGACTGTTGCGAAAGAGGTGAGCAAGAGGTATTCCATTCCAAACACAGCAGACAGACTTATGTCACATACAGGAATTGGATCTGCCTTTCTACTTTACACCTAGTAAAGTATCGAGTTATTTCCACTGCGAAACACCGTCACTGGATGATACTGCGTGCGTTCTCCATTCTGTCTCCACCCTTTTCGAAATCAGTCTCAACCTGGCAAAACTAGATCTGCCTTACTGAATGCTGGACATAAAGTATCTCGGTCGCATGCCTGCCCCGGATCGCTCAAGACAACTGCCTCTCACCGGGAGTTGCACGATGTCTTCCGTTGTTGGATCAAAAACCACCCTGTAAACTTGAAGAACATCTCGGAAACTTCTCCAGCACGACGTTTGCTGGCAAAGGAACCATTGTAAAGAAGGCTTTTTCAACTGCCTGTTCGCGGTTCTAACACCTAGTTTTTTCTTCACAGAGTTGAAGCTGACTTCACGCACCACCCCGAATCTCCTAGTGCTTTGGAGACGGTGAAGTTGGTCAGGTACCAGGACAATCCGAAGAACTGGGGACCAGCCAAGAAGGCTGCTATCACAAAGCCCGATCTGAAAAGGAAACGCAGCGCTGATGCCCTAGAAGAGCCGCTTGCAAAACACCAACGCTAGGTTCTCCTCACTGAGCGATTATAGAAAGAACATGTAGCGTACCATTTGTCTGCCATCTACACATGGGTAATACATCGACCCCTGAACAGGGTGTCGTTAACACTCAGAGTACAGTTCCGAGATGATGGGGGAAAATAACTTAGACCGTATGGGCAGCAGTGTAGAGAAAGCTAAGAGCGAAGACAGAAATGCATGGAAACGATGCATCGGGGTAGTGTTTAAGTAATAGTTTATGACGACGCAATCCATGGATGCTGCAAGAGCTCCGCAGCTGTAGGCCGTGCCTCGTGGTCGATTTCGAACGTCTTTTTGAGGAAATCTTGGGCCATTGTTTACGACCTCAGGAGCCATCCAAAACACTGGGCCATGGATGGAAGATCGATTGACATCGCTAGTTGGTGGATCTACTAACAGCGTGTCACCACTTGTGGATAGAGGAACAAAAGATATACGCACTATCGTCCACCTTCGCAAGACTGAAATCAGATATCTTGGTTCTACCAGTACTGTCAATGAGGATGTTGGCGCCTCTGATGTTGCCATGAATGATATCACGATCGTGAAGGTAGTCGAGGCCCTGCAGGATCTGCCTGACAAAGTTTTTGACGAGGGGCTCTTCAAACGCACCATACTTCTGCAGCAAATCAGCGACTGAGCCACCAGGAGCATATTCGAAGAAGATATCGAAATATTTCTGGCCGATGGAGGAGACTGATCGAAAAATCTGAGAAGAGGAAACACGCAAAAAAAGGGGAAGACATACAGAGATACTGTATAATGTTCTCATGTTCCAGATTTTTATGTAGCTCGATCTCGCGGTCGAGCGCGCTGAACATGCTCTTCTTGACCTCTTGGTCGGTTCCAGAATCGATGAGTAGCTCGACTTGTCTGACGGCCATTAAGCACCATTGGAAGGATCTGTACCAAGATACACCTTCCCATAAGATCCAGCACCAATGAGCGCCCCCTTGATCCATTTGTATGCTAGTGACGACGCTATTAGAATCGGTACGAGGACAGATCGTGCAAAGCTTTACCTCTCCGTGCATTCACAATGTTTGGGAAAACATGGTGGTCATCTCCATGTACAGTCCCGTCTGGACGCACAAAAGTGACGTTGTCGGACTCCGATATCATAGTTTCGGGCTTGACACTCAAAGAAGTGGCCCGATCCTACTAGTACGGTGTCGGGGTCAAGGTGTCACGGATGTGGACGTAGGTGGGTTGCTTCGACAGTCACAGGACGACGAGAGGGGCGGCCTACTACGTTGCTAATGTTTGGTGCCATTCTGAGGACCTAGAAGCTCCGAAAGGGTGTGACAATCAGACGCTGAGGCTTCCTTTGCCAAACCTTTTCAGGATTTTTGTCGTGACCCTCGACGCGACGGGGGTATGTGTCGACGAGTCCTCCAGCTCCAGCAGCCACATTTGAGCCTGCAAAGCTACAGGCATCTTCTATGTCTCATCGGAAGGAGCGTCGCTGAAGCCAGTACAAGGATTCATCAATATACGAGCATAGCGTGAAGAACTAAACATGATGGTGCCGTGCTGGAGGGTGCAGCATCGTCGGAGCCAGAAGTAAAAACCAGGAAAGGCAAAAGGTTCGTCTTTCTCTTCGCGACGGCTTTCATGATGTTGGCGTGCAGCAGCAACAGAAGAAACACGGGATTCAGTTGTCCTGAACCCAGTACTTGCTGTGGAAGCGGCCAAGTTGGTCAGATACCAGGACTGGCAGGCAACAAAGCCTAGGGCACAATCGCTGATCCATATGTCGTGGTCCTCATCGTCGTGCGATTATGTACCGGAAGAACGATCGCGAGTAGCATAGCTGTCATCTACAGATGGGTAATACATCTTTTTACATATCAGCCCCCAAGCCGGGCGTCGTGAATAACTACAGTATAGATGTTAGATCCTCGGGGATAATGAAGAAAATAACTTAGACCATACAACCAGCAGCAGTGGTATAGGGAAAGCTCAGAACGAAAGAAAAGAGGAACAAAGCGCGTAATAGATGCACATTAAGGGAGGAGTGCCTAAGTAGTGGTTTTCTTCGACGCTGCGATCCATGAATGCTGCAGGAGCTCAGCAGCCGTAGGCCGTGCCTCGTGGTCGATTTCGAACGTCTTTTTGAGGAAATCTTGGGCCTCTGTTGAGATATCTGACGGGATCGTAGGCCTTGCCGAGGATCCAATCTGTGATAGGAGGTATCAGAGATACCGTTTAGACGGTAACACGGAAGGCAGTACCTTGAAGATGGCTTGCATTTGGGTAAGCTGCGCCCAAGGATGCTCGCCAGTAAGCATTTCCACGACCAGACAACCAACACTCCAGATATCAGCTTTGCGAGTATGGGCAGTCTGCTTGACGACTTCAGGAGCCATCCAGAACACTGAGCCCTGAAGCGAAGGTCGATTGATACGATTGCCGGTTAGAAGATCTAGTACACGGTATGTCAGTGCTTAGTCGATATAGGATCACGACATATACGCACTGTCGTCGACTTTCTTCGAAATACCGAAATCAGAGATCTTGATACCACCTTTGTTATCGACGAGGATGTTGGCGCCCTTGATGTCACGATGGATGATATCGCGCTCATGAAGGTAGTCGAGACCTTGCAGGATCTGCCTGACGAAGTTCTTTACCAAAGGCTCCTCAAAAGCACCGTAGTTGCGCAGCAAAGCAGTGACTGAGCCTCCGGGAACATACTCCAAGAAAATATTGAGATACTCTTCGTCGATGGAAGAGACTGGTAATACAACAATGAGGAGAGAAGACATACAAAAAGAGAGGGCTTACAGAGATACTGGACGATGTTTTCATGCTGGAGGTTCTTGAGGAGCTCGATCTCGCGTTCGAGGGCGCTGAGCATGCTCTTCTTGCGCTCTTGGTTGGGCCCAGAACCAGTGGGCAGCTCGACTTGCTTCACAGCCATGAGGAGACCGTTGGAAGCATCCATACCAAGATACACCTTTCCGAATGAACCAGCACCAATGAGAGCACCCTTGATCCACTTGCTCGCTACACGACAAGATTATTAAGCACCAGCATTTGAGCAGGCCAAAAAGAATCTTACCTTTCTTAGCATTGACAACGTTCCGGATAACACCATCGTCATCGACGTCAAGACTAAGTTCCTCATCTTCCTCATCACGTAAAGTCTCGTCCTCGTCTTCCGAAGTCTCATCTTCTGAATCCGACACCACATTTTCATCCGCGTCAGTTTCGTCGTCTGCAACAGCCTTGGGGACCATGTTCTCGATCTCCGTGTCAACCTTGGTCCAGCCATCCAAGTCCTCTTCGCGGTTGTAATCCCCACTGGCTCTGCGGCTCTCGACTTCGGCAGTGATCTCATCGACGGTCATCAGACTCGCGGTGTCCGAGCGGTCGCGCTTGCTGCGCAGCTCGGTCATGTAGCTCATGCGCTTCGACGCAATCGACATGGCGCGCGAAACAGGGCGTTGGCGCTGGCCGCTCGTGATTTCTTCCATCGAATCGGACAATGACTGTGAGGGGAAGGGGATGGGGGGAAGAAGCTGCTTCTTGTTCATGCTATCGCGACCGTCCAGGCGGAGGTCGACGGAGTGTCCATCCTCGGTGGAAAGAGAGACTCTTGGGAGGTCACCGCCCTTCTCAGGGACAGGAGGGGGAACAAGGGTAGAGCCCGAGCTTTGAGTGCTGTTGCTAAACCGAGGGGCCATATACGATGCGACACTCTCGCGTCTCCTCATCATGCTATGACGCGCAGTACGCTGGAGGACCTTCTTTTCAGTGTTCGGGAAGAATTCAGTCAGATGTGTCGTGATGAGCTCGCTGGGCGGACGCTGGCCGAAGAAGTTGCGCAGCTTGGACGGCCGCTTCGCATTGTTCTGTGCATTCTGTGTCGCAGGGCTGAACCCACTCGTCGTAGGTGATGGAGGCTCAAGCGCCCGTTCTGGATCACGGACACCCAACCCGCTCAGTACGCTTATGGAGCTCGCGCGCTTCGTGGCGTTCTTGGCGGCTAGGCTCTGCGACGAGGGGCTGTTACTCCTATCTTCGTTCCTGCGTAAGCGTCTGAGCGTCAGGCCGTGTTCGCGTGTTGGGTGGTCCGGTGCATGGCATATGGACAGAAGCTCGCCCTCGGTTAGAGGTTGGCCTACGATAAGGAAACCATCAATGAAATAGTAACGTGGCAGAGGGCCTTGTCACTCACCGATGCCGCTCTCCTGACCCATTTCCATGAAGACACCCCAACCATCAACGGAGAGCCCGCCTTCTTCCGTTTGAGAAACATCTAGGTTCCCGTCGCCTCTTGCGCTCCCCTTGCCGAATTTCTTGAGGACCTTTTCGAGAACCTCGACGCCTCCGGTGCATGATGTAACATCAATAGTGAATGACAGACCTTCATCAGGCAGGACGAACTTGACCAATTTCCGGCGCAGGTCGTCCAAGCTGTATTGGTTACTACCAGACGCACCGGGGTTGAATGGACCACGTCCGACGGTATACGCGTTGTACGTAGGTGGTGATGGGGTATTGGATCCATTATGATGGCTGAAGGACTCATCAATCGGAGAGAGATTGGACGCCAAATTCGAGGGGGCATGCAACGCTGGTTGAGCGCTTGCATAGGGGTGTGCATTGCCGCCCGTTCTCGAGGCGGGTGTTTTGGCTGGAGAGCCCGAATTAGCCACGGAGCCCGTACGGCCATGAGTTGTAGTGGACTGGGTTTGTCGGACGCGTGCGGGGGGGATGGGTGATATTGATCGCTGAATGGGCGGCTTTCCGCCGCCTGGATTGCCTGGCCGAGGATCAGCGGGCAGATGGTGATTGAACCAGGTGCCTGAAGGTGTAAGGTGGCCACTTGTGTTGTTCTGGGGCGTGGACACTTCGGGTTGAGGAGAGTTTGCCCAGCTCGGCAGCGTTCGCGTAGAGACACGGCCTGGCGGCAGGGGGGGTTGTCCACGAGGAGGGGGTGGGAGGGGCGGGAGGTTCGGCCGGAGACTCGGGGTAACAGAATGAGCGCTACTCGGCGTATTCAGTTGTGTATTCGATGGAGGCGTTGGTTGTTGGGTTGTGGGCATCGGCAGTGGTCGAACTGTCTGGTGCGCGGCTGCTTTGGCTGAATCTGGGGGCTGCTCGCGGATGATCGCAGGCAGGTCGGCGCGATTCGCGCTCGAGTTGGCGAGTTGCAACGGCGCAGGGCGGACGTTCTCGAGCCTGCGATTGCCCTGGCGGCTTCCTGGGGTGTCGAGTTTGTCTGTTGCCTTTGAATCAGCGTCGACGCTGCTGCTTCTCCTGTGGGCGGTTAGAGTGGCAACAGTCTTGCCGGATGCCCTTTGTCGCAGAACTTTGACGGCATTGAGGATGCGCAGCCTGTCGCCGATACTTGAGATGCCCATCTCTTTGAGAGTGACTTGGTCGAGTTCGAGCAATACATCGCCTCTGATATCGTTCGTCCTGAAGGTCTCGTCGTGGCACCCACACTTGATTTCGTTCAGCCATCTTGCAACCATATCGTCGCTCCAGGTGCGCAGGAAGGCGGCATAGGACATGCCCTGGGGTGGTTCCATGGGGGTGTACTGCTGGTACTTGACGGGCTGGAGGGGCTGGCGTTGGTCTGCATGTGCGAGGGTCATGAAGGAGCGTGGATGTGCGGACGACTGACTCATGAACTGGGTGGGGTTTGGAGGAGAGTTGTCGAACGCATACAAGGGACTGTTGACGATGATTGCCGACATCCTGACAAGACAGACCAAGGCCCGAGTGGAAACCGGCCAACGCGTTTGGACTTGAGATGCCTTGACAACGGTGCTTTCTGTATTTGTAGTCCTTACAAAGGTGTACAAGAGACTATTGCTATTGTGCAGCCCACAGCGGGCGCTGGCTGTCTGTTGTGGACAGGCTGTGGTCTCCTGGCGGGTCGGAGAAGGCTAAAGCGTCTGTGAACGGACTGAGAATAAAATTTGAGCCGAGTGGCTGGGCAGCAAACTAGCGCAAATAGGGCAACCAGCGCTGTCCGTTTTCCATCCGGCTCGCTGCACGTACACTTTCATTCAAACACCTTAGACTCCGACTGCGACATTCAGCTCCAGTCCCCCGCTCCTTTCCTTCTCCCAGCATGCGTCTCTTCGCAGCGCTGCACGCCCTCCTCTGTCTTTCTCCCCTTGTACACGCTTCTCCCTACCGCGAAGACCTTCTCGACTACAACCTCAACGTCAACAGGGATGCCCAGCACCCGACAGAGTATACCGCCTCACGCCCCAACACCACGTACACTCCCTCACCAGAGAACTGGCGTGCTCTTCCAACTTACACAATCCTCCTCGACAAGTTTGCTGATGGCGATCCATCAAACAACGACTTCTTCAAATCGGTATACGAGTATGACTGGCGGGAAACACAGCTCCGCTTCGGAGGTGACCTCAAGGGTTTGCGAGCACGGCTCGACTATCTGTATGGCATGGGCGTTCGAGTAGTCTTCATGTCTGGAACACCCTTCCTCAACATGCTCTGGCAGGCAGACAGTGCGTTTTCCCTATGGCCATCCCTCGCTTCAAGCTGACATATTCTAGGCTACTCTCCTCTCGACTTCAGCGTCCTTGACCCTCACTGGGGTACTATTCAGGACTGGCGGGACACCATTGATGCTATTCACGCCCACGGCATGTATTTCATGGCAGATTTCACTGTAGGAACGATGGGTGACCTAATCGGTTTCGAGGGGTACGTATCATTCTGCCATGCTGATAATCATCTGTCTAACTCTCTTCTAGCCATCTAAACACGAGCACGCCCTTTAATCTAAATGAATACAAAGCGATATGGAAAAGACCCTCGTACATTCCTTGGAATTTCACGGAGTATCGGGACTTTACAGTGCGTATTCGCAGACTCCTACCATCCATGCTCGTATTAACACCCATTCTCAATTCCAGATCGGAAACGAGCGGAACTTGTCATGTGAAATGCCCAGGTTCTGGGAAGACGATGGTACAGTAGTCAAGGTAGAAACCAACGGCTGCTACAACTCAGACTTCGACCAGTACGGCGACATGGAAGCTTTCGGTGTCCATCCTGACTGGCAGCGTCAACTGTCCAAGTTCGCCTCCGTGCAAGACCGTCTGCGTGAATGGGATCCGGAGGTCATGGGCAAGATCGAAGTCTTCTCTTGTTTGGCCATCACGGCGTTGGACCTTGATGCTATTCGTATCGATAAAGCTACCCAAGTCACCGTTGACGCCCTCGCCAGATGGTCAGCCAGCACACGTGCATGTGCCACAAGGCTGGGCAAGAACAACTTTTTTATCACAGGCGAAGTCACTGGTGGAGATACATTTGGAGCACTCTACATGTGCGTATTTTGTTTTCCTCTCCTTTACGTATGTATTCAACTTCGTCGTATCAGGGGTCGTGGACGCACACCCACACAGCATCCTCCCGGTTTCCTTGCCGCAGCCAACCTGACAGGCGACCAAAATGAATTTTACCTGCGGGAAGCCCCTCTGAACGCCTTGGACGGTGTCGCCTTCCATTACTCTATTTACCGCGCAATTGCCCGTTTCCTGGGCATGGACGGAAATCTCCAGGTGGCCTACGATATCTCCGTCAATTTTGTCGAGGCATGGAATGAGATGTTTGTCCGGAACGACTTCGTCAATCCCACCACGAAACGAGTCGACCCTAGGCACATGTATGGGAGCAGTAACTTCGATATTTTCCGTTGGCCCAGTCTCGAGATGGGCATTCAGAAGAGCGTCTTGGCGACCTTCATCTCTGCCCTTGTCATGCCTGGTATTCCCTTGGTACGTTTCCTTTTGCCCATTCTATGGGGCCTCGTTAAACCATTCCACAGTTGTACTATGGTGAAGAGCAAAATTTCTATCTCTACGATAATGGTGCATCCAATTATCTCTACGGGTACGCTCGTCTTGGTTAGAATCAATCAGCCTTGCAATTGCTGATGATCCGTCTTTAGTCGTCAAGCCATGATTGGCAACCAGGCCTGGAAGAGGCACGGCTGTTATGTCCTCGGTTCGGAGCAATACTTCAACATGCCACTCGAGAAATCGTTGTTCGGTTGCCACGATGACTGGAATGCCCTCGATCACTTTGATCCAACGACAGACTCCCGATTAATATTCGCGCATTTCCACCATTTGCGCGCTGTCTATGGTGCTCTTCAAGACGGTTTCAACTTGGTTCAGCGAGGAAATTGGACATATCGCATTCAAAGGCCTGGATCCAATGGAACTGAGACGGAGATGGGTCTCTGGTCCGTTTCGCGCTCTGCTCTTACCGGCTACCAAACCGTTGGAGGAGCCTTCCAAGACCAGGTCTGGATACTTTTCACGAACGAGAACGCTACGAAGACCTACACGTTCAACTGCAAGCAGTCGAACTGGATCTCCTCGCCCTACGTCGCCGGTACCCAAGTTCGCAACCTTTTCTATCCTTATGAGACCTACGAGCTCGAGGAATCGCTGTCTTCATTCAACAATGATAGCAGAGCCCCATGGTTCGGTTGTTTGCCCTCCGTGTCGATGGAGCCGTTCAGTTTCAAAGCGCTCGTCCCTATTAATCAATGGACCGCTCCCCTTCCTGTCATCACCAAGTTCACACCCGGTCACGATGCCCGTCTCTTAGTCAATGAAGGTGATACGAATGCCACAACGGTTGACATCCGGTTCGAGTTCAATATGCCAATGAGCTGCACGGGTGTCACTCAGAGCATCACACTCAAGATGGACTCTTCTGGACACGGCAGTAACCCGACCATCGGTAGTGTTAACTGCGACTCGATGGCCCCGACCGCTGGAAGGATAGCTGGTGCCGCTGCCTCGACATGGTACTGGTCTGCAACCTTGACTAACTTCCCTGATGGCGTTCTTACCATCACCATCAACAACCCTGCCGCAAGTTCTGGCAATGCTACCACTAGTGTATGTGCATTCACTCTCTGGTCGTGTTCAATGCTAACATCACGTTGATAGACTGTTGATCATTTCTTGTTGAGGAAGGGTTCGTCCGACAACGTCATGGTCTTCCCAGAGAACGACTACGACAAAAGCGAATCATTCACTTTGTCCAATGGCAAGTATGTCTTCAACCACAAGGCATATGGCGCCGACCGCTTCCGGTACACTTGGAATTTCGGTCGCAACTGGACAGAGTGGTCGAGTTGGGAGGACACCACGACCATTGAACCCAATTTGTTTAAGTCTTCTGAGGCGTTCTGGACCGGAGATCACATCATCGTTCAATGTAAGTATGCTCATTCATCCGTTGGAATTGACTCTCACTAATGCCTGTCTGATCATAGATTGGTCTGAAGCAACTCTTTCCGCTGCGCATGTCGTGCATGCTGACTATGGTGCATCGGCCCGTCGGGTCCCGCAATTCTTGGTCCGTGGTCCGTTCAACAATTGGGGTTTCGATCAAGGTATTCCTCATCTCATGGAGCAAAACGAGGATGGCAAGTGGGAGTTGGAAATTATGGCTTCTTGGCCAACGTACATTCAACTCAACGTCTGGGGCTTCGACGATTACTTCTACGGTGATGCGGATGGCGATGGTGTTCTTGACCGTCTGCCACCCAACACTGTCGCTCCCAACTACCTTAACATCTCAGCCCCGCCCTCGCCCCATTTGGCTTGGTCCCTTCTCGTCGATGATGCTACCATGACTTGGACCTTGAAACCTCGAGGACAGGCTCTCGTCGGAGCAATCATGTATGCACTCCTCCTGGCCATTCCTCTGATCACTGGTACCCTGGCTGTGGTTATCTTCATGTGGACCTTCTACGGAATAAAACACAACCAGTACGGTGCCAAGACCAAGAGCCATACCAACTACTTCCCCATTTTCGGCAACAAGTCAACCTCCGACCTCAAGGAAGCCACGCCGATGACGGAGAAGCTTTTCGGGCACAAGCAGAATGCGGAGATCATTGGATGGCCCGAGGATAAGGCCAAACGGAGAAAGGTGCTCATTGCCACACTCGAGTACGAGCTCATCGACTGGAAGCTCAAAGTCAAGATTGGTGGTCTCGGTGTCATGTCAAGTCTGATGGGCAAGGCTATGACGGATGTCGACTTGGTCTGGGTCGTCCCCAAGGTTAAGGACATTGACTATCCTGCTGGAGACCCTGCAGAGCCGATTGAAGTCATCATCTTCGGAGAGCCATATCTCATCGAAGTCGAAACCCACGTCCTCGACAACATCACCTACGTCATTTTGGACAGTCCCGTCTTCCGTGCACAGACTAAAGCGGACCCATATCCTGCTCGTATGGACGATTTGAGCTCGGCTATCTTCTACTCGACATGGAACCAAGCAATCGCGGCCACCATCCGTCGTTTCCCAACCATCGACATCTATCACGTCAACGATTACCACGGTGCTCTGGCTCCGATCTACCTGCTTCCTAAAGTCATTCCGGTATGTCTCTCCCTGCACAACGCTGAGTTCCAGGGCCTCTGGCCTCTGCGTACGAAGGAGGAGATGAAGGAAGTCTGCTCGGCCTTCAACATCAGCAAGGAGCACTGCACGAAATACGTCCAGTTCGGAAACACCTTCAATCTTTTGCACGCTGCGGCTTCTTTCATCAGTACTCACCAAAAGAGTATCGGGGTGGCTGGTGTGTCTGACAAGTATGGTAAACGTAGTTGGGCTCGTTACCCCGCCCTCTGGACCCTCAAACATGTCGACTCACTTCCCAATCCGGATCCGAGTGATATCGCTGCATTGGACGAGACTGCGGTAGCTCCTCGTGATGTTCAGATCGATGAAGTCGCAGAAGCTGCACGCCCGGAACTCAAGAGGCAAGCACAAGAATGGGCAGGAATCAAGCAAGATCCCAACTCTGATCTCTTTGTGTTCGTTGGTCGTTGGTCGAAGCAGAAGGGTGTTGACTTGATTGCGGACGTCATGCCGAGTTTGTAAGTGGCTCTGCTCTCGCCTCTATGAATTCCTCCTTACCTAATAATTCACAGGTTGGAGAAGCGCCCTAGCATTCAGCTCATCGCTGTTGGACCCGTTATCGATCTCTATGGACGCTTTGCCGCAGAGAAACTTGCTCGCCTCATGGAACTTTACCCTGATCGAGTTTTCTCGAAACCAGAGTTCACGGCCCTGCCTCCTTATCTGTTCAGTGGAGCTGACTTTGCCCTGATTCCTTCCCGTGACGAGCCCTTCGGTTTGGTCGCCGTCGAATTCGGTAGAAAGGGCGCTCTCGGTGTTGGTAGTCGTCTCGGTGGTCTGGGTCTGATGCCTGGTTGGGTGTGTATTCGTCTTCATTCTCGCAAAATAAGCTTTGCTTATGGGTGTCTAGTGGTATCCTGTAGAATCAAGTGCGACAAACCACATGCTCTCGCAGCTTACGAAGACCATCAAGATGGCTTTGAAATCTACGGAAGAAGAGCGTGCTATCCTTCGTGCAAGATCCGCAATTCAACGTTTCCCTGTCGTTGAATGGCGTCAGCGGATGGAAGACTTCCACAAGCGCAGTATTGGCGCAAGTCGCAACCTGGCTGGTGCAAATGCTTGGAGAGAATCCGATTGCGATGGTGGAGGTCTTCGTCCAATGGCTGATACTGACGATTGGAATCCTGTTACCCAGTCGTACCCCTCGCAACCCGACTGGGATTCCCGCAGCATGAATGAAGGCCCTCACATTCACACGCCAGGATCCCCGGCCCAATGGAGTCAAGAGTCAATGTCACTTGCTGGAGACCACGCGGGCCATCCAAGGACACCGAATTCAAACGACGGCGATGACTATTTCTCCCAACAACAACGCGGTAGCGTCGCGCCTGACAGCCCGGGAGGCTACAATAATTTCCTGGAACGTGCCAATCGTATCATCGCCAAGGATCACAAGCACGCGCCGGATCCATTCCTTGACGGGGGTCTGGCGCCCAGTCGTCCGTTCGGTGCCCACTCTCGTGTCTCATCCGTCGAATCTATATCCTCTATCGTGGAAGAAAAATCCAACTCACCGCTCAACAAGGCCATTGCATCTGTATGTCTCCGTATGGTACTAGTGATTTTGTTGCTAATGTCGTTATATCTTCCCAGTTCACTGATGCCGATGGAGGTGTCGCTTCAGAGTTCGTTCAAAAATTACAGGGGCTCAACGCGAAAAATTCCGAGCACGAGCTATCCATCGAAAAGTACCTGGTTAAGAGCGAGGAGGCTTTCTTCGGCAAGGTCCGAAAGGACAAGCTCTCGAGCGCGGCGAGTATCCGATCAGCCCAACGGGACTCGGTATGGGGAACACCATCGCCTTCCTTGTATTCACGCCCAGATTGTGCGAACTGTTCTTCATCTGTTATGAGGCGTTTCTGACCGTTCCATTCCTTCAGCTCCGAACATGCAAAGCTTTGGACAAAATGACTATGATGGGCCCCTTCACCAAGAAGCGAACCAACCGCCTGCTGCCCCGATGACAGGTCTGCAAATCGCAATGTCAAGAGAAATCGGAGGATGGCCCTTGTACACGATTGTAATTGCTATGGGGCAGGTGCGTCGTTGTTGACATCAGCCAAGCCAATGCTGCAATTAACACTTTACACAGATGCTCAGCGCTACGAGTTTCCAGATTACTCTGCTGACAGGTCGTAATTGGCAAGATGCTGTCGGTCTTTACGTTTTGGGAGCGGTATTCCTCGTCGCATCGTCAGTGTGGTACCCTCTTTTCCGGCTCAAACCGTCCATCTACGTCCTGTCATTCCCTTGGATCTTCTTTGGATTGGCGTTCCTCCTCATTGGCCTGCCATCAGTGAATTCTGCTCTTCATCCAGCGCATCGCGCTCTGTCGAATGTAGCCACCTGGTGTTACGCAGTCGCGTCTGCGGCAGGATTCTTGTTCTTCGGTCTCAACTTTGGCGAGGAAGCAGTAAGACCCGGTTTATGTCGCAACCTTGTTTTCCTTCTAACCAATGTGAATCTAGGGTGCGGCAACAGAAGTTTGGACCCTCCGTGCTTGTATCGTTCAGGGATCTCAGCAAATATGGGTCGCCGCTCTCTGGTATTGGGGATACACATTGAACGGCAGAGAAGATGGCTACATTCCTCCCTGGTGGATCGTTACGATCGTTTGGCCACTGGCCTTCATGAGTTTCCTCTTTGCATACCTCATGTTATATGGTCTTCCTGGTCAGTCCTCCTTTCTGCTCCCTTGTTCTGGGCTTATGTGTTCCTGTAGAATACTACCGTCAAACGCCACCAAAGGTCCCTCACTTCCTGAAGACACTTTTCAGGCGAAAGCTCGTGCTGTGGTTCCTAGCTTCTGAAATCCTTCGCGATTACTGGCTGAGTGGGGTACGTCGCCTGCTGTGTCATCCCGGGCTTCAATTGATCATTTGTTGGTTCAGCCCTACGGTCGCAACTGGAGTTTCCTTTGGAGCGTGCCCATCCCCAAGTGGCAGATTTTGATCCTCGTTGTTGTTTTCTTCGTCGGAGTCTGGGCAGCGATGTTGCTTGTCCTGACGCACTTCAGTAAGACGCACACCTGGCTTCTTCCTGTATTTGCGGTTGGTTTGGGTGCTCCTAGATGGTGCCAGGTATGCGATTGTGTTTGTAGCAAATATATACGTATACTCATCCGGGTTGCAGATGCTGTGGGGAACATCTTCTCTAGCTTTGTATATTCCATGGGCTGGCAAATCAGGACCCTACTTGGGTATATCTCTCTGGCTCTGGCTTGGCGTTCTGGACGCCATTCAAGGTGTTGGATTAGGAATGATTCTTCTGCAGGTATGTCATTTTCCGTGATCAGACGGCGGAATAGCGTCTTGAACATGCACAGACTCTTTCTCGACTCCACGTCTGCGCCACCCTCGCCTTTGCCCAAGTGATTGGATCGATCTGCGTCATGGTCGCTCGTGCAACTGCCCCAAATCGCATTGGTCCTGGTTCAGTTTTCCCAGACGCAGCGAAATGGGACTTCGAAGAAGGGTTGAAAGGTTTGTCAAGAGTCATCAGCGATACTCTGATTATCTAAGCTCACTCGAATCTGTAGGGAGCCCGATGGCTCTGCCGCTGTTCTGGGTTGCCCTTGTTTCTCAGCTGATCATCGTTGCTGGTTATTTCTGGTTCTACCGCAAGGAACAACTTGGTATGTATTCTTCGAAGATCCTGACGCATGGACACCATGTCTAACTCATATTCCAGCACGGCCGTGATCTGGACCTTTTTATTCAACTTAATATTTGGGAAGGCGGAGGACGATCATCACATCACACACGGACTAATAATGACTCTTCTCAACGATGGACTTGTTATATATGGAATCTGCTAAACTTGTTACATTACCGATTGTTTGCTATGCCTTTCTCTTGCATTTGTCGTTCCTTCGTAGACACACATCCTCAATAATATCACACAGCATTATTTCTCTAGTTAGGCGCAACAGTAGGTAGTTGCCCAAAAAATCATCCAGCTGCATCGCTTGTAGAGGACATTATTACACATTATTACATAACCAATAGACTTGATCGCCTACCACTACCTCAATGCTTGGGATTGAAGACTATGGCAGCGACAACGACAGCGATGCTGGCCAACCCTGCCCACTAAAGCCCACCCCGCTGTCTTCTGTACCTGCTGCGAAACCCCCATCAAGCGTGAAACCTCAACGTGCACCAAAGAAAATCACCATAACGTTGCCCGCACTCTCTTCTTCTAAAGAAAGTGAACCAGAAATCAGTGAAGCCGAAAGACCTGCAAAGAAACGCAAGACAGGAGCAGGTAGTTCGTCACTGCTTTCTCTGCTGCCAGTCCCTAAGCAAGCCAACCCTACACCTCAGCCGCAACGCGTCCTCAGTGGTGGATCAGGACCTGGGCTCAATTTCCATGCACCATCCTACTCTCGGAATAGCATTGGAAGTACAGATGATCACGCGGAACACATTACCCCGATACTTGGAAACGACGCAACCCCGGAGCAGGAAGAAACTTCAGAAGCCTCGTCGAGCACCTTGTTTCGACCCACATCGCTCGCAAAAGGGAGGAAGAACATATCTGTCGAGGAGACTAGTGTCACACCGATCGCACAATCTTCCGTCCAAAAGACTACATCGTCTGCCCCAGCAGTTGACTTCTTTTCTTTAGGTATGTATGTATGATTTGTGCCAGCTTGCTTGGAATCCTCACTTGTTCTCAGTTTCAACTAGTACGAGTACGCCTGGAAGCGCTCCCCCCACTGTTGCTTCGTCCTCCACTACTTCAGCTACTTCTTCTGCTCCAGCAATCCCGACGTTTGAACCACCCCAGCCAACTCCTACGGATCCATATCCAGGCTATTACCAACTGCCATCTGGAGCGTGGGCCGCATATGACGCTGAATACTATGGGAAGTTCATGAAGAAATGGCAGAAGGATTACAACGATCACGTTCGAGCACTGGAGAAGGGCACAGCCAAGGGGTTCGAAGGCCTTCAAGATGCTGCTGTTGAAGAGATCGACGCCTTGAAGGAGATGGAGAAAACTAAGAAGGAAATTCAAGACAGAGAGGAAAAGAAAGCGGTGACAATGGGCGCGGGCGGAGGTCCTGCAGTCCCCAGGATGAATATTAATGTAAGATGCGAGACGCTCACTCCAAGATTGCCGGCTAACCATCTTGCAGGCAAGCAAGCTGAGCGGAATCGCTCGCTCGAGGCATCAACTCTCCACATTGCTGAAGGAGGCGTACGAAAACAGAGAAGCACTTGAGGAGAGGATTGCGCAAGGGAAGAGAAATCGCAAAGAAGCTGGCAACAAATACGGTACGCACTAGCCAGTTGTATAGTGCAGGAAGCTTTTAACGAGCTACTCCAGGCTTCTAAACATTTCCCTTCCCTCTCCTCTTCCTCATGTCTGAATCTCGACCATGGCATTCATCCCAACCACCCCGTTGCCCGTATCTTGGCACCACACTTGGATGTTGGAATCGTTGACCCAAGCCCCGTTGATCGACAGTTCCCGGTTCGCAAATAGTGGGTTTGTGGCGCGGTACTCGAATTTGCTTAGCTTCGTACCGGGATAGTGGAAGTCGATTGCTTCCAGGAGCATCTGAGCTGTTAGGGGACCATGCACGATACGTTCTGACGCTAGCATTGGATAAGCAGTAAATTGTCATCGGCGAGGAGGCATACCAGGATAACCCTCCTCTTTTTGGCAGTACTCCTTGTCCAGGTGGATGTGGTGAGCATTGAACATCAGCGCGGAGTAGCGGAATAGAGTGACGGGTGTTGGTATATATCTAATTGAGAAATCGACGTTCTCGGGAATCCCTTTCACTGCAAGATACCTCTTCAGGATGCGGGATGCATTGCAGATATTAACTAGCATACCTTCACGGTCAAAAACCTTCTTTGTCTTGTCCACCAGTCCTGCATGAAAGTAGACATGTGCTCGTTCTTCCACGACAGACGGGGCAGCTTGGCCATCTTGCGTGTATTCGATCTTCTGCGTGATGAAGATCGTGGGCTTTCCTTTGTCGAAACCTTTCTTCTCTGCTCTCGCGACTGTGGAGAGTCCCCGGGTAGGTTTGCCTACCAGGAGAGGGTTGGTGTTATCCCATGTTATCCTACCACCAGCCCACATCCTCTTGGTGAACGGAGCTGGAGGAGAGATGTCCGAATCTGTTGCATCGGCGCGTAAATCCTGCTCGGCCCTCCGCGCGTGGAAGAAACCGAGGTGGTGTCCGAAAGGTAATGACTCTCCAATTCCTGGGACTTTGGATGGTCTCCTTGTTCCATCTCGTGTGGGCAGAGTGATGTAGAGATCGGCAAGATGCTCTATGTTCAGTGAATCCTTCAGAGTATGTGAAGGAGGAGATTCTGTCCATTGACGCAGTGCCTCGCTTTCAGTAACAGTGAGGAGTGGGGTAGTTGCACCCGAGAACGCGCGATAGGGGCATCTCGTGACGGCCCATGGCCGCACCCACGAGCGGCAGGCAGCCTTCAGAGGAATGTGGACGTGGTGAGCCATGAGATACAACGGGATCGGAAGGACGAATAGAAGCCGCTTATATGTTGTTCCAATCCAGAGTGGTGGTGTGGTTGATTGCACACTGAGAAGACTCAGGTGTGAGTCGGCTTGCCACATGCAGGCATAGGTAGATCCGACCTTTCCTCGAAAGAGTGGGGGATATAATTATTGACTAATAGACAACTGGTTTGGGGTATCATAGTACTGGTACTTGGTAAAAGATCTACACGAGACACAGAAAGTATTTGTGTGAGATCAAAATAGCACTACTGGTTCTTGTGATTGCCTTCCTTGCTGTGTTTCTTATGTTTAGTGGTTTTGTGTTTCCGAGGTTCGAATAGCGCAGCGTAATGCCCGTATGGACTGAGGAGCGTTCCAAGCCCCTTGTGTACCTCGACCTGATATTCTTCGAACGGGAATGGCTCGCCGTCAATTGAGAGGTAGCCTTTCTTCTTTAAGGGTTTTATTCGGTACGCATGCGCTTTCACGTAGTGCACCTGTAAATTAATCCAATCTCAACGCACAAGAGGAAGAGAGGCAGAACACAAGTGACCTTTGGATGCCAAAAGCTATTTCCCTGAGGTGCACCGTCCATTGCAGAGATAAGGTCGCCTCTTGAGTCCTACATGAACATCTTCAATTACTGACTCGACACAAATAACTACTTGACTTACTGCCGACATCGCCATTAGATCGATCAAACCATCATCTGGCAATGAGACGGGGAATGCCATGAAGTCACTGTAATGGGTTAAGTGTTTGAGTCATCGCGTTTTGCGCCAGAAGTACAGAATGACATACCGGCCAACATATGGACCCTTTCCTGCATAGACGTAGAGGATGGGTTCATCAAAAGTGGTCCATCCCTCTTGGTCATCTGGTCCATGTTCAATGGGAGGCAGTGAAGGGCCTACGGTCCCGCTGACAGAATCAATAGAAGACGTCGCGACGCCGTTGCCCTCAGTAATTTCTTTCTTCCTCGCGTGGACAAATTCCGCCATTTTGTCCTTGTCAGTCTCTGCAGCTTTGAAGGACAATTGGACCGGACAGGGTTTGAACTTCACAACTGTCCAGCTTATTAGATACCACGAGTAGGTCCACTGACGAGCGACTCACGTCCGCGTAAAAGGCCATACATGAATCGTGTGTCGCCCATCCAACGAAGGTGTTCAGTCCCAAGATCCAGGTCAGCCATCAGACCAAGGGACTGGGACATGAAGGATATGCTGCGTTTGCTTCCCTGCGTCACAGAGAATAAGTCCACTTTCATGGGTTTACCTAGCCGGAATTATGTGAGCTGCACCCGCGTCATCCCAATTGAAGGCACTCACCCTTGACGGCATTCAGCGCAGCGACGATGATGTCAAATCCATCCTAGAAATAAAGGATAGCTTTTAGGATGATGACCTACATAAGGCTTGAAAATCGGTCTCGCCTCCATTCCAAGCAAATTGAGAGACGTCCCATTTCCTGAACCTGTTGGTATTGGCGCTACCGGTGTGGCAAGGGCCTTCAGAGGGTCGGCATGTTGAGCCAAGCCGTTGAGGACCTCATGAACCAAACCATCACCCGACACGGTAATTATGGCGTCGTATTCCGCCGTCAAAGACTTGACTACCTCAAGGGCATGGCCTTGGTGAGTGGTGTCTGCAATGGCTCTTGAGTAAGTCCTTCACGGTCGCAAGGGATTGCACTAACGAATAACTTCTACACTGCAGCCTGCATTCTTGAAGACGGGATCGATTTTCTTCGCAAATAAAGAGGCGCCCTTGCTCTATAGAAAGAGGCAGGTGGACCCTCCTGTATGCCTTCTGTAGGAAAGGAGCGACGTACGGTGCCTCCGAATGGATTGACGAACACCAGCAGCCTTCGGGAACGCTTAAGTCCAGCATCTACGACGGATAGTAAGTCGTCCAGCAAGAACTCCATCTTCGCAGACAATCAGGCGCACCATCGTACACGACCTTCATCAAATTCTCTGCCCATTCTGAGGCTTTTGCGACCTCGGACTTCCCAACAATGCCTTCCAACGTTGCCAGAATGTAACCTCTGTTTTTCTTTTTCGTCAAATATGCGACCTTCAAAGTGTTTATTTTATCGTCGAGAGTTGCCCGTAGAATATATTTATGTGCAATGTCATGGTGGGCTGTGGGTTTAGACTCTACACAAGCATTTAGCAAATGAAAGAGGGATTCAATAAAAAAACATACTTGTCGGCCTCTGAATCGACAGAGACGACTCTTTCAACGAGAGGTTGACGTGTAGAATTCCAACACGTATCGAAATCGTGCTGGGCGACATGTGTCCGACACGTCTTCAAGACGGTCAAGAAATAAGCGGGGCAACCACAGCGGTTCTGAATTGGAATGTGAAATTGAGCAGGCGGACCTCCGGGCCGGCTTGCCGTCAACCTTAAGTATTTCTAGCAGATCCCACATCCGAGTCCGACATGACGCCATTACGACTATCTCCCCAACGACTTGCACGGTTGATTCAGCTACCTCTAACCACATACAAACTACCTATGAGCAAAATCCACCAAGTAGCACAGTCCGGGTTTGGAACGGGGACAAACGAGCTCTATGATCGGTGCATATGCGTCCTTTCCTGTGTTATCTTTCGAAACATTCACACCGTTGCATGGAACAGCGCTCGCCCATCCTACCAACAATTTGCTTTGGATCACATTCGAGAGTCAGTCAAATCGAAAGAGCCATTGAACGTTGTTGAGTTTGTCTCATCACTGAGCCTGTCAGGCAAACTGGCATCTAATAGCTGATTGTTACAGAATCGGCTCGGGAACTGGAATATTCACTCGAGCACTCCTTGCTGATCCCAAATGGAACCAGAAAATAAAGCAACTCAAGGCTGTCGAACCGAGCGAGGGAATGCGAGAGGTCTTCTCCAAGGCCGTTAAGGACGATCGTGTGACGGTCTCCGAAGGAACCTTTGCATCTACCCATGCTGAGGATACCTGGGCGGATCTGGTGGTTATTGCTCAGGTATGCCAATAGAGTTCATTTTATTGCCCTCGTCTGAACAGCATCTCCAAGGCATTTCATTGGTGCCCAGATTATGGCACTGCATGCCTTGAGTTCTCTCGCATTCTCAAGCCAAACGGTTCTGTTGCCTTCATTTGGAATCTAGAGGATAGGTCGGTGTTTATTGGAAATACTGGAGAGTACTACATACTGAATTCAGTATTTTTAGAGACTCCGCGGAGTGGGTCGGCAGGATCCGCGATCACATCGAGGTCCACGAACGGGGCACCCCTCAGTTTCGCCACATGTATTGGCGCCAAACTTTCGACACTCCCGAGTATCAAAGTGAATTCGAGCCGCACAAAGAACAGGCTTGGTCTTACCACCTTCAGGGAACGAAGGAGACGGTCGTTGACAGAGCCTCAAGCAAGAGTTATATCGCCATTTTACCCCCTCGGAAGAAAGCTGAGGTTCAGGACGAGATTCGCAAGATTATTGATGACTCGCATAAAACATGGGTTGACGAGTCCAAAGGAATTTTTGAATACCCGTACAAGACTCATGTCGTTGTTGCTCATAAGAGGCAGTCGAATCGGCATCATGTATAAGTACTTACACGCACATGTCGCAACTTGGAGCCATTGGAAAAACATACAATCTATGCCTGCATCATTGACTATATATTAACCGATATGGATTTGTGCAAATTTGATGCCTACCAATGAGAGGTCGGGGCTTCTGGGGGATGTCCAGGCGCTTAAGGTGCCAAGCAAGCCAAGATTGCCTCCCTTTGTTGCCCGAGACCACTCGTCCCAAACAACCTCGTCTGGAAAGGGTGGTGTTCACTCCAACCACTCTTCTTGGTCCAAGAATTCTACAGCGATGGCGACATTCTCTCCCTCTCCGGCGCCGCGCCGTTCCTCGCGGTTGAACCGAGGCGCCTCGCCGACACGAAGAAACCAACGGCTCGCACAGACACCGACATTCATAACAGACACAAGTTCGGTCGCGTCTGCCATGGATATTGACGAGCGGGCGTCGATCATGACGGACAGGAGCCTCTCCAGGATTGGAGGGGATGTGCTGTTTGCGAAGACGGATGAGATGTCGGTTTTGTTCTATGCGAACCTGCCATTGGAAGTCAAGCAAGTCCTTCGGACGTCGGGTATGTGATCAGTAAATGGGGTCGTATTTTCGCGTATTCAGTCATTTGACAGACTTCAACATCGATCAGTACTCTGGTGAAATTGATACAGTAACAGGATTCGCGCTTGTCACTTCTGTTCATACGTGTTTTGTTTGGCAGCACGCGCAGGCGAGTCGACAAGGTTTTCACGCCCTTCATGTTCTTTTATGGTGCTCTTACAGGCGATCAAAGGCATTCCAACATGCTACATCTTCTCATGTCCGAAAGATTCTTCGCTTCGACCACCGTTCCATGCGCTGGTGCCGCAAGGGCCTTCCCGTGAACCAGGACTCGTTCTAGTTTCACCCAGTGGCAAAATACGCTTCTGGGATAGTATTGGGATTGGATTGGCTGGGGGGGAGAACTTCAATGCTAGTCAACTTGATGATATGGAGTACGATGAGGAGGTAACGAATTTAATTCGCGCCGATGTGAGTGCCACTTCCGCTCTTGATCCTTGCACTGTCCTAACGGAGACGAAGGCCCAAACTTACATCCTCTCCACTTCGTATGGAAGGTTGTACCGCCTGGTGCTGACATCCACAGGAGGGAAATTCCATCTTACAATACGAGGTTTTGCGCGACCCAGCTCAACAAGCTCGTTCTCTCGACTCATCCCTTCCTTCTTCTCATCTGGCGGCGGGGCTTCATCGCACGGACTGAAAGATAAAAGTAAACACATACACGCGGTGTCATTGGGACTGCGACACCCGGCAGGCGACAGAGATGTGTGGGCGCTTGCGAATGGCCAAGTTCAGCAATGGAGCATGAAACCCGAAGGCTGGGAGGACCTCGTAGCGGATGTGGACTTGACCGAACTGCTTTCTGAGGAAGTACACAGGAGATTCGACGTTGGCAACCGAGATTCAATTCAAGACTTGGAGTTGTCGGATTTGGCGGTTTTCAGGTGGACCGCTTTGTTGAGTCATTCAAATTTTTGGAACTTATCCTCTTTCTTAGCGACGGAAATGTTGCTGTTTTGGTATCATATTCGGGAAGAGAGGTTTCGAACGACTTCCGGAGACTTTACGCACTGGCTGAACTCTACCCATCCGGGTCCGGCCTTGCCGTCAATTACCTGCAGAGTGTGCCTTACCAAACGGTGACCTGGAATGATCTCGCCGCCTTCTGCCGTTTGACTCACATTTTACCACGCAGACGAGCAAACCTGGACCTCCAGTCCATCCTCGGATACAGCCAATATACGGCGGATCTATCGTCAGTGTGCAATTCGGGGATGCTGTAGCTCTGTGTGCGCGACAGTCGGAATACCGGGATCGATTAGAGTTGAAGTCGGCAAGTGACAGGACACTGGGCGTCGGTGTCAGCAGCTCAACGAATCTGTTGCTCATTTTGACCGCTACAACCATGATGAAAGTGTCCTTGGACCTCGAAAAAATACAAGCTTTCATTCCTGGGTAAGCAGGTTCGCCCTTCTCTCCGTTGGTTGTGGCCTTACCGGTTGGCTGTAGAACTGGTCATACCAACTTGATCAAGTCCATCATGATGCAAGCCATTCTCTACGGCGCCTCTCCTGTGGTATGTTACCCTTGGCATTTCTGCTTGGATCTTCCTCACTGTCGCCCCAAAGAACCCTCTTCGGTTCAGCTTTCCGCCTGAGTTGAACGAGGAGGCTCTGATGCAAGGGGCTGAGCAACTGAGTCTTGCTGTTCTTAAATCAGGTTCAATCTGATGTTGTTTGACTTCGACTTTCTTATGTTTATGTTATCTCTCGTAGATCCGGAAGTTGTGCGACAAAGTCCTGACATGACCGCCCAACTGACGGGGCGGAAAGAGAGGCTTAGCTGGCTGATCAGCTTCATAAATGAAAATGTTGTACTCATCAAGGTCAGCTACCCATGGCCTTTATGCAATGTTTGATATTAAACGGCCTACCATAGATGTCCCAACGTAGTCGCCAACAATTAGCCACAGACGCAGAGAAATTGTACTCCTCCCACCAGCTGTGGTTAAATTACAATCAGTTCCTCTCGTATGTTCTCCCGTGTCTAATTCTTTATCCTTTTGAATCAACGTGTGCACTTTTATAGAACATCACCGTCGCAGAGTGTTCTGAAGGATGCTGTAGTCGCCTTTATGGACGATATCAAGGACGGGTCCCATGAAGATGTCATGAGAGTTTTCTTCCGATACTATGTTGCCGACGTGGGCCGATTGCTCAAAAAGGTTTCTGATATAGTAAACCTAGCGTCGAAGTCACCAAGTGGGAATGTGAACGCCTTACTCCCCGAAGCGAACCGCATCGTGGTGGTAAGAGAGCATTATTTCCTAGCAAGACTATGATTGTGTTGACCTTCCCTCCAGACGGTTCTTCGCTCCGCCTTCCAATATCGAGCTTACAACCTGGGTGTGTACGGCATCGAGTTGCCCATGATCAAGAGCTGGACAAGTAAATCGAGTATAATCGATACTGTCCTCTCCTTTTTTGACCTCACAACAAAAGCCGTGGAATCATCTGGATCTGTGATGCGCAGGAAAGACAAGGAGCCAAGTACACAATTGCCATCTCTTGCAGCAGTCCTCTTTGAATCCATCAAAGAGAGACTAGATTGGCTCTCCAGGTAATTTGAAAACTCTTCGCATTTGGTAGTTTGTGTTGCATTACTTATGCACCTGCAGTGCCGGAAAGGAACACCAACACGACGCCGATGAGCTTCGACAAAGATTCTCAGTGCTACGACCCGAGGTCCTTGAGACACTCCGTGCGTAAAGAGCCTCAAGTTTCCGTACTTGGTTGAGGTTGAAGATTGATCCCTCTCTTCTAGGGAGATGCGGCCATGAAGAGTCAGCTTACAACCTCGCTGAACAATATCACGATTTCAGCACTTTGGTAGCTCTCTGCCACCGAGACGCCGTTTATCCCCCTCAAGGCAACCCTAACGCTGAGCGGATACGAACGTATATCCATAAGTTCAAGGAGGACTTCACGACAGAGCTGTTCCAGTGGTACATCCAGCACGGTAGGTCATTTCAAAGACAACGTATTTGCCCTTTCTTATATTATCTTGAGGCGAAATCCGAACAATGTTTGAGCAAGAAGCCGAGTGTGGCCCTTACATGGATGCCTTCTTCCGGGAGGGACCCAACTCTGCAGTCTCGTGGATCCATGACCTCGGGAAATCAAGATTCGGATCAGCAGCAAATGCCTTGCTGCATGACGCTGGACAAGCAACAAATTTGGAAGGGAAACATCTCATGCTGAGTATCGGGAAGTTGGCGTATCTAGCACAAGTACAGGAGAACGACGTCTCAAACGAGTCCACTTTAGATGGTATGTCTTCGCCTTGTGTAATTGTCTCCGCCGGTTCATTTACAACGCGGGCTTGTAGCCTTCCACGATGGACTAGACTTCGTCAGCGTTCATGAGGGTCTTCTCCAAGAATTCCGTGCCGTCCTTGTGTCCGCTCGTGCACGGCAGTCGTTAGACGGCCAAATAGACACCATCCTGAAGGCAAAAGGTGGCAAAGTGGCTGGAAAGCCTGCTTTTACCCATGTTGGTCCCGAATTATCCTTGAGATACATCCACAGTTTTTGAATCCCCTCCTGTTTTTAGATCTTCAAGGATCTTCTTCGGCAATTGCTGCAAGGAAGGGCACTGTCAGTGGAAGATGCCATCGACGCCCTGACCTTGAAGGACAATTCATCATCTGTGGAGGATTATGCGACATCCCTGCATCTACTAACCAATGTTCAGGTTGGTCGCAATCCTGTCGCTTTATTCTTTCTGAGCCAACTGTGCATTAGGATCTTCCTGAAGCACGCAAAGCTTCTGCTTTCCGCACAATATGGCGGCGAGTGTATCTTCACGATGAGTGGGTCGTATTTACTTATATTTGTTCAATTCCTGACATCAATCCGAGCTGGGAGACCTTGCAGAAGACTGCAGACATCTCGGACGATGAGCTGAATCTGCGGTACCAAGGAACAGCGCTCTATGTGACTCTTTGCTCCATCCTCCACCGCGCCGACGGTCCCATTGTTCAACCAAGCGAAGCCTTGATGATTCCTTCTCCTGAGGAGATCACGTCGCGTTGGCCCGGCTTGTCAATGGACCAGGTTGAATCCCTGATCACGGACTATAACTCTGAGCAAGACAGGCTTGGAGATCTGGACCTTGATGACATTTTTACTCGTATTCATGAAATGGCATCCCAGGAAGTGGAGTGGGAGGAGGATTAATAACTTGACGTTTGGTGTATTTGTTATTCTGTACTCAAGAGCGCCGGGCCTATCATTTTTTCCAGTCACCCTCGACTAACGAGTGCGATCCTGATAATATGTGCTTTGCGTAGAAAGAAGATGGAGTGCAATTTCTCACTGGTCGTGTCAGAAAGAACCCCGAAAGTGTTGACACCACAGCACTGAGTTTCGCAGCCTGTGAGGTTATTGGTTTGGGGTTCTTCTGCAAAAGTCCGAAACACGCGATTTCAACTTGTGGAGCTCCACCCGTACCCCTAACGCGATCAGCTCATGGTTTCTCCTCCTCCATTCTGCTGTATACTGATCAGTTGTCTCCATCTCTTGCTGGACCCATTGCTTATAGAATTCGGATAGCGCCCCCTCTTTATCGCGGACAGTCGCGGTAGCGGGAAGGCTGCTGAGGATGGCTTCTTTTGCAGCGTAGAACCTGGTGTTACTCTAGGGGTATGTTGAGTCTGGCTCTCGACATGGATATTGCCTATTGAAACTCACGTTTAGCCAAAAAATCTGATGCAGAGAGTCTAATTGTTGACGCAACAATTTGAACTGAAGCTCGTGATCTCCTATCGTATTTCCTGGACCTTCCTTGAACTCTGAAAGGGAGTACGGATGTCGAAGGTATGTAGAAGGAGATTGTAGTAGTCTGTCGTCATACAGAATGGGTCGCATATGCGAAACTGGATCTGGTGGGGCAATAAGATCTTGCCGGTGAGCAGAAACACGGAACGCCCGGGTTGAACGAGGTGTTTTCAGATAGCGACAGGCGGCGGAGAAGGAGGACATGATGGTTGAAGACAAACAGCCAATCGAGACCCATTCTTTGCGAAAAGGCCCGAAGTATAAGTAAGATAAGATAAGATTGACCAGCATGTTGATGGCCAGCGTTCAACTTCACAAGGATCATGAATTCAAACCGTCGACTCGACAGATACACTGATACAGCAATAATTAATCCGCCATAAACCTGGCTTCTTCTCCCTCAAGACACAGTGACGCCAGAGCGAACCTGCTCCAAGAGTCAGCGAATAAGATCCGCGACACTATTAGTCGATTGCGCACCTCTTTTCCAGTCTTCTTAATCTTCTCCAGGAGATCATCATAGAGAATCGTTCCGGTGACGAGAACCTCCTGATTCTCCAGGCTGACGTCGTAAGAAGAGACTCCAGAGGTGCCTACGTATCGGTAGTCAGAAGCAATTCAAGGACGACGTGGGAGGATGATCACCGTCGTTTTTGGCCTTCTCCAGGACACGGGTAATGGCGCCAGAGCAGCCGGAACAGGTCATCTACAGTCGGGAGACGAAGGGGATTCATCTCATGGTGTAGGAGTTGAGGCTGCATTGGCGCACCTTCACATCAAACTTGTAGGTGTGTTCGTCGGACTGTCGGATGTGCTAAGAAACCCTTCACATCGATATCATAATCGGTGGTCCTCTTACCATTCTGACAGAGAAGGAAGCGGCCGATCGCTAAAAAACGAGATGAGATCATGAAGGTGTACTAATGAAGATGGGGTGAAAGTACGTACGGGATAGTTATGGTTCTGTGCAAGACTATTGGGCGAAAGCTGCTTTATAACCTGGTGACGAATCCAGATTTGGCAGTGCTGTCGATCTCATTGAAACGGGACAATACACAGGCACTTGCCGTCGGGAGATGACGAAGATGCGATAGTTATGCGGGATAACGCCATCCGATTCTACTCCGAAGTGCTTCACAACACGAAAGCATAATAATTGCAAGAATAAATAGTCGTGATTATGAGTATGTATACGGGTGCCATTAGTGAGATACCAGCCATGCCCTCCAAGTCTATGACCGAGTCTGATGCATTTCGACTTCATCACCTTCACCTGTGGCGACTGCTTCCCATCCATCAGCTGCGCGTGAACGTCCTCGTAACCGGTTGACGATGCCCTTGAACCACACTGTACACCAGGTGACCGGAATAAGTAACAGAACATAAACGCAGAAAGGAAAGAGGACTAACTGGATACGCGCGACTGATCTTCGTCGTCCGCAGCTTGGGTTAAATAGTAGACGGGTATTCCCACAAGAATGAAACCTGTCCACGATTGAGACGCAGTCTGCGACCGATACAGCGCCATACTTACCAAGAACCGCAGCAGCTTCAACAGGAGCAGCGATGATGGGCATGCAAAGGAGGAACAATGCGACCTGACGAACCGATGAGCTCAAGCTCCTGATTTCCCCCTGTGGATACATACAGCACAGAAAGTCAGAGGAGTGATAATCCAAGTTCGGTATGGCCTGAAGAAGTATGTTAAGGGACGACGGGTCGGCTATTGTCAAGCGTTGGCACCTTTCTAGCATTGGCTCTTTCACTCGCAGTATCACAAGTCCCAGGACCTAGGATAGCGCGTCAGCACCTCGACATTACGGCTGCAGCTACAGGACCCACTGTGAGGAAATAAAATGCCCAAGACGCCACGACAGAGAAGTTGATCAGGGACCTAAATCCGCTACCAAGCATGATGAACAGGATGGTGATCGATGCTTGCAAAAGTGCGGCGTTGAGAGGGGTGCGGCGTGTTGTGTGCAGTTTTCCGAAAATTCGTGGAAGGTATCGTTCGCGTCCTGCGGCGTACACTAGTGTCGCCGATGTAAAGAAAGACCCTACGACACTCGTCAGATGCATGGTCCATTTCTGTTCGCAGGAGAAACAAACCATTGAGAGCGCCAAAACAGGAGAATGCGACCATAAATGCGAATATGCTCCCTCCTATAGGCCCAAAGAGTGCCCGTCCAAAATCCATAGCGACAGTGTTGCTCAAGCCAACGAGATTCTATGTCTGACTTGAGAAAGAGCTCATATCTGAAAAAGGAAGCTGACCTTGTCCAGAACAACGAAGTACGAGATATTTGCCAACATGAATAGAAGCTTTACGGGATGTCAGAGGAGCCAGAAAACAAGGAGCTAGCCCAACGCTTACTGTCACGATGAACATGCTCGAATGAATGGCGCGAGGGATATTCTTCTCCGGCTGGGACATCTCGCCTCCGACATAGTTAGCTTGATCCCAGCCATCGAACGCCCAGAGACCGGAATAGAAAGCGAGGGAATAAGACGACGGGCTAGTGCTAGAGCCAGAAAACAAGGGTTCTCTAAATGAACTCGAGGCCTTTCCACGCGCAAGCTGCACGATCCCAAGCACCGTGACCAATATCTATGGAGGACATGAGCGCGGGCCATAAAAATATCGGTATTAGAATTACCAGAGAGGTCACCTATACAAACAAACATTAAGGGAATGAACAAGAAGAAACAGATCAAAATGAAAATACCTTCACTGCGGTGAAAACCACAGCAACACGCGTCCCTAACTTCTTGGCCGCGACACAAAGGATTGTGACGACCACAACTGCTCCTATGGCGGTGAGTTTGATTCCCCATTGAGGGATGTCGTCTGGTGATACCTCAGCACGCGTGGCGTGGAAGAACATCCTGTTGAGATATTCAGCGAAAATGAGGCTAATTACCGCATTGCCACCTGAAAATGGTTTATCTCAATTTCTATACGAGGAACCGGAGATACGACCAACCTGGCTTGAGGGCAATAATGGCAGTCCACGCGAACAAGTATGACACGAGTGGACCGTAGGCGTACGACAGATATGCTTGTGCACCTCCATTCTGAGGTATTGCAGAGCCCAGTTCCGCAAAACTACTCGCACCCGTCCATGCTAGTAAACCAGAGGCAAGCCACACCGCCAAACTCGCCCCTACGCTGTGAGTATTGGCAACCACCATTCCGGGAGAAGAACTGAAAAGCGTTTATATCGCATCCTAACGGAAGTGGATGATCGTATCTTACAAGATTCCTGAGCCAATCTAAACCCCTGGTCAGTTCCATCAATTGTAATGTCAAAATCAACACACCTGTAGGCCAACTACAAGAGCAATACCTATGTTACTAAAGTGAGCAATGGTCATGCAACGGCAGAGGCACTTGGCTTGCTCACCATTTATCAGACCAATGTTCTTTTCTCCTCCTTCTGCATGTAGGTTTCCTGGATCCGTTACACTCGCACTGAGAGGCAGCTTGAGCAACGGCATGTGAGGATTTCTTCAGATGCTCTAGGTCGACTTGACACACCAAGTCGCGCTGAAAGTCAAATCCGGATATTGAATAAGATCTGCCTCTGTGAAAGTATAAGTATGTCATATTTCGGCATATGTGATTCCACACACCGCCCAATTTGACGAGAAGCAGCAGGTCCTTCGGAAACCTCGAGGGCTCGTAAAGAATCGTCAGAGTCATTCGAGTGTCGTGAAAGTGGAGGTGATGAGGGATACATCAAGGGTGATCTGAGGACGACATAATCCTCTCGCGGATTATTGGACATGGAGGGGTATAATGGCGCGTTGACGGGAGGGGAAGCCAAGTTCACTCATTTCTGTTAGACGTGGCGGGCGATGCCAAACAGGTTCTCGCGCCACGAGCGGGCCGGTTACCCGCCTCCCTCGATTCGGAAGCAATAGAAGCAGAAACAAACAAAGAAAAGGCTGTTCTGCTAAACGGCGTATACATGTCTAACGGGACAGTCTAACAGTGCTTGGGCAACGACAGAATGAACATCGCTGCATCGCTCCTCACAGGCAGTCATACACTAAGGTTGATCAGAACACTATACATTGGACATTAGGAGTAGACTTACAGCAAATACTTGTTCAGGTGTCATTTTGCCAGACTGCCAGATGCTAGTGACGGATGTCAACGCAGGCATACACGCAAGAACGAGTGTTCCACTGGATGAACGCGCTTCCTCCTCAGTCGGATCTAGCCAGACTTCGTCGTTCACGATAGCCTGCCAGAGAAGTCACATCTGGTTCTATAAGCTTAGACATTCGACGTACTGCAGAACAAGACATCACTAGTCCAAGGACCTCTATCCCAGCATCTGCCAAAGCCGTACTGGCGGCGATAGATCCAGCAGCGACGCAGCCTTCTATCCCATCGGTCTCAACGACAGTGAGGAAGATATCCATTGCGGACTTCGGAAAAGTTTCAAGGCGAACAGATGACACGAGCGCTTGATGAATGGCCATCGCGATAGATCTATCTTCCGCGTCCTGGGGGAAATCAGGGCACACGTTCGTGGAAGGGTAAGAATACTTACACGCAATGGCGCTCTCCGTTGTTTACACGAATAGGGAGCGAATTTGACTTCGACATTCAGTCGACCTTTTTCATGAAACGCAGTAACTTTCGATTGGCGAGGGCCATAACTGGCAGATGTTCAAGACAGGGTAATCGAATTCGACAAGTTGAGCAACTCACATCGCGCATGCAATCTTTGTCCGTTCTGTCTCGATATAAGCAGAACCAGTGGCCTGGCTGATTAGCCCAGGCTGCAGGACTTTTAGCGAGCGATTATGGTGGGATCAACATAAATTGACTTTGTGGCCTCACTAACAAATGGGTCTGATATCGGACGGCGCTCTATTCGGTCTGGTATCAATCGCGGATGACTTCAGGGAAGTCGACGCGAGATCTTCAATGAATATGGGCGAAAATGTTTCTTCAGGGCCATTATTCCTTCTTCTATCGAAGCCAGTTGCAGCCATTGTGAGTGCGGAGGTGTAAAAAGGATTTTATACGCGGAAGGTGATGGCTGGATATGACAGCATAACTTCAAACTCCGTCACTTTCCCCATGAAACTCTCCATCTCTCTGAACAAACCAAAAGTCGCTCAACCCAAAGCACCCGTTCTCCGTCCTTCTGCTTTCTCCTTGGGTGGCGAAGAAGAAGGCGACGATGGAGAGGACACGTCAAATCTACCTGGCCGGTCTGGCCCTGTGGCCCATAACGTCGAGTCATCGAAGGTCATGAGGAAGCGAATCCAAGCGGAAAAGCGTGTAGACGAAACGGTGTACGAATATGATGAAGTATGGGACAAGATGCAGGAAGCCAAGCACCGCGCTCAAGCTGCGAAGGAAGCGGATGCGAACATTCGAAAGGTGCGCCCCTTGACGAACTTGTCTAGGTCCCTGAATGAACTCTCCCTCGATAGCCGAAATATATCCAAAATCTTCTTTCCTCCGCTGCAACACGAAAACTCGATCATCTTCGAGCAGAAGAGAAGATGATGCAGCGAGAACGAGAAGCAGAAGGCGATATATACAAAGACAAGGAGTCATTTGTAACACAGGCTTACAAGGACCAGATGGAGGAAGTGCGTAAAGCTGAAGAAGAGGAGAAGAAGAGGGAAGGTAGGTGCACTTGTTTCGACCCTCTTATTCCTGGTTCAAGCGTCCTACAGAATTAAGGAAGAAGCAAGGGGGCATGTCAACTGGAATGACCCACTTCTACCGTCAACTATTAGAGGAAAACGCTCAGCAACACGAGGCTACAGTTGCGGCGACTGAGAAGAAAATCATTGGTCCCCAACCAGTTGGCGCCAATCTGACTATAACCAAGCCTGCCGATTTCGCACCATTGGCCGACGTTGAACTTGCGAAACTTGCGCGAGCGGAAGGCAAGGAGGTCGAACTCAATGACGACAACCAGATTGTCGACAAACGGGAGCTGCTTTCTGCTGGATTAAACCTCTCGCTTCCAAACACTCGGCGCCTGGGTGGGTTGAATGCTGGAAAGAAAAGCGAGGCGGAAACACAGGCTGCACAAGCCCATCGAGCTGTGGGGTTGGCTGCTTCTCGAAAAGAGATCAACGAGCGGAGGGCCAGAGAAATCCAACAGCAGCTTGACGGGGAAAAACAAAGACAAGAGAGATCAAAGAAAGAGGAAGAGGAACGGGCGCTGCAGCGAACGGTTGCCAAACGAAACAACGAAGTGTCTGTCGAGGACGCTCGTGCCCGATATCTGGAAAGGAAACGTCGGAAGTTGAAAGAAGAGCAGGAGACAACGGCACCTTCTTAGCTAGGTGCGGACAATATTTTGTATATTATGCTCTTCAATTAACGTAGATGTAGCATTACGACTAATCGATGATTACTATGCAGAGCAGATGGTATCTAGTTGGTAACCCAGTGTGGCCATTAACCTGTCATATGCCTGAAGTGCACCGAAGGCACATGGTCTCTGATGCGGTTCCTCCTCGAGCATCGGTTTTATTACGTGCATTAGCTCTGGGATCCAAAACCCTGTTACCTGTCCAACAAGGAATATAACATCGTGATGTGGTAGAGGCCAATGTGGAGCACAAACCTTGCATGCTCGAAGCATAAGTACACCTAAGGCCCACACATCGACCTTGTAGGGATCTATTCCGGCACCCCTCTCACATTCTGGCGGCATTTCTGTGGCGTGGTAACCGTGGATAACAGGAGATGGCGTTGTCGGAGGAAAGTGGCGACTGATTTCGTAGTCGATGTAAGCATAACGCCCCTTAAAGTCCGTGACAAGATTTTGTAGAGCAATGTCGAGATGGGCAATGTGGTGCTTGTGCAGAAACACCGTGTGCTGGACGAGGCTAAGACTCTGACGCAGAACGGTAATGATAGATTCTTTACCTCGAGGCATTGACGCAAAGCTGAGAGCAGACCTTTCAAACAGCACGGTCCTGAACTAGGCACCAGCTGAGAGGACCACTCCTCCATGACAATAAAGACGATAGAGTCCGCAGAAACTTTGAAGAGATCCAAGACAGCTATAGAATGATCAACAAATACCAAAGAAGCAAAGCAGAGAAACAAACGGATAGTATGATTCATTGGGTCGTCCCGCAGTGGAGATCGAGTCAGCATAGATATCACGTTGTATTCTCGACTTTGAGCGTGCACGGCTTTCACAACGATTCGCAAGCCGTCTGATATTCTTAGTCCACGGAACAAGTTGTCAGGCTATAAATTGCATCCTCTACCGTCAGTCCAGACCGTCCGCAGTGGGCAAAGGTTGACAGACCAAGCCAGCGTCCGGACAGAGCGCGTCATCTTTCTGAAACTCCTCCCGACTGGAAAAGTACGGAACGCGGCAGAAGAGGTCGGAGGGAGGCTGTTGTATCCGGCGACTGTAAAAATTCTTGACGTCCCTCACAGTATCTAGGTGAAATCCTCGTGCTTTGAAGAGGAGCTGGTATTTGGGCCAGAAGGGTTGAATGCGGCGGTTGACTTCGTCGTCGTCGGCCGAAGAATCTTCAGAGGAGGTAGGGGACAACGGCGGAGATTCGTCAGAGTCTGAATACCGGCGAGTTGAAGGAGCCTTGGACCGAGAGGATGAATTGGACCGCCTCAGATAATGAGCGGAGGACATTGGAAAACCGGAAGAAAAAATGAAGGGAAAGCTGATGGATTCCTATAGGCGAGGCCCCAGCATTTGAGAGAGCATGGCTGGTCGGGAACGGCGAGGAAATGACAGGTAGCCATACGGGAAATCCTCAAATGGGATTACGTTCAGGAATGATAACCTTAGCAGGGCAGAAGGTAACACAGAAAAGCCATTTGGGATAGTCGTCTTCAGCGACAGAATCGGCGGAACGACAGCCTCAATCGTTGTGGTTGGATAGATCTCCCCGATAAGGGAAACGCACGCACACACTCCCGATTCGCTTCAGGGAACTGTTTCCCAGGAGTAGGCGAGGCAACAACGCTCTGCACATAACGCCGAGACCGAGGAACAACTTCCTATGAGTATTGAGTACGAAATGCTGCATACGTCCAGCACCGCTCAGCCCAGATGCCTACGGCATCGCCAACCCTTGCACACCCTCATTTGCGATGGCCTTCATTTGATCCTCACGGATTCAGCAAGCCTTACATGGACAGTACCAGGTGGGATGAACAATCCTGTTTTGGAGTGCACAACCTCAGGTTGTGATTCATCCATCGTTCGTACTCCGCGTGGATATGCCGAGGCCGTCAATCGCGCGAAGTCCGTTACTGTTTTCGTCAACTTCAAGAGGGAGGACAGGACTCCTACCGCGCATCCAGGGGCAGAATCAGACGTCACAAGTAGCACAAAACGACTTGATCTGTGCGGACCGATGACAGCACGAAATCACTCAATCCTCGTCGTCCCCCTTCTTCGCGTGCAGCTCGAGATGATGGGCGCTTTCCATCATGGTCTTCAATTTGTGCCACTCCATTTCGATAATTTTCCGTTCATCGAGCCAATCGCAAAGTGCGTCTGCGTCTCCGAGGCTTTTCGGAGGCTTTTGTTTACCGCCAAAATACGCGACGCGTAGAAAGCCACTTGATGACAACGAACTTCGAGCTTCATCGATTTCTCTTCGGATGGCCTGGAATAATGAATGCTGGCGGTTCGCAGGAAATAAAACCACCTCAGTCTATGTTTAAAATAAGTCCAGATAGTAGACTTACTTCCCAATGACAAAACTCGTGGTATACCTTCGTTCGTTTTCCACAGAAACGTCCGAGATTGTATTCCTTTTTATCTTCGGAATCCTCGGCGGGCAGCTGCAGGCATTAGTGTCAGCAGGTCAACTGTCAAATGAAAAAGGCTGTCTTACTTCTTCGAATCCGAACCTGTTGTATGGGGAGCCACTCAACCGCCCAAGGCGTGTTGATAGCCTTCCGCCGAGATGACAAGCATCGCATGATGGAACAGCAAAGTCAAGAGCAACCAGGTCGAACTCAGGGTATCGTTCTAGGCTCTTTCTGAATTCGGGTCTCCAGACTGACGACGCTACTAGGGAATCTCGCAGACCTAGCAGCTTCCTGCGCGTGACCTGCAGTGGTACAGAGAAATATTCTTCATCTAAGCCACCGCGTATTTGAACTGTTTCGATCTGCAAAAGAAGTGACATGAACGCACTCATGATTTGTTGGTGCATGAACGTTGCGCGGTCTTCAGGAGGTTCAACTGCAATATGAACGAAAAATTGAAAGATTTTCTTGAATTGGTGAGATAGATCCTGATGAGTTTCCATGCTGAATTGGGCCGGCAGATGAACGGGACCATCATCTTCGACAATGAAGTCCGAAGGACGACTCGAGGAAGACTCTTCTCCTTCAGAATCTTCATCATCGAGTACTTTCGAAGGCTTCGCCCCTTTGAAAGGCTTAATACTTGATGCTTCCTCCTCCTCCTCCTCCTCTTCAGAGGTGTCTTTACCACGAGTGCCTCTCATTTTGCGACCTGAAATGCGATCCATCATGAGGAAGCTTTGAGAGAGATAGTTCCTGATACAAACGCTTGAGTTTCTCAAGATTCTTCTGAAATGCCGACTTTTTATTGCGTGTTCGGAGCCTATCCTCCAATATTCCTGGAGTTTCAAGTTAATCGAGCATCGAATTGCGAGAAATACACCTACTTTCTTCATCTACTTCGTTCGCAATGTCAGCGATGTGCTCATCAGAGTCCGTCGCATCCGCCGTGCTTGGTGAAGGTCGTCGCCGAAGCAGGCGACCTCTCTTGCGCGGTGGCGAATCGTCCGAGTCGTCGCTCTTGTCAGCTTTCCTAGTTATCGGAGATGAATCCGGTTCCTTGTCACTCCCGCTTGGACTGCTTCGACGCGTCAGACGTCTCTTGCGCGTGGATTTAGGCGAGATTGGGATGTCTTCATCCGAGTCACTTAAGGACACAACTTCGGGGGTCTTTGGCACAAAGTGTATGTCGCCGATCTCGTCTGAGGAAGAGTCGCAGAACAATGGCTCTGGCCGTTTCGAAGCAGAAGCAGGAGGATGTTGATTGGCCGCCTGACGCGTCTGCCACTTGACCGGAGGTGAGGATTTTGGGCTCTCGAAGAGTTTAGTCTGCTTCAGCTTTTTGGAGTCCCTAGCGTCCCTAGCTTTCTTCTTGGGGGGCATGTTTTGTGCAATTGTGCGTCAAAAATCTTCAACGGCGAGAGCAGATGAAAAACGAGTGGTGAAGGCGTCGGGATTGTGGAAGAGAGAAGCTAAGTCCCACGCGGTCTTACGCACTTCTAGTTGCCGACCTCATAATTGCCGGAGCATTAACCTCAAACTCATCGACGAACGGCCGCAACGAGCTCGACCTAGTCTGCAGAAGTCCAGGAACATTTTCTTGAAGAGGTAAGTGGACGGTGATATTAATCAACTCTTATGCTTATGCCTTGATCATGCTCATAGGTTTTTCAATATTTCCTCCAAATTCTTATTCAAGCCTCTCTAAGCTTTGGGAATGACCGATGGCAGCAAACGAAATGCCTTGTCGCGCATCGACACTGGTTTCACGCTCAACGTATATGATGATGTTCCGGATAGCCAACACCCTTCACCGCAAGCAACGCCTACGGACACCTCCTTCCCCCGACTCTCTGCCTCCCCCTCGGCAGAGGTTCCCCTATCGCAACTACCTGCTACGTCTACCAATCTCCGTGCACGCAATGAATCTCGGAAATTGCTCTCGCACGTGCTTATCCAGCTTGCGAATAGGAACAAACCATCTTCCATTGTCGATCACCTAACGAGTTCCACTCACGAACCGACGGAACGAGGGTTCAGCGCACTGGCTGAGACGCTAAAGGACGCCGTGAAGCACGGAATTAGGTCCGATAACAAAACCAGGAAACGTAGTGGATCGCAGGTGGAGGATGGCGAAGATGAAGAGGATCATAGCACCTTTTCGACAGACGATACCATTGATCTCATGCTGCAACTGAAGGATGTTTTGACTATGTCCATTTCTCAAGGCTGGCAAATTTTTGACGACAGGTAAGTTGAATATGGACTTCCTGTTCTTTTTTCTGACGTTGTTGTAGCTCTCTTGTGCAGAACAGTGTTGACGAGGATGACTTCAAGTCTTCCACCTTCCGTCGTTCTCGAAGCAGCTTCAGAGCAGTTGGCAAGCGCTCCCGATCTTCGTCCCCCTATAAAGGGCAAGTGCATGTACCAGAACTACTCTCTCTCTGTCTTTCTATCTTGGAGTCCATCGTATCTGAAGACTGTCGGTATCGGGTCGCTTTTCCTCGTCCGTCCCGGCCTCCAAACGCCTTGCAAGTTCTGACTCTGAATGTTGCGCAATTTTTGATTCATTGCCATCGCCATGACCCTCGCATCATATCCCAAATTGCACTGGCCATGATACCTTCATTCTCTACATTCGATGCGCAAATGTATCCGCGACTGCTGTCGTTCTTTGAAATGAGTGTCGTCCGAGTGGTTCTTCAGAGCCTGAGGCTGTTGCAAGGGTTCCCAGCCCAAGATTCCATGACAAGACAAACCCGTGAGCCATCAACATTTTGATCGAAGTAGCCACCGTCTAAATCGCCTAAATCGTGTCCGTCTTCTTCCAGAGGACTTCCACTTTGAAGTTGTGGACCCAGACGAAGTCCCCGCCGTATCTATCCAAATTGACGAAGTCCAGAATGACGGTCAGCCCCATCAACGCCCATTGGGATTCGGTGCTAGGAACGAGACATTCGTCATCCAATCCACCAACAATCCTCGTCAATCTCCTAACATCTACTGTCTCGCATTCCTTATCCCCCCTTTGCTTAGTGCAGCTTTTGATTCATTTGATCTACCTGATCCAGGAGAATCACAGACAGAGTTATCGACTCATCTTTCTCAGCTCATAAACCTTATCGCCGGTTCAAAATTAGACGCCTATAATGATCTCCTCGAAATCACTGCGTATCGCGGTCCGAAAGCTCGCCGACTAGCTATTGCTTCGTTGGCACAATTGTGGCCAAGAGCTGCTGGCCACACGGTGATCAGCAGTGCATTTCATACGCCAGAACATGGTCGCATACATACGCACCAATTTACACCGTGGCATGCAGAAGCCAATGGCGAGGGAAGCAGCCGAAGCCATGCAGCCTGTCGGTCATGTCAACGACCCATCCAGGGATTCTGCTTAATGTGCCCCTTCTGTATGACGGTCGTCCACTTTGATTGCTACGACTATCACGAAGGCAACTACGATGTCGAATACTCTATGGCAAACGATCCCCGTACACAACGTATAGCAATGTGCCGATTTTCCTACGTTATGGCCGCTCGAGACATACACGAAAACACAATCGCGAAGAACAGCCACCAATTCAAACCGACGACATGGTTCACGCTGTGTCTCTGCTTTGTCTGTCACAAACCGCTGCTGGGCTGCTTCGCACAGGGTTTGAAGTGTGAACGGTGTCCATTTTCCGTCCATTCCGGATGTCTTCCCTTCCTTGATCCCTCTAGAAGGTGTGGCTCCTCAGTCACCTCCGATGACGTGATCATTACATGGGAGACTTTGCGAATGTCCTGTTTGGATTACTACCCGATTCTTCGACTCAATAGCGATCAACTTGGTGAATGCAGTTTCGAGGAGATTTCTATCTACCATAATGTCCTCCGAGCACAGGTCCAGTTACTCACCAACGGCATTGGTATGGGGTCTGTTGTCGTCATAAAAAATGGCAAGAACATTCGGCAGACTAGCGAAGACTCCGATCTATTCGAGCTTCGTCGAGTTCTTGGTTCCTGTGTTGAGCTCCTCCACGACGGAGGGCTGGTGTTTTCCGACTCGTCTAGACAATTCATGCAGGATACCAATACATCAAGCTCCGGTTTGTCGATTATGGTCAATTGGTCCTATCTGGAGTATACTTCCACGATAATCAAAGTGCCCTCACTTCAAGCCCGTCCGAGACAGCAAGGAGCATCCGGGCTTCTGGACGTAGATCAATACATGGCTTCTGGAGAGGAGGCGGCAGAGTTGCACACTTGCGAATCTGTTCCTTTGTCCCATATTAGAGCTACACTAGAAGCGGACTTTGGTGTTCACTCTGAACAGGCTGCCAAATTCTTTATCAACCACTTACACCACCTCGCGTTCTTTGACAAGGCAGACCACAGCGTTCAGTCTTTTGAAGACATTTTTGCTGAACAGCTGCCTGATTGCGTTTTCCCCCTACCGCTTGGACTTGACCTTTCTTTGAACGTGGAAACTTTGGTGTCGTCCATCGAGGCTTCCCTAACGGATATAGACCTGACCAGCAATGAATTTGGCTTTTTGCTATTGACCCGAAGATTTTGGCCAAGCGGATTGGCTTCTGAGTACGGCTTGAAGAGGTTGGCAGGAAGGGTTCTCTCGTGGATATTGAATGAGGCACGTTCCTATATTTCCCTCTATTCTTATTGTTCTTTTGTTTAACGTGCACACGTACACGTACAGGACGACAATCTTGCTATTATTCTCCGAGAGTTCGTAGCAAAACAGAGGAGATTACCAGGCGTTCGATCCGACCGCAACGAACAGCCCTGGCCGCTATCAACGGACTTGCGAGCAGGTCCTTCTAGTCTCGCTAGCAATGGTGGAGACTATGTATCATCCAGACGTGCATTGCTTTCGAGATATGCGTTGCCGTGGCTATTACACCTGCACACCTTGGATGGGGAACTTTACTCTCGCATTCTCTTTGAAACTTGTTTCCAATCAGCAGTGGATCAAGATGTTGAGTATGAATTGACTTCACAACCCAAGGGAAAAGATGCAAGTTTTTTGTTCTCCTTTTTCATATGAATCTCAACGTGTGTCAGATGTCAAGTCGCTGCGACAGCATCCTTCGCTCCATTACCAAGTTCTGCCAACTCTCCGTCATCTTCTCTGCGTTCGACACTGTCTTTATCCGCTGGGTAGGGACAGTGGTTCAATTCGGTGCAGGGGAAAAGGTTTGCCCTTTTCCTTCGAGTGATAATAGGATTGACGACGAGTTGACACATAGCCTATGCCCGCATTACATCGGCTTTTCGTCTCAGACTTTGAATCATCCAATCAATGGACCAATTATTCGGGTGATCTGCTTCCGGGCACGCCAGAACGGCAGCCAGGGGTTCCGGACCCCCTTGGAGCGATGGGAAGACTTGCCAGTGAATCTGACGTTGGACTTACGCAGGGTCTGGGCTTCCTTTCCATGGCCGCTACTTCCGGGGTCGTCATATCAAGCTCGTCCTTTAATCAATTCCTGGCTCTGATAGCGCCTGAGAATCTCAATTGCCTCGATCATGCAGGTTTATTCATCAAAGCTATTGTATTGTCCCTTTGGATGAGATCCTTGGGCAGGCAAGACATCCAAGGACTTGTGGCTGCCTTGCATTCACAACTTTCGTCGCAAATATCGCGCTCGTTGTTATCCGGATCCAATGCTTCGATGGCGTGAGTGCACTTGACTCGGGGGTGTTTTCAACTTATAATTGGAGCATTTATTTGCAGTTTGTCGATAATTAGGCTATCACTAGCGGCCTGCCTGAGGATTTATGGTTGTGAAAGGTCCAGCATAATCGACTCTGGGTTAGTGACCTTGTCTGAAGTTAACCAGTTGCCTTCTCGGTAAGCACTCTTCACGAAGTTGCGTCGTGTACAGTCCATGACCTGGCCCGCAGGAGAAAAGTTGCAGTTCGCGGTTCGAGGGTCGTAGACCCAATTATTGTTGCTCCCGAAGTTCTTACGGCTCTTGAACTTTATATCCAAAGCAATGTTGAGGATGTTGCCTGTTTTGCGGCTAAATTCCTCAATCTATTCCTTATGGAATCGCCGTTCATGGAAGGATTTGAGGTTGATAATTTCATACTGCGAAACGGGAAATTCGTCGCTCTTTGGTGAGCCAAATCAATTCCAGGACTCGGAGGGATGAAACTGACTGAAATTCAGTATCTGGACGGTATACAACATACAAAGAGACGACGTGGCTGCAGTGCGAACTAGCTTACTTCTGCGCGGCCTCCTCATAGATTCGGAACCATTCCAGGAAATCTTGAACACAAATATGGATCCCACAAATGTCCCAATAGAAGAAAGGTAAACTTGGAAGCTCCTTTCTTCCCAGAAATCCTTCTCATTCCTCTGAAGACTGCTAGCCATCAACCGTCTGTTTCGGATCGTTGCTGATGTCACAAGCCCTGCGTTTGGCGTTGAAGGGCGACAATGGCGTACGAGCGTCGTCGACATCTTTACAAGCTACTTTTGTGCCCTTTGGGCTGATCCAGCCGTGAGTCCTATTGCATGGCCTCCCTGTGTGGACGGATGGCGGCCTCATATCATGGTGCTTTGACAGGAAGAGGTTAGGCTGGCAGTCCGGTCCTCCTCAGTGGCTCTCCTTCCCGCGCATCTAAGTGTTATCACCCAGTGCTGGAACGAGTCCCTATTGAAGGCTCCAATCCCGGAGCGCATTCGCCTACTCGGATTTTTGATCCAACTTCGTCCGCATTTTCCAAGCTGGAAAGGTTGGCAGAACCTCACTACACTCTGCATTGCACTCATCATTCGCTAGTGCTATCCTGGGATATTATGATAGATACACTTCTTCAATATGACCAAGATCCCAAGTTCTCTGAGAGCAATGCCTCGGTGAGTCCCGATAAAGTTGATTGTTTCCTTACTCCAATATCATGTCAGGCATTTTCAGAGAAGGAGAAGGTCGGATACCGTCTCTCAACTGTGGACCCCGACCTAGCCCACCTTCGAGTTCGTAGACCGTATTCCTCTCAGAATTCCACTAACCTGACGACTGATAGGTTTCGATCTTGCTTCTAGCAATGCAAATGATCGCAGACGGCCTCGAAATCGACAGTTTCTCGTTAATGAAAATCAAGGTTCAATTTGTGCAAATCACTGGATTCACTAGGATATCGGTACTTCCTACGCTCAATGGCCAATCATTTTACCTGCAGTACAGTGACATCCCCGAGATCTCCGAGAGTGCTTACCCCTGTATTGAGGAAATTCCTCATATTCTGGATGCTGCGCATTATACGACCTTGCCTTATCCGGTCTTGGGAATCGCCAACGAAGAGGATAAAACGGCAAGCGTTCTTGTTGGTTCCGCCTTCCTTGATACGAGCCTATGTATGATTGGAACTCTGAGGGACTTGTCTTCACTTCCCGTCCTCACCCTGAAAGCGTTGATTGAAACACTTTACATCATCCTCCACAAATACGACTTTGAAGACAAGACTCTACGACATTATCAACCCCTTGTACGACGGGCAGTTCTGCGGACGGTCGAACTTCTGTCGAAGGATATCAGTTACGAACTCCGTCAGCTGGCTTTATCGATTGCCCAGGCGTCGATCAACAAGTGGCACACGTTCTTAGGACCTGCCATTGCGTGCGTTCCCTTTACCTACCCGCCTACTATTCGTTGCTGAGAATGACACAAAGTCCCATCATTGAACTCGTGGCTACCGAAGTCGCCAGTCAAAGCAAAAATAGTCAAGACTCCCTGATAGTGAATGGGAAGTTACTCATCGGGAGCACTCTTCATACGTTAGTTTTATCCTTTTCCATCGAGGCTTTTTTTCATCCCTGCACAGGTTTTGTAACAATGGGTTGCTGCTGAGCCTTATGAGGGTTTGTCCTGACACTCTTTTTCGGACTTGTATTGACATTATGACAGCGACCACTCAACGCTGGATTCTTCGTCGTACTGAAACAGGTGCTTGCCGGCTCGAGCAATGGTAATGACGCAAGTACAACACCCAATGCCTTGTGCGATCCTCTGCTGCGAGACACTTTATTACGAGCAGTCGAATGTGACGCTGGATCCTTTCCTACAGTATTCCAGAATATCAACACGTTTATTGAAGTGGTTTGCTTCCAGGGATACACTGCGGAGTTGATGGCATGTAAGCTGCGTTTTTCAAGTGTTTGGAAATGCCCGAACTAATCAAGAATTTAGTCGTTGGGCAACAACTTACGCAAATGGCGCGCCGCATGTCTGATGGTAGCACCGAAGGTGTGGACCCTTCACCATTGATACTCATCCCAGTCGTCTTGATACAAAACAACAAGAAGCATACCAAGGTGGAGTAACTCGCAACCTGTTTGATGCAATGTTTCCTCATGTGCCTTTCTAGGAGTTGCTTCCTTACATCGACACCGTCCTCAGAGTCGCTCTGAATAGGCTGACTGTCTCTACATCCTGTCTAACCAGCCTTATTAAGGCTCTGCCTCGACAAAAGGCTCAGGAGTCGACACCGGGTGTGCTAGACCTTGTCGCAGTTCTATTCGAGCTCTTGCATGATGGTTTGCGGATGAAAACCAAGATGCTTCCCGCGACAGTCAACTCACTTGTAGACGTAAGAATTTGTGCCACTGGTAGCTAGCCTATTGCCTCTTAGAGCT